AGAGAATCCCTATCAATGCAAACAATGTGGCAAAATGTTTAACCATAAGAGCAACTTGACCAGCCATTCAAGGATACACACAGGGGAGAGACCCTATCAGTGCAAACAATGTGACAAATCCTTCAACCAGAAGATAGAATTGACATCGCATATGACAGCTCATACAGGGGAGAAACAATATAGTTGTCCTTAATGCAGGAAAAGTTACATCACATTGAGCTATTTAAGACTTCATCAGTGTGTTCACACAGGGGAGAAATCTTACCAGTGCAAATAATGTGGCAGATGTTTTAGATATAAACATAGCCTTACATGACATTTGAGCAGTCACACTAAAGGGCATACATGATATTACTGCAGTGAGTACAGCAAAAGCTTCCACCTGAAGTGAAAGTGAAAACAACATGATACTTTTATATCATTGTGGATTTCTTCTCACATCCAACTTGTAAATAAATGTTATGTTCTATTTTCTGGCACTTGACAACAAAACAAATTGAGTTGTGTGTGGAGTGAAAAACATCAGTCAGTATCAGATTGGTAAAATTAATCTAGCTCTCACTTTCAGGGACCTACAGTGCATTCGGAAAGTATTCAGACCCCTTGACTTTGTACATTTTGTTATGTTACAGCCTTATTCTAAAATTGATTTTGTTTTAATGTTCCCTCATCAATCTACACACGATACCACATAATGACAAAGCAGAAACAGTTTTTTAGAAATGTTAGCAAATGTATAAAAAATTAATAACTGAAATATCACATTTACATAAGTATTCAGACCCTTTACTCAGTACTTTGTTGAAGCATCTTTGGCAGCGATTACAGCCTCAAGTCGTCTTGGGTATGACGCTACAAGCTTGGCACACCTGTATTTAGGGAATTTCTCCCATTCCTCTCTGCAGATAATCTCAAGCTCTGTCAGGTTGGATGGGGAGCGTTGCTGCACAGCTATTGTCAGGTCTCTCCAGAGATGTTCGATCGGGTTCAAGTCCGGGCTCTGGCTAGGCTACTCAAGGACGTTCAGAGACTTGTTCCGAAGCCACACCTGTGTTGTCTTGGCTGTGTGCTTAGGGTCGTTGTCCTGTTGAAAGGTGAACCTTCGCCCCAGTCTGAGGTCCTGAGCACTCTGGAGCAGGTTTTCATCAAGGATCTCTCTGTACTTTGCTCCGTTTATCTTTGCCTCGATCCTGACTAGTCTCCCAGTCTCTGCCGCTGAAAAACATCCCCACAGCATGATGCTGCCACCAACATGCTTCACCATAGGGATGCTGCCAGACAATTTTGTTTCTCATGGTCTGAGAGTCTTTAGGTGCCTTTTGGCAAACTCCAAGCGGGCTGTCGTGTGCCTTTTACTGAGGAGTGGCTTCCGTCTGGCCACTCTACCATAAAGGCCTGATTGGTGGAGTGCTGCAGAGATGGTTGTTCTTCTGGAAGTTTCTCCCATCTCCACAGAGGAACTCTAGAGCTCTGTCAGAGTGACCAAGGCCCTTCTCCCCCGATTGCTCAGTTTGGCGGGGCGGCCAGCTCTAGGAAGAGTCTTGGTGTTTCCAAACTTCTTCCATTTAAGAATGATGGAGGCCACTGTGTTCTTGGGGACCGTCAATGCTACAGATTTTTTGCTTTGTCATTATGGAGTATTGTGTGTAGATTGCTGAGAAAAAAAAAATATTTAATCCATTTTAGAATAAGGCTGTAACGTAACAAAAGGTGGAAAAAGTCAAGGGGTCTGAATACTTTCCGAAGGCACTGTATATATAACATTATGTTGGTAGCAAGAATTTTGTATAATAATTAAGAAACTTGAAGTGTTGAATCAAGCGTTGTTTTTGTATTTTGGCGGCAGGTAGCTTAGTGGTTAAGAGCGTTGTGCCAGTAACCGAAAGGTCGCTGGTTCTAATCCCCGAGCCGACTAGGTGAAAAATCTGTCGATGTGCCCTTGAGCAAGGCACTTAACCCTAATTGCTCCTGTAAGTCGCTCTGGATAAGAGCGTCTGCTAAATGACTAAAATGTAAATGTATCAGTTCATACACCATGTGCCATGGAATCAGTACAACGACAATCCTGTCGCAGCTATTTTGCTGTTACGGAGCGACCCACTAGGTGTCATCCTCTGACAACCTTAGGCACCTCCACACTCACAGTCTGGACTAATCATCATCATATTGGTGTCACCTGTGTCTATCGGTTCACCTGTGTAATTATGCCCTCACTTCCCTGTGTTCACTTGCTCAGTTTTCTCTGCTAGCTTCTCTATGTCCAGCGGTACTGCTCAGTGTCTGATCGGAGATCTATGTACAGGTACTTGAGAAGTGTTCTCCCTGTTTCGCTATTTGTTTCAGTCTTAGGTAGTATTTCATATTTTGGCTGTCAGACGGTTTTTGGAGACTTATTTGCTCCGCCTTTCTTTTATCTTGATAAGTCCGTTATTTTGTATTTGGCTTCGGGACCACCAGTAAAGATCCTTGTTTCACCATCTCTGCCTACTGCCTACTGTATATCCTGCACCGCACCTGGGTCACACCTCACCCCAACCCTTACATTTTGCAACCTGTATGGCGAAGCTGTCAACATTTTTGTCCTCAAGTAAAACTGGTACATTTTTCTATTCATGCCGATCTTTAAATCAATCATTATATTTGAGTTTAACCATAATATTTGTTATATCTTTTCTGGAAGATAAAATTGAAATTGTAACCAGCTTTGTATAGCTTGTTTAAAACCTCTTAGATGTAATGTCCCCTGTTTAGGGGACCTGCGTGGTTCTGGTACTGGTTCCGACCGACATTTCCGGGTATAAATCGATCTGTGGACACTGTAGATCGAAAGGGCTTGCATTGAGCGATAGCCCTGGTTCCCACGGACACATTAGTATATTGTCTGAGCCTGTGATGTAGGATGGGAACATAAAAACCACTTGAAGCTGGGATGTCCCTCCTACCATTTCATTTGCACTTCCGACTGTCCATCAACTCCTGGCCGAACCCTACATCACAGCCACTGACAAAGCACATGCCTGTAATCCTTATACCATAGCCCAGCAGGAAATAGTGGTTTCATCACTGTAGCGCATTCAGAGATCGATTTATAGCCATTATTCTAAAATAATTCATATATTTGTTTCATATATAAATGTTTGTCATAGACAGATACGATTCATGAGATGATATGCGAGTTCCTAACAAGTCCAGGAAGCCAAGCTATAGCTCTGTGAGACATTCACAGCGATGAGGGCAAACGTTTTGATCAAGAGAGACCTTTAGAAAATATGCACATTTTCTCTAACACTAAACATACAAATGCGTATTTTACAGTTATAACGAAGGTGAAATCTTATAGTTTGATTATACTATATTTAGAAAGCATACTGTAAGGCATTTCAAGCCTTATTCATACAGTTTTGTTGAATAGGAAATACATCATATGAACTATTTAATATTTTCATATTTTCTATCATATTTTTACTGTGTACTTGAGCTTGTGTCCTTAAAAGTGACTACACCTCAGAAATGTATAACTATTTTTACCAGAATGGTGAGATTTTAACCTTTCTTGGAGTGTGCAGGATTACTAGTTATTGTTTATGGCCCCCTCATGATAAATAATTACTTTTGGAGAGTACGTAGATTACATTTTTGATTACATTTAGTTACATTTAACTGAAAGGGCGATACTTTGAACAAAGTTTCATTTTCAATTAATTGAAAATGAGAAGTTGTAATCTGTATAAAGATAAAAAGGCCAAACCTTTCTTAGTAATCTTCTGGAGAACCAGTTTGGGTTTTAGTATAATTTATGTATGAGTGAAGCTTTTAGTGAGAGGTTTAACGCTTTAATATTTAAAGGCATAGCCATGGGAAGTAGGGGTGCTGAAGGCGCTGCAGCACTCCCTGAAAATCACAATTTATATTTGGTGCAGCATTTGTTTTCTTTCACCAAATTAGTGCACTAGGCTTTTATTACTCCTGTATTAGCAGAAAGGAGCAAAATATTCGTCAGTAGAACGGTGAGAAATGCCGTTTAATTTGATCTGTTTTAGCGTTCCAAAAAAAGTGAAATATGTTTTGCTCATATAATTTAAAAATATATGTTGTCTGGAGTAGGCAGCGCCATAAGTAAGTAAGTAAAATATGATAGGACTAGAGTTAATCAATGTGATTCGTCCATAAATAGACAGGTATACCTCTCCATGGTTGCAGAATCTTGTCTATTTTTGCTAACTTTCTATTGAAATCTGTTGTGGTAAGTTAATTGATATGAATATCAAGTATGTCTACTTCACCATCAGACCATTTTATAGGTAAACTATAAGGTAATGTAACATTTGTGTCTTTTAACGATCCAATACACAAGGTATCATAATTGGGTTGAAGTCCAGAGAGTCTAGAAAAGTGATCTAGTTCTTCAATGAGACCGTGAAGGGATCCAGATTGCGGATTTAAGAGGACATTTTACTCATTGGCGTACATCGTCACTTTTGTTTTCAAGCCCTGGAATTGTAACCCCCAGAATCGAGGCCTTTGTGAATACAACCCCTGGCACTAACCGTGTGTTACTGTTTAGGGTCAACTTTGACCTCCTCCCAACTGGTGTCTCCTGGGACATTATGGTTTAAATAGAAGGTACTAAGTGACAAGGCAAAGACATGAAAAAAACGTCTCGTTACAGAATATACTGATTGACAACAGTTAGAAATCTAAACTAGCAAATCAGCGTATAGTCTGCTAGAAATGAAGAAGAAGAAGAAGAATAACAAATATTTTCTCAATTTGGTGTGGGGGGGTAGTTCCAATAACTGCTTTTCCATTAAATGCTCCAAGACAGCAGGTTGCGCTATTGAAATGCAGTCTGTATTTCACCGATCGCGTTGTGAAAGTTGCACACCGTCCATTGTTGTTTACACATGTTCTAGAGTAGATCTGCTAGCCCGAAGCAGACAGAGAAGTTTCAACATTTATTTGATAAAACGGTCAGTTAGACTTCCATAACCATCGCCAATATGTCAAAACTACAGTTGTTGAATGTGTTCGTCACCGAGCGTTTGTCGGCGGCTGCTGTGGAGATATTCGGGGCCGTGGAGAAGACTATAGCAGAGTATCAGGAAGAAATCTGCCGTTCAGCAGAGGAGAACGAGCGTCTACGGAGGCTGTTGGACATGGTTATCAAACCAGAGATAAAGTTACACAGAGCTGGTGTGTATAGCGAGCTACAGTTGTGATACGAGATTTGACTTGTAGACTTAAAGTTACTAGACTAGATAATTAATGTGGCAAGTTGTGATATGCGCACCCTTAGCCCAATATTATACCTCCAGATTAATGATTTATTTAATTGACTAATAAGATGAGGGCTAAATAGCCAGCAGATCCGACCTGCTTGCTTACAGCTGCACTAGGGTCGGACAGTCTTCCTGCCTAGATTAAGACCCCATGGAGGGATGAGAAATGCTTTGTACTCCGAATTCTTCCATTATCCTAACTTTTACAAGTTCTACTCCGAATAGTTCCATTATACCAACTGTTACACAGAGAAGATTGAACAGTCGTTCAATATTCTCGGTTTAGCAGTTGGGATAATGGGACAATTCGGAGTACAATGCGTTTCTCATCCCTGGATTGAGATACATTTTCCGAGACATATCTCGTGCCGGTTCTGCGGAGTCTTAATCTACACAGGAAGCCTGTCCGACCCTAGTGCAGCTGTAAGCAAGCGGGTTGGATATGCTGGCTAAGGTCTGAAGGGCATTCCATAGCGACTGCAATCGAGAACTCATGGTCCAATGACTGTACCTGTAGTAGATCCATGTGTCCCGCGTCCGAAGCTAACTACATCCTAGTCCCGATTAGCCACGGACATTTACAGTGCATTCGGAAAGTATTCAGACCCCTTGACTTTTTCCACATTTTGTTACGTTACAGCCTTATTCTAAGAGAGTGGGCAGACGGAGCCACTCCTCAGTAAAAGGCACATGACAGCCCGCTTGGAGTTGACCAAAAGGCACCTAAAGACTCTCAGACCATGAGAAACAAGATTCTCTGGTCTGATGAAACCAAGATTGAACTCTCTGGCCTGAATGCCAAGCGTCACGTCTGGAGGAAACCTGGCACTATCCCTACGGTGAAGCATGGTGGTGTCAGCATCATGCTGTGGTCCTCTGTAGCTCAGCTGGTAGAGCACGGCGCTTGTAACGCCAAGGTAGTGGGTTCGATCCCCGGGACCACCCACACACAAAAATGTATGCACGCATGACTGTAAGTCGCTTTCGATAAAAGCGTCTGCTAAATGGCATATTATTATTATGATTATTATGTTTTTCAGCGGCAGGGACTGGGAGACTAGTCAGGATTGAGGGAAAGATGAACGGAGCAAAGTACAGAGAGATCCTTGATGAAAACCTGCTACAGAGCACTCAGGACCTCAGACTGGGGCGAAGGTTCACCTTCCAACAGGACAACGACCCTTAGCACACAGCCAAGACAACGCAGGAGTGGCTTCGGGACAAGTCTCTGAATGTCCTTGAGTGGTCCAGCCAGAGCCCGGAATTGAACCCGATCAAACATCTCTGGAGAGACCTGAAAATAGCTGTGCAGCGACGCTCCCCTTCCAACCTGACAGAGCTTGAGAGGATCTGCAGAGAAGAATGGGAGAAACTCCCAAGAAGACTCGAGGCTGTAATCGCTGCCAAAGATGCTTCAACAAAGTACTGAGTAAAGGGTCTGAATACTTATGGGGTATTGTGTGTAGATTGGGGGAAAAAACGATTTAATCCAGTTTAGAATAAGGCTGTAACGTAACAAAACGTGAAAAAAGTCAAGGGGTCAGAATACTTTCCGAACGCACTGTACATAGAAGAAGAAAAAAACGTCCCTTGTCTGTCAGTCACGAGTGTGCCCGAGCAGTTGGTCCTACAGTGGGTTGAAATTTTAGACAAAATATCCACAGGAAAGTATTATTAAACCGACTACAAAACACGGGTCTCTGTGTGTTGCAATCAAGATTTGCTTGCTCGTGACTAAAGGCACGTGCACAAGATATAGTACATGCACGTGATGCATGCATACTAACCAAATCTTGCAGGTGTTTACATGGTTTTCCGCATGTTCCAGGTGCTAGGTTTATGGAGTAGGTGGTTTAGTGTTAGCACACAGTTCGGCAACACACTCTACCAGGATACACTTCCACACTCCATCCCCCAGATGGCAGCACCAACCATGTCCAAGTGCTGTGCTGCCAGGAAGCCTTTATAAGCACATCAGGTGCTGCCAATTAAGGTGATGGTAAGGGAGTGTCCCAACTGGTAGAGCTGTGAGGCCTTTCATTGTCTTTGAGCCCTTGGGCATGCACTTATGTATTTTTCATTTTTGTACATATTTATGTTTTTTCAATATCAACACCTAGGTGCGTACGCTGATTTCTCATATAGATGCACATCTTAAATCAGGTTACAGACACAGTTAACTAGGCCTAAATCACCTAGACTTAGCGACTGCAACAATATTAGCAGGCTAGTTATTGGTTGCATAACGATAGGAATTTCAACAGCAGTACCGGCGCTCTAAAAAGTCTGGTAAATAATAATTTATTGTGGACTAACATTACAGACAACCGGTAGAGTAAATGAAAGTGTTATTTATTAACAGTCTGGCTTGTAAGGAAACCTTCAAATTGTTTGCACTGCTTTGTTTCAGACTTTATATCAAGAATTGCTAACACAATCTGATTTATTTGGCAAGCTACATCCATAATCGGTAGACGGTTCTGATTGGAGAATCGCTGTTTGCATCGCTGACCAGTGAACAAGAAACGATTAAATCCAGCTTTTAGATGCCCAAATAAGAATCTAATATGGATGCCAATGTTTTGTTCTACATAGCCTATTTCTATCTGAACATTCCAAAACATTCCGTCTAGCTGAATGCACCCCTGCCCGTTTTGCGGGACTCATTAGCTGACAACAGATGGGTGTGCGTGCAAAGTCGATTTTGGATTGGGGAGGGGGGTAGCATCTAAAAACTGGATTTAATAGTTTTTTTGTTCACTGGTCAGCGACGCAAACGGTGATTCTGTTTCTGCAATTTGTTATTCAATGTGTTTCTATGGGCTTTAGTAGTAAAGGCCAAAATCTATATTTTATCAATTAATTTTTGTATTTTTTTGATCCCTAATGGAAAAAATAAAAATAGCTAAATGATCCATAGTAGGACCATCTTTAAAACATTCCATATGACAGCTTAGCAAATTTTACTCCTGAACTAATTTAGGCTTGCTATAACAAAGGGGTTGAATACTTATTGACTCAAGACATTTCAGCTTTTCATTTTTAGTTAATTTGTGAGCATTTCTCAAAACATAATTCCACTTTGTAGGCCAATGACACAATCTCAAGTTAATCCATTTTAAAATCAGGCTGTAACACAACAAAATGTGGAAAAAGTCAAGGGGTGTGAATACTTTCTGAAGGCTCTGTAGCTTTGGACGTGGGACACATGCTGCTAGCAGTCATCGGACCATAAGTTATCTTGAATGCAGTCACTATGAAATGCCCTTAGACCTCGGCTTACCAATTAATGAAGTAATTAATGACAAGTCTAATATTGGGATAGCGCACTCTGAACACAACTTTGCTTTGTTGAATCACGTGCTGTAGCTAGTGTAGTAGACTAGTCAACAAATCCTCTGTTTTTTTAGCACAGAGGCCTTCCAAATAAAATTACTATCAAAATATTGTCAAAATATTGATTGAATACATTTTTTTCCCTCCAGACTTCCAGCTACTCACTCCAGCCGTTCCCCCTGATCAGCAGAACTGTGAGCAGGAGTGGAGCCCCAGTCTGGGGCAGGAGGACCCAGAACCCACACAGATTAAAGAGGAACATCAGGAGCTCAGACTCAGTCAGGAGGACTCACCTCAGCCCTCACATCTTTACCAAAACCAAACTGTGGATGACGGAGAGCAGGGGCACTCTACCTATCATCATAACTGAAGAGATCAAAACAGAACCTGATGGAGAGGGCTACAGAGTACCAGAACCAACCAGTGATCAGCCCCTCTCAGTTCATCCAGACTTCTCTGCTGCAGTGGAGAAAACATATCAGTGTAAACAATGTGGCAACAGCTTCACACGTAAGGGACACTTGACCATCCATTCAAGGATACACACTGGGGAGAAACCTTATCAGTGCAAACAATGTGGCAGATGTTTCAATGTTATGAGTAACCTGAAACAGCATATGAGAATACACACAGGACAGAAATCTTCTCAGTGCAAAGACTGTGGCAAATGTTTCATTCGGAAGTGTGACTTGGACAGACATACAAGGATACACACAGGGGAGAGATCTTTTCAGTGTGAAAACTGTGGCAAAGCTTTCAACCAGAAGATAGAATTGACATTGCATATGAGAGTTCATACAGGACAGAGACCATATAGCTGTCCTGTATGCAGTAAAAGGTACATGGCATTAAGCCATTTAAGACGTCATCAGAGCGTTCACACAGGGGAGAAACTTCACCAGTGCAAAGAACGTGACAAATCCTTTAGTAATAAAGGAAGCTTGAAGTCGCATATGAGTACTCACACAATATCACTGCAATGAGTGCAGCAAAAGCTTCAGCCTGAAGTGAATCTGAAGTGAAAACAACAAATTACACTTTATCATTGTGGATTTCTTGTTACATCCAATGTTTAAATTAATGTTATGTTCTATTTTCTGGCACTTGACAAAAAAAACTAATTGAGTAGTGTGTGGAGGGGAAAGCATCAGTCAGTATCAGATTTGTTAGCTGAATCTAGCTCTCACTTTCAGGGACCGACCCTCCAGGACACTGCTGGCTTCAGGAAGCCCTCACCGCTGTGTTTAGCACAGAGCACACACTTGGATTTCTAAACAACAGGAGTCCTTGTTCAATTGTTTAACAATGACATACAGGATATTTGGGCTTCTATCTGTACTGACGGCTGCATGTTAGAATATTGAAGTAGCCCATTATATCTGTATTGACGCAATACAGTAAATAAACGTTGTTTTAAAGATGTAATTTTTTCAATGGATGTCATAGTGAAACCCTCACTTTTGCTCTGTTGAACATTGTTTCTGTGATGGTTGATATTAGGCAGGTTTAATACATCCTCTATCAGCTCTATTCCCTGCCGTCTACCCTAACCCTATCCTAGAACAGCATTCCTAAAGTCTGAGGTGCTTTGTGCATATAGACCCTGTGTCAATTGTAAGGGTCAACTTTTACCTCCTGACTGGTGTCTCCTGGGACATGGCTGAAAGTAAACCGGTGCCTTTGTTTAATTATTAGGTCACAAAAACATTTTATAAGACCTTTGTTGGGTAAAGGTCAGGCTTTAAAGGACTTTGGGAACCACTACCTTATACTGACAATGGCTTCCTGTGATAACTGTGTGTGTTTAAATGTAGGTCAGTGTGATGTTTAACAGGCCACATTCCTAAGGAACACCAGCGTCATGGAGGATCCTCAACATTCCAACTGACCTGACCGTGCCCTCCACAACCGTGTCTCCTTCCCCCATCCCCGAGCCTGACCCCAGAGGGCCCTGAGGTACAGTGTTGTGAGAAGCAGGACCAGCTTTAACTGAGTGTTTGGGTACATCTCAGTAGTCATAAGTCTGACCCCTCCCCTTTCCACGTATTTGACCCATCCCCTTTCCACTAATGTGACCCTCCCCTTTCCACTCCTTTGACCCCTCCCCTTTCCACTCCTTTGCAACTCTTCTGCAGGTCGTTGTTTTGTGAGAGAAGGGTTCTCTGTTAACTAGAGTAAAAAATCAGGAAGATGATAGTAGGATACATAAAATGATCCTTTTTGCCTGTGCATACTGCTCTCTGTGCATACTGCTCTCTACTTGCAGTGCTGTCAACAGATTTTTGGGGTGTGGTTATTCCTCCTATGGTAGTGCAGTGGCGACCCGTCATTCAGGGCAGGTGGAGTCCCACCTGTTTTGAGCCCCACCTTTTTAGCTAAAAAACACAAGGCAGCTCCAAAATGCAGGTGTTTCAGCCTAGCTCAGTGCTTTCTGTGGTGGTGGGGCAGCCGGCGGAAAATACGGAGCGTAGGGTTGGTAATGTTCTCTAGTTGCGCCTTGATTGGCTCAGTGTTCTGTCACTCATGGGGACACTAGTCACCACCAAATCTAAGGGTAGAGCTCGAAAATTCAAGCCCCTTGGGTGCTGCCATAGAGTTACATTAGAAGTGCCCATCCAAGAAGGCTCAAGGTCATTGGCCACAGATAAAATTACGTCAAATCACGTTATATCTACAGTAGCTTTGATTGGACTGATCATGTCAACATCATACTTTCAAAATCTTAGCTAGCAGTCATCATCATGAATCAAGTCGACAATCTACTGGCAAATGCTTTTTAATCCTTGTCATATGAAGAGAAATAATGAAGAGAAATTATAGATAAAACGTATCGGTGCTCATCGGCCATTTGGCATAAACATTACACAACAAGTAGAAAATCGCAAATTCAACAATGAGTGGTTTGGAAGGGATTAGTGGCAAACTGCAAGCATTGCAAAGCAATCACTAGCTTTCTATTCAGTGGAGTGGGTTTGTGGTTCCAAGTATGGTTTTAAGGGTCTCTTTTCCCAGCTTAAAAGGATAAACATTCAACATTGGCCATGCTTTCAATCCAGCATGACTTCTGCCACGCTCAAAACAACTGTAAACTCAGAACTGGGAAATCTGACTTCAGTGAGTTCAACTGGGAACTGGGAACTCGGAAAAAAACGAGCTCTGACTGGGAAAATACGTTTTGAACAGTCATCCAACTCGGAATTGCAAGTCGGGAACTCAGGCCTCTTTCTACAACTCCGACCTGAGATCACTGACGTCATCATGATTCAACCTTGGTTTTTTTCAGAGTTCTCAGTTGTCTTGAAAGCACCATAAATCCAGAGAATGACAGACTGATGACTAAATTTGCCCACGAACGACCACCGCGCCACCTTCCTGTTCAAGTGAGCACAGCACATCAAGGTGAGTCCAAAAATGTATTGTATGCTGCTGCATAAATGATGTAATATGCCATGGAGATATGTATACTGTAGCTAAGAAAGTAATACTAAGTGTATGTTGTGTAGTAAGATGTTAGTAGCCCATGTGCCTCACCCTAATAATTTGGAATATTTTCCCCTCTTAATTTTGTCTACTGTTCTGACTTAGTGGTACACTATAACCTGTTTTAGAGAAATGTCATCATCGAATATTGTAAGAGCTTTCCTTGTCTGCTTATATGCCCCCTTTATTTATCCTACGGTTCTGACTTGGTGGACAGGGAGAACACTGTAAGAACGGCCCATGTTCTGAATTTTGTCGCTGTACAAATAGTTATTGACTACGTCTGTCCTAGCTCACTCATTAATCTCTTAATCGAAATTACGGATTGCCTCCTATCCGCTCGTCGTCCCCTTATGCCATAGTTTGTACATCTCAATTGTCATTAGAAACCACATTTGTTTAAGCAAGTCAGCCATATCAGCTATGTTTTTTTTAAAGGCAGTAAATTAGGTTAAATGAACTGTTTCGCTGCAAGACAAGGCTCTGCTGATAGCCAGGTGTAGCAGTGGTAAGGTGTTGGGACTCTGCTGTTGAGACAGCTTTATGTAGGCCCTAACAGTTTGTGGGCACCATTTGTCACCGTTGTAGTGCAATTAATGTATTGTTTAGTGTTGTGTTGTGGCTTTGCTGGCATGCGTCACATTTTTTTTTTGGGCCCACCAAGATTTACATGCTAAAATCGCCACTGTGGTAGTGACTGTCAGAAATTCCACTGTAATGGCAAACTTGGAACTGCTGTTGACCTAACACCAAGACGACGGTCTCATCATATCTAATAAAACGTGGCAAAATAATGTTGTAGGGATTTATTCGGATAGATATTACTAGATCCACAAAAATCTACAATTTATATCTAGCAGGTTTTCTTTTACCCAAATATTTGCCTGTGGGATTAGGGGGACAGTGTTTCTGGTGCCCGTCTTACAAAAAAATAAATAAAGAATCAACCACAAAGTCAATGAATCATAAAATAGAATAAAAATATTTCTGATGATAATAAATGGGTGGTCCCACTTCTAAACTAATCCTCGGCCAGCTGTGGGGTGTTTTGATTTGGCCCTATTTGGTCAATAAGCGTCAGTCATTTATCAATCAATAAGAACTGAATTTGAACTAGTACTGGCAGCTTGACATTTTTATGGGCGACTTTTGTCAGAACTGGTAGTTTACTCTGTTCCCTGTGTTTCCAGGCAGATCTGGCTCTGTGTTTGTTATCATAGGCAGCGATAATCGCTCCTCAGGCTCCCACCAGTACAACCCAAAGGAAGGACTCTGAAAGTCCTAAGTTGTGGCCTGAAACATTGTTTTAAATTAGATTCATGAAAGCCGGCATTGTTCGTGTGCCAATGGTGGAAATGGCAGATTAATTTCAGAGAGAAATGGGTCAAGAAAACAGAGAGGAGCTGGAGGGTATAGGACTCTTTTATGACTAGTTTTCAGAGTGAAAATATGTAGGATAAAAATCCCTTGAGGTCTATCATCTAGTTTTTAAAGGGGTCAAAGACAGTAATAGATGGCATAGGCCTGCTAGCAGAAAACAATAGACCATAGATGCAATCACTAGGAGGGGAAATAAAAATATAGCTAGCAGACGTGATACACATTACAAAAAGAATAACGTAGGCCTATCTAAAACACTTCAGAGGACTTTTAAAAGTACTGCAATTGTTACATACAACCCACATAATCAAAAGTTGCAGTAAAAATACTTGGTACTGATGAGAATGAACCTTTGTGGATGCATTGTTTAAACATGATCCCAGTTTTATCTGAAAGTCTTTCAGTGTTAGTGGCAATGGAGGCATACTGTCAGTAGAACAATGGTCTGTTGGTCGATTCAGGGTACTCCGACTATGATGGAGTGTATCCCCAGCTTTTTCAGGCCATTCTTGGGCAGCTATAAAGAGAGACGTGGGCCTCTAGATTATAGCTATCAGGATGGCGATCGCTGTCACGGGACAAACAGAGCGGATACCAAAGGACAGACTGTATGTGATCGTATCTGATCACATCTGTATGAACCCACTTTAAACCAGAACCAGAACAGAGCTCTAACCTAAGTCATTCAGCTCACATCTCTGGGCCAGACCCCAAGTCCAAAAACTTCACTGGGTAAATTATCTGTACAGATGATGCATTACCTTTAGACGGCGCTGACACAGCAGAGGAATCTTTCCATAAACAGATGTGTGTGTTTGGAGGGAGGGAGGGAGGGAGAGAGAGAGAGAGAGAGAGAGAGAGAGAGAGAGAGAGAGAGAGAGAGAGAGAGAGAGAGAGAACACACACACTTCATAAATATTTATCTCACGCATCAGTCTCTCATTTATTGCCAATAAATATCTCCTGCCTCTGACGTCTGCAGCTCATACAGGCTACAGAGGGCAGGAAGGAACATCAAGTGATCGGAGTAACTGTAGATTCATTCTAATCATGTCTATTGCATTTGTTTGGAGGAGCGGATATGATATGGGACTATAGTACTTAATGTAATTGGAATGGAGGCAACTTTTTTTCATTTGTAGTATTCAGTCAATTGTCGTTTTTAGTTTTCAGTCATGGCCTACGTGACCCTGTGTTGCTAGTTGCTGCAGGTTGAAGAGGAAAGGTGATGTCCTCAGGACCTTGCTTAGTAAACGGACACACTCCTCTCCTCTGCCCATTACTGTCTGGAACATTGGCTCATTAGGGAAGCTGATTAAATCACTGGGACGAGGGTCAGGCCAACCACTGGAGGGAGGGACGCTGTGCTATGATGAACATGGAGAGAGGGAGGAGGAGATGAAGGGAGACCAAGATAGAAAGAGGTGGAGGGACGGACGGGGAAATCTAGGGGTGTTTGCAGAAGTGAAAAGGAAAGAGGGAGGGACAGAAAGAGTGGGAGGGAGAGAGAGAGAAAGAAAGGAATGTAGTGTTACAGATGGCTCTTCTCCATGTGTTTTGGCTGTGCGGGGAGACTAGACGTTCCTTTCTAATGGAACCCTACAGAGCACAGGCGGAAAGCCACTCAAATCCTTTATGTAATGGAATAACATACTATGTGTCTGTGTGTGTGTGTGTCTGTGTGTGTCTGAAAAAGAGGGGATGTCAAGAGAAGTTAGGAGGGATGTTACTTTTTCTCTTTTTTCAATTTCAACCAGATTTTTAATTCAGGACTAATTAGGTTCCAGGAAACCGGCCCTCAAGGTTAAAGGAGAAAGTTGAAGTTTCAAAGAGACAATAATGAGGGTATGTACAGTTGAAGTCGGAAGTTTACATACACCTTAACCAAATACATTTAAACTCAGTTTTTCACAATTCCTGACATTTAATCCTAGTAAAAATTCCCTGTCTTAGGTCAGTTAGGATCACCACTTTATTTTAAGAATGTGAAATGTAGGATAATAGTAGAGAGAATTATTTATTTCAGCTTTTATTTTTTTCATCACATTCCCACTGGGTCAGAAGTTTACATACACTCAATTAGTATTTGGTAGCATTGCCTTTAAATTGTTTAACTTGGGTCAAATGTTTCGGGTAGCCTTCCACAAGCTTCCCACAATAAGTTGGGTGAATGTTGGCCCATTCCTCCTGACAGAGCTGGTGTAACTGAGTCAGGTTTATAGGCCTCCTTGCTCGCACACGCTTTTTCAGTTCTGCCCACAAATGTTCTATAGGATTGAGGTCAAGGCTTTGTGATGGCCACTCCAATACCTTGACTTTGTTGTTCTTAAGCCATTTTGCCACAACTTTGGAAGTATGCTTGGGGTCATTGTCCATTTGGAAGACCCATTTGCGACCAAGCTTTAACTTCCTGACTGATGTCTTGAGATGTTGCTTCAATATATCCACATAATTTTCCTTCCTCATGATGCCATCTATTTTGTGAAGTACACCAGTCCCTCCTGCAGCAAAGCACCCCACAGCATGATGCTGCCACCCCCGTGCTTCACAGTTGGGATGGTGTTCTTCAGCTTGCAAGCAACCCCCTTTTTCCTCCAAACATAACGATGGTCATTATGGCCAAACAGTTCTATTTTTGTTTCATCAGACCAGAGGACATTTCTCCAAAAAGTACAATCTTTGTCCCCATGTGCAGTTGCAAACCGTAGTCTGGCTTTTTTATGGCGGTTTTGGAGCAGTGGCTTCTTCCTTGCTGAGCGGCCTTTCAGGTTATGTCGATATAGGACTCGTTTTACTGTGAATATAGATACTTTTGTACCGGTTTCCTCCAGCATCTTCACAAGGTCCTTTGCTGTTGTTCTGGGATTGATTTGCACTTTTCACACCAAAGTACATTAATCTCTAGGAGACAGAATGTGTCGCCTTCCTGAGCGGTATGACGACTGCATTGTCCCATGGTGTTTATACTTGCGTACTATTGTTTGTACAGATGAACGTGGTACCTTCAGGCGTTTGGAAATTGCTCCCAAGGATGAACCAGACTTGTGGAGGTCTACAAATTTTTTTCTGAGGTCTTGGCTGATTTATTTTTATTTTCCCATGATGTCAAGGAAAGAGGCACTGAGTTTGAAGGTAGGCCTTGAAATACATCCACAGGTACTCCTCCAATTGACTCAAATTATGTCAATTAGCCTATCATAATCTTCTAAAGCCATGACATCATTTTCTGGAATTTTCCAAGCTGTTTAAAGGCACAGTCAACTTAGTGTATGTAAACTTCTGACCCACTGGAATTGTGATACAGTGAATTATAAGTGAAATAATCTGTCTGTAAACAATTGTTGGAAAAATTACTTGTGTCATACACAAAGTAGATGTCCTAACCGACTTGCCAAAACTATAGTTTGTTAAAAAGAAATTTGTGGAGTGGTTGAAAAACGAGTTTTAATGACTCCAACCTAAGTGTATGTAAACTTCCGACTTCAACTATATGTAGTACTTTCTCTGTGTTCTGTCTCTGCCCAACAGCCCAAGGCACTTCATTATCACCCTCATTTAACTAATCATCTGATTTTCTGAACCACTTTAAACGGGGCTATGGTTGTGATTGGTTTGGGGAGCACACACTGTCCTGGTTCTTCTCACTTTAGCCCAGTTTGTGCCCCACTTCTGTCTGATGCTGCAGTAAAATTAATTGTATTACATTCTTTCTTTTTTTGAAAAAGAGTTCCAAGTTCTACAAAGTTTTGGGTCCCACTTCTTATCTCCTACTCCTATTCTACCTTTATTATCTCCTACTCCTATTATGACAGAGGTAGCCCAGTGCCCTCTTGTCTATTATGGTGACCACCTGTTAATGAATGTATATCATGTCTAATTCATGCTCATCATGATAATAATAATTGTCTTTTTCACTAACAAGTCTAAACTACAAAGCTCACCTCATTCTCACAGGTCTTGGAGGAATACAAAAAGCACATTTTTATTTTTTTATCAAGCTTGTAAAATAGTCCCACTCTCATTGAAATGTTAGCTGGTCATTCCACCCCCCCTAAAAATAACTAACTCTTCTCTCCCAGACCCCGTCTGCAGTAGGACCCAGGGGCCACCGAGGCGCCAGCTACACAGGGCTCACGAGCTCGTGTGTAATAAGTGGCACAGCCAATTTGGTTCAGTGTGTGGAGAGCCTGGGTGAGGCGCGTGTATAGTGGACCTATAACTCTAAGCATGGCTTAGATAGTTCGTTTTCAACACCTGACAACTCGAACTGAACGTTCCTTTTCCACCAAGACGGGCGGAATACTGTATACAGATCCAGTGCGTACATTAAATGACTTTTGTTGGACAGCAAGGTGTCGACAGGAGCGGGTGGAATTCTTCTAACGAATAAGGACTTTTATGGAGTTTATTTCTTTACTTCGTCTTTGGATAGCTTTGGGATTGTAGAGCGCGGTTGCAGCTCCCCTTTTCCCGCGAAACTCTACCTGGATGGAAACCATGTCACCACAGCAACAGAACGAGCTGAGCCGCAGGACGTCGCTCACCGGGGAGTCCAAGCCCAGCACGCAACATGAAAACAAGAGGGTAAATTAACATCATAGACCAAATCATGTGTTTTTACGCACTCATTCCCGAGAAATGTGAGGATTGTTATACGTTTCCAAACAGTGAAAATAAATGTTTGGTCAAGTAGCTTATTGCAACTGTGTTGTGTTGCGCGCTATGTGGCCTTTAGCGCACGGGCTCACACGGGGATTGCCGGTGCTATGTTCGGACTCACTGTGTTCGCAGGAGGAGGGAGTAAATCGCTGTTAAACCGACCCCTCAGGTTGTAGACACTGATCAGAATATCCATAGACAGATCCAGGAATTAGGCCTATGCAACTCAGTTATTTGCTGATAACAGCACTACCTGTTGCATATCCATGCGTATATGTGCATTGGTGACATTTCAAAAGCATTTCAATGCTTTGAAACCATAGATCTCATACAGTAATAAAATATGACACCTTTGTTTGAAACCTTAGGCCTATATCATATAGCCAACTGTAGGTTATTATAGGCCAATGATCATTCAGTTGGAATGTATAGATTCCCCCTCCGCAGTCTTCTGAACCAGTAGTTGTGTTGTTTGTGTAAAAGCTATGGTGTTGTTCTGTAGCCGAGTATTTCAGTCTCTGGCACCATTAGAGTGTCTGGCTACGTGGGGACTGGCAGCCGTTTGCAAGAGGCTTTACCCACTGCTCTGCTTTGTGTGGAAATAGCAGCTATTCTATAAGCAAGCCTGCCATTAATACCTGGACTGCTTCAGTAATTGAATGTTTGAATAACTATTTCCTGGCTGGGCCACTCAAGGACATTCAGACTTGTCCCGAAGCCACTCCTGCGTTGTTTTGGCTGTGTGCTTAGGATTGTTGTCCTGTTGGAAGGTGAACCTTCGCCCCAGTCTGAGGTCCTGAACACCACGGAGCAGGTTTCCATCAAGGATCTCTCAGTACTTGCTCCGTTCATCTTTCCCTCGATCCTGACTAGTCCCCCAGTCCCTCAGTCCCTACCACTGAAAACATCCCCACAGCATGATGCTCCCAACCTTATGCTTCACAGTAGGGATGGTGCCAGGTTTCCTCCAGACGTGACGCTTGGCATTCAGGCCAAATAGTTCAATCTTAGTTTCATCTGACCAGATAATCTTGTTTCTCATGGTCTGAGAGTCCTTTAGGTGCATTTTGACAAACTCCAAGTGGGCTGTCATGTGCCTTTTACTGAGGAGTGGCTTCCGTCTAGCCACTCTACCATAAAGGCCTGATTGGTGGAGTGCTGCAGAGAGGGTTGTCCTTCTGGAAGGTTCTCCCATCTCCACAGAGGAACTCTAGAGCTCTGTCAGAGTGACCTTCGGGTTCTTGGTCACCTCCCTGACCAAGGCCCTTCTCCCCCAATTGCTCAGCTTGGCCAGGCAGCCAGCTCTAGGAAGAGTCTTGGTGGTTCCAAACTTCTTCCATTTAAGAATGATGGAGGCCACTGTGTTCTTGGGGACCTTCAATGCTGTAGAAATGTTTTTGTACCCTTCAGATCTGTGCCTCGACACAATCTTGTCTCGGAGCGCTATGGACAATTCCTTCGACCTCATGGCTTGGTTGTTGCTCTGACATGCACTGTCAACTGTGGGACCTTATATAGACAGGTGTGCGCCTTTCCAAATCATGTCCAATCAATTGAATTTACCACAGGTGGACTCCAATCAAGTTGTAGAAACATCTCAAGGATGATCAATGGAAACAGGATGCACCTGAGCTCAATTTTGAGTCTCATAGTAAAGGGCCTGAATACTTATGTAAATAAGGTATTTCTGTTTTTTATTTGTAATTCATTTGCAAAAAATTTCGAAATCTGTTTTCTCTTTGTCATTATGTGTGTAGATTGATGAGGGGGAAAACTGGTTTAATCAATTTTAGAATAAGGCTGTAACGTAACAAAATGTGGAAAAAGTCAAGGGGTCTGAATACTTTCCGAATGTACTGTATATTACTGTGTCATAATAACTGTCATTACTAATGTAGTATAGATGCCTTCCTTATAATCAGTAGTGACAGCTGATGTCATCTTATGCCAACTGTCCTCCCAGGATAGGTCCTAACTGTTTAGGTCAGCAAATGTGGCTGCTGACCAGCAGGCTAGAGAACCCTGATAGGCTTAACATAAATAATTGTACCGTTGAGGAAACATGATTATGCCTAGTGATGACACAAACCATTATTTGATGCAAAAGTGATCTGTACAGTTCAGAATTGGATAACATTTACTTTGAGATGACCTTGAAATAGAACAGGCAATGCTTTACATTGTTGCCCAATGTGCCATGTAGTAACTTTTTATAACCGACTACTCTGGTAACCTGTTGTAACGCAATTAATCAGCTGTACATTGGTGACCTCAGATGAGGTATGACTGACCCCACAGTTGCACACTGGGTTACCTGTAGAATTCAGATTGGAATGACATCTGATTTTCCTATTTCCGTATTCACTTTAGATTTTTTTAACCTTAAAATTAGAGAATCCACCCTCCAATCCAATTTGGACTCCCAGTCCATTGAATGAATGACGAATGACATTTATTGTCCCTCAAAAGGAACGTGTGTGCAGAGCTCCCCACAGGCTATACCTACAGTACATTACAGGAGACATCCCTCACTGAGCGAGAACCCCAGTCCTCTCCTGTCAACACAATAACCTCCACTGTTAAATTCACTTCCCTCAGACTGTCTGTTTGGAGGCCATGCTAGCGCTGACTGCTGACACCAAAGTCGATGACGAACGATCGCATACATCTACTGTAAACGTTTCTCTTTACCTCAGACTTGTGCAATGTTTAGGCTACGCCACAGTGCGTTTTTTAAAACCGTTGTTTTATCAGGATATGCTGTATGTCTCTGTCCAGCCAGCCGCTGCTGTGTGTACTGGAAATACGGTAAACCCCATTAGGGAACATTAGTCAGAGTTGAAGACATATTTGGGCTGTTGGATCAGAGTCTCTGCTGTGTCTGGCCTGTCTGGCCTGCTCTCTTAAAATCAAATCAAATCAAATGTAATTTGTCACATACACATGTTTAGCTGATGTTATTGCGGGTGTAGCGAAATGCTTGTGTTTCTAGCTCCAACAGTGCAGTATATCTAACAATTCACCACAATACACACAATATACACAATCTAAAAGTAAAAGAATGGAATATATAAGGAATATATAAATATTAGGATGAGCAATGTCGGAGTGGCAGACTAAAATACAGTAGAATTGAATACAGTATATACAGTGAGGGGGAAAAAGTATTTGATCCCTGCTGATTTTGTACGTTTGCCCACTGACAAAGACATGATCAGTCTATAATTTTAATGGTAGGTTTATTTGAACAGTGAGAGACAGAATAACAACAACAAAATCCAGAAAAACGCATGTCAAAAATGTTATAAATTGATTTGCATTTTAAGGTCAGACGTTTCTTGTAGTTGGCCCCCAGGTTTGCACACATCTCAGGAGGGATTTTGTCCCACTCCTCTTTGCAGATCTTCTCCAAGTCATTAAGGTTTCGAGCCTGACGTTTGGCAACTCGAACCTTCAGCTCCCTCCACAGATTTTCTATGGGATTAAGGTCTGGAGACTGGCTAGGCCACTCCAGGACCTTAATGTGCTTCTTCTTGAGCCACTCCTTTGTTGCCTTGGCCGTGTGTTTTGGGTCATTGTCATGCTGGAATACCCATCCACGACCCATTTTCAATGCCCTGGCTGAGGGAAGGAGGTCCTCACCCAAGATTTGATGGTACATGGCCCCGTCCATCATCCCTTTGATGCGGTGAAGTTGTCCTGTCCCCTTAATAGAAAAACACCCCCAAAGCATAATGTTTCCACCTCCATGTTTGACGGTGGGGATGGTGTTCTTGGGGTCATAGGCAGCATTCCTCCTCCTCCAAACACGGCGAGTTGAGTTGATGCCAAAGAGCTCGATTTTGGTTTCATCTGACCACAACACTTTCACCCAGTTCTCCTCTGAATCATTCAGATGTTCATTGGCAAACTTCAGACGGCCCTGTATATGTGCTTTCTTGAGCAGGGGGACCTTGCGAGCGCTGCAGGATTTCAGTCCTTCACGGCGTAGTGTGTTACCAATTGTTTTCTTGGTGACTTTGGTCCCAGCTGCCTTGAGATCATTGACAAGATCCTCCCGTGTAGTTCTGGGCTGATTCCTCACCATTCTCATGATCATTGCAACTCCACGAGGTGAGATCTTGCATGGAGCCCAGGCCGAGGGAGATTGACAGTTATTTTGTGTTTCTTCCATTTGCGAATAATCGCACCAAGCTGCTTGGCGATGGTCTTGTAGCCCTTTCCAGCTTTGTGTAAGTCTACAATCTTGTCCCTGACATCCTTGGAGAGCTCTTTGGTCTTGGCCATGGTGGAGAGTTTGGAATCTGATTGATTGATTGCTTCTGTGGACAGGTGTCTTTTATACAGGTAACAAACTGAGATTAGGCGGCAGGTAGCTTAGTGGTTAGAGCGTTGTGCCAGTAACCGAACGGTCGCTGGTTCTAATCCCCGAGCCCACTAGGTGAAAAATCTGTCGATGTGCCCTTGAGCAAGGCACTTAACCCTAATTGCTCCTGTAAGTCGCTCTGGATAAAAGCGTCTGCTAAATGACCAATTATTATTAATTATTATTAGGAGCACTCCCTTTAAGAGTGTGCTCCTAATCTCAGCTCGTTACCTGTATAAAGAACCCTGGGAGCCAGAAATCTTTCTGATTGAGAGGGGGTCAAATACTTATTCCCTCATTAAATGCAAATCAATTTTAACATTTTTGACGTGTTTTTCTGGATTTTTTTGTTGTTATTCTGTCTCTCACTGTTCAAATAAACCTACCATTAAAATTATAGACTGATCATTTCTTTGTCAGTGGGCAAACATACAAAATCAGCAGGGGATCAAATACTTTTTTCCCTCACTGTACATATGAGATGAGTAAAGCAAAAATATGTAAACATTATTAGAGTGACTAGTGTTCCATTTATTAAAGTGGCCAGTGATTTTAAAGTCTATGTATATGGGGCAGCAGCCTCTAAGGTGCAGCGTTACGTAACCGGGTGGAAGCCGCCTAGTGATGGCTATATAACAGTCTGATGGCCTTGAGATAGAAGCTGTTTTTCAGTCTCTCGGTTCAAGCTTTGATGCACCTGTACTGACCTCGCCTTCTGGATGATAGCGGGGTGAACAGGCAGTGGCTCGGGTGGTTGTTGTCCTTGATTATATTTTTGGCCTTCCAGTGCTGTAGGTGTCCTGGAGGGCAGGTAGTTTGCCCCTGGTGATGCGTTGGGCAGACCGCACCACCCTCTGGAGAGCCCTGCGGTTGCGGGCGGTGCAGTTGCCATACCAGGCGGTGATACAGCCCAACAGGATGCTCTCAATTGTGTATCTGTAAAAGTTTGAGGGTTTTAGGTGCCAAGCCAAATTTCTTCAGCCTCCTGAGGTTGAAGAGCCGCTGTTGCGCCTTCTTCACCACACTGTCTGTGTGGGTGGACCATTTAAGATCGTCAGTGGTGTGTACGCCGAGGAACTTGAAGCTTTCCACCTGCTCCACAGCGGTCCCGTCGATGTGGATAGGGGGGTGCTCCCTCTGCTGTTGCCTGAAGTCCAAGATCAGCTCCTTTGTTTTGTCGACGTTGAGGGAGAGGATATTTTCCTGGCACCACACTCCCAGGGCCTTCACCTCCTCTCTGTAGGCTGTCTCGTCATTGTTGGTAATCAGGCCTACTACTGTTGTGTCGTCTGCAAACTTGATGATTGAGTTGGAGGCGTGCGTGACCACACAGTCATGGGTGAACAGGGAGTACAGTAGGGGGCTGAGCACGCACCCTTGTGTGGCCCCAGTGTTGAGGATCAGCGAAATGGAGGTGTTGTTTCCTACCTTCACAACCTGGGGGCGGCCCGTCAGGAAGTCCAGGACCCAGTTGCACAGGGCGGGGTTCAGACCCAGGGCCCCAAGCTTAATGATGAGCTTGGAGGGTACTATGGTGTTGAATGCTGAGCAATAGTCAATGAACAGAATTCTTACATAGGTATTCCTCTTGTCCAGATGGGATAGGGCAGTGTGCAGTGCGATGGCGATTGCATCGTCTGTGGATCTATTGGGGCGGTAAGCAAATTGAAGTGGGTCTAGGGTGTCAGGTAAGGTCTTCCTCTGTTTCTCCACCCCATTATACCTCTCTCTCTCTCTCTGTGTTTCCCTCTATCATACCCCTCTCTCTCTCTCTCTATCTCCACCCCTATCATACCCCTCTCTCTCTCTATCTCCACCCCTATCATACCCCTCTCTCTCTCTCTATCTCCACCCCTATCATACCCCTCTCTCTCTCTATCTCCACCCCTATCATACCCCTCTCTCTTTCCTCCACAGAGGATGAAGTCTCTGAGCCATCGTCGACAGTCTGCTCCCTCTCTGGTAATCAACAAAGCCCTGACCAGATCCAGAACATTCTCCAGGTATGTTGGGGGACCAGGGACATTTCTCATAAACTAGGTGTAAAGGTCAAATCCTAGCAAAAAAAAAAGACAACTCAACGTTTCCTACAAATCTCCCATCAATATCACACTCAGAGCTTGAGTTAAAAGTGGGTTTTCCAGTTAGGATTCAGCTCTCACGGTAGAGCTCTCAAAGTTGCCTTGGGTTGTGATGATCAGAGAGGTCAAGGGTCACACTGGTTAAACATGAGGAGACCGCTTGCGTGAGTTTGTGCAAGTGAGAGTGTATGTGTGTGCATGTGTGTTTTTGTACGTGTGTGTGTGTACGTGCGTACCCTGGTCAAACATGAGGAGACAGCAGTGCACTCTTAGAAAAAAGGGTTCTTCGGTACTCACCATAGGAGAACCCTTTTTGGTTCTGTGGAAAGGGTTCTACATGGAACTCAAAAGGGTTCTTCAAAGGGTTATCCTATGGGGACAGCCGAAGAACCCTTTTAGGTCCTAGATAGCAGCCTTTTTTCTAAGAGTGTGTGTTTGCAGTCTGAGTTAGCAGTCACATCCCCTCCCATCCTGGATGTGTATCAGGGTCATTACTGCTTAGACGACCCCTGGGACTTTGAGCTGTGATTTAGAGGTGTGGAAGGAGCTGAACCAAGTTTTTAATCGAGTGAGAGTTGTGCCTACGTCTTCCAAATACTCTGAGGTGTGATATCACAATCTGCACCGCAGTACAGACGCTTAACAGGAAGGAGCTGAACAACTTCATTACTAAGAGAGGAACATAGTTTTTCCATCTGTTTGTGTGTGTGCACATATATGTCAAGGTGGTCGTGACGTTAATGGTTCAAATGACATTGATCTCCAGTTGTTTTTGTACACACACACACACACACACACAGAGTGCCTAGTCCTAGAGTGGTTCTCCTCTCAGGCATCACTAATCCTCTCAGATAGCTAATCCATCCCAATCAGGATCGGGGATCTATTAATATCCTTGGCTTTGACCCCCAGTCCAGGGCAGTGAATAACCATGTTAAAGAGACACTGGAGGTGTGTTCATCCTCCCTGGTAACTACTAGCCTAACTGACCCCTTTCACAGCAGGGACACATTCCATTTAATTCTACCCTTCAATCACAACCACATAATGTTGATTCACTGAACTGAAGTTTCTGCATACATTTGTTCCCTTTTGTTAGGATTGTTTCGGTTGTATAATTTGGGTAGGAAAAAATAGATGTATTTATTCTAGAAAAGTGTGTTTAGATTGGATCTATACCTGAAATTGTCTTCCCAGAGAGAGCTTCCTGGTTCCTGTGTGTCCAGAGACGTGCCCATTGGTCCAGTCGTTCCTGTGTCCTGATAGGGCGTTCCTCCTGCACAGCCACGTCACGCTGAAGACAGGACTGCAGACGCAGGACAGAGACTTCTTCCTCTTCACCGACATCCTCATCATCGCCAAGGCCAAGTAAGAGCGAGGGAGGTGGAAGGTGGGAGATAGAGGGGGTAAAGAGAGAGAAAGAGAAGGAGGATGACAGAAGGGCAGTGAATGACCATGAAAGTGTGGGGGTATGTGTGTGTGTCTCTGACATCTGTTGTGTCATCATCCTCAGGTCTCCCACACACTTCAAGCTGAAGGCCCAGGTGTGTGTCGGTGAGATGTGGACAGCCCAGTGTATGGAGGAGGTGTGTGAGGGCAGCACCAACCCGGAGAAGAGCTTCGTCATGGGCTGGCCCACCTGCAACTGTGTAGTCACCTTCAGGTACACAACAGACACTCTGGGTCTGCAATCTGCACTGCATATTTCTGAGCAGTGAAGCATTGCTTATATATGCAGCAGGGGAGGCTGGTGGGAGGAGCTATTAGAGGATGGCTGGAATGGAATTAATGGAACTTAATCAAGCAGGGGATTTCCATATGCTTGACGTGTTTGATACATTCCATCTATTCCATTCCAGCCATTACCACAATGAGCCCGTCCTCCTATAGCTCCTCCCACCAGCCTCCTCAGATACAGTATGACCTTCATGGGTTGTATATATTTCAACCTGGTACATTTTTACAGGTGGTTCTATAAGTTGCTGTAGAAAGTGTTTAGGTTCTTATTTGATATGTTTAGGTGGCTTGTGCTGTTGACGTTGTTCTGACGTTTATGGTTTATCTTTACCAGCTCTGAGGTCCAGAAGGAGAGATGGCTCTCCCTGCTCAAAAGGTGAGCAACAGATAAGCCATTATGGTTTCTTCTACTGTAAACATATGTTGATGTGAGTCCAGTATGTGTTCTCCCTGTGGGCTAAATCCTCACCTTCCTGTTTTTCCAGTCGAATAAAAGAGGAGAAGGAAAAGGATGATCCTAAAACCATTCCACTGAAGGTGTTTGGCAAAGGCATCGGGAGTTGTGCTCAGGCCGTCAGTAAGACCTTGGCTGTCAGTAACTCTGATTCTACCAATGAGGTTGTCCGACTCGCTCTGCAGCAGTTTGGTGTCACGGTGTGTATAGAATTGAGCAATACTGTTTTTTTGTGTCTTGTGCTGTTGTTATCTTGACTAATGTAGTTTTTGGAGTGTTTTTGTTTGTAATCTTGTTTCTTAGAATATCTTTGTCTGTGTTCCATAGAGCTGTGTGAAGGACTACCAGCTGTGGGTGAGCTCCAAGAGGGACAACGCCCCTTACCCTCTCATTGGTGAGATTCTAACACCAAGGTCTTGTCTATTGGTTGATTCCCTGGTGTGTTAGTTGAATTAGGTGTTGAATCAGGTGTGTTAGTGCTGGCCTGGAACTAAATCCTACTGGAACCCCTGACCTCTGACCTTTACCCCCTGACCCTCTCCCAGGTCACGAGTTCCCTTTCAGTATCCAGATGAGTCATGTGCGGGAGCCCCTGTCCCAGCCGGGCGGTAGGGACACAGTTCCGCCTCCAGACAGACAGAGGGCGATGCACCGCGACCAGCTACAGGTGGACAAACAGTGCCAGTTCATCCTCAAGACCCGACGCAGCTCCACAACAACAACGCCTGTGATTGGTGAGGACTGAGGAGGCGCTTAATGCACTAATACTAGTCTATAAATGGTTTATTAGTGGTCTATTACTGGTCTGTTACTGATAGTCGAGGATTGGCTTTGGGGCTCGTTTTTGCTGTCACGCTTTCTCTTGCCACTCTATTGCTTCCTCTTTCTCTCCTCTGTGCCCCACTGCAAATGATTTGATCTCACTCTGTTGTGACCACGTCCTGTCTGACCTGACATCTCTCTCCAGTAGACCCAGCTCAGAAGCCCTTCAAGCGAAGGCGTTCTCTCATCAACTGGGCTTTCTGGAAAGGCTCCAATCCTAACCTCCACAGTTCCTCCACAAACCTCTCCTCACCCGCCCCCGGCTACCTGTTCGGCCAATCGCTGAGCACCATCTGTTGGGACAACTCCCTGCCCAAGCCCGTCATGGTGAATGATGTCGCAGTGATATCAGAATGATATCATCAGTGATTTGAGGAAGTCGATTGAAAATTAATCAAACTCTTATCTGCAACCTCTGTCTGTCTCTCTGTCTGTCTCTCTAGGACATGCTGGTGTTTCTGTACAATGAGGGTCCGTTCACGCGGGGGATATTCCGACGGTCGGCGGGGGCGAGGGCGTGTCGTGACCTCAGGGACAGACTGGATTCTGGGGCTCAGGATGTCTCGCTGACACGGGAACACGTCTTCATCATTGCTGCTGTGTTCAAGGTACACGCTCTAAAACACGCTAGACAACTCCGAAGTCTGTGGCGGCAGAATGACATCAGTTATACCATTGTTATGATGTGTTATGTAGGCCTAATGGCAGACGGAGGGTTCAAGTGAAGTGGAACCAAATGTACTTTCATCACCTGAGAAAAACAGGTTTAACCTTTGCTTAGTAAATCTGGTCACCTTGTAGGACCATGGCAGATGAAGCTGCGGCTGTCACATTGATGCTGTAGTGTTGAGGTTGTCCTCTTAAATGTAGTCTTTGGGCAAGAAAAACACAAAAATAACCGCATTGAACTATATAACTGATCAATGCACCATCATACCAGGTCATTTAATGATTTAAAAACAAAAACATTTATGAATAAGATATTTGGCTACAGAAGTGCAATTTCTTACCGATTTCTACAGTGGCTACAGTTAGCTAAGGAACTAGCTACGTCGGTCGCGGCGCGAATGACCAGAATGACACATCGATGAACCACCAAAGGCACACCCCATTTCTGTTTGAAAATTGAGAAAGAGGCGGAGTTGGAAGGTTTTTCGTGCCCAAAGTCGACCTTTAAGCTATGTGAATGACTCGTGTCAGCGAAGGACATTGTCCTTACTTGCCAAGTGTTACATTACACCTGTGCACTTGTGGTGTGTTGTTGTCGTAGTGTGTGTGTGTGCCAGGTAATTGACCTATATCTGAAAGATAATTAATCTCATCCAATCCAATTATCGACTCTATGGGTGACACACATACGAGTCCATAGCAACGCAGCACAGGCTGTACCAAAAACAATAGCTAAGTAGAGATATGGTTGTCAAATTTAATCTGTAGCTCATAATCCGGTAATCTGGTAGGGATCCACTGAACAAATCTGAAGACATTAACAGTTACATCTAAAAGTCTATGACAACAAATGAAGGTTTTCACCTAAAACTTCACCTCAAAACCTTCAATTACATTTTATTGTTGTATGTTTTTTCCTCTATAAATTGTCAGTCTAGTGACTCTGGTCTCTGTCTCAATATTCAGGACTTCCTGCGGAACATTCCGGGCAGTCTGCTGTGTTCCGACCTCTATGAACAGTGGAAGGATGTGATGGAGGAAGCAGAATCAGAGGAGGCAGAGGAGGAGGAGCAGGCACGGGATATAACGAGGTAACACACTCACACAGACAGACACTTTCCATCCTCACCTGAATCGGCAGTAGGCTACTGGGATAAGTGTCGTAATAGGCTGAGTAATGAATCAGGTGACTTAGTTATGAAAGAGAAACTCCTCTAGATAGTTAATACAGAGTGCCAGGAACCACTGCTTCCCTCAGCTCCGTGTTCTAATCATAGAGATAGTTTTATCTCAATGGTTCAGCTAGCTTTTCAGCTAGCTGCTCTAAACAGGCAGAGCCCAGGGTTAGGGAACTGAAGAGAAGGACTGGACAGCTTCAGTACGACTGTAGGCCGCTTTAAAGTAGGAAAATATCGGGCAAACTGAATATTCCTCCTGGGCATTTAGTTGGTATCAACTATTTGTTATCGATTCGTTCCACCCAGTCACAAGGGAGCCGCATGAGAGAGAGAGAGAGAGAGAGAGAGAGAGAACTAGGTTGTGACCTTTAGTCAAAGTAGAGAGCGAGTGAGCTGTTATGTTAGCATTCATTTCTGGGACAGAAAGCGGAGTCCATGTTCAGCTGGAGGTAGAGGTTGCCCTTTAAGACAGATCTAGGATCAGATTACCACGTTACCTTAGCCCTAATCCTAATCAAAACCATCAGGCTAATGAGAAACATCTGACCATGTGTCAGTCATTTAGGGGCAGCTTGTACCTACACGTACACAAATCAAATCAAGTTGTATTGTTTGTATTTCGTTGTATTTTAAATTTGTGTGACTGTCCTTGTCCATCAGTGTTTTTCTACGTGTCATGTGTTGTGTTGTTTGTAAACCCCAGGAAGAGTAGCTGCTGCTTCTGCAAAAGCTAATGGGGATCTGAATAAACAAACCAGCGTCTGGAGTTATTCCTGTCAGGGAAAACTCAAGGCCCTGTTCATACTGTAAATAATACACATTTTGATAACCAATAATAAACGTTGACCCATCTGTGACTCTCCTTCGCTGCAGGCTGATTGGTCTACTGCCCAAAGAGAACGCCCTGCTGCTACGCTACGTGGTCGCCATGCTGAACAGTATACAGGAAAACGCCCATGACAACCAGATGAATGCCTTCAACCTATCTGTGTGCATTGCTCCCAGCATGCTCTGGGCTCCGGGCCCCAGCAGCCCCGAGGTGGAGGGGGAGGGCGCCAAGAAGGTGAGGGGACGACTGGAGGGGTAATACACATAAGCACTTTCCCCTTGATCCCTAACCTTTGTTTGACCTATAACCCTTAGCCTTTAACCCCAACATCAACCCTTACCTAAACACAAACAATTTGACCCCTAACCTTTACCTAGGCTAGGCTCCACTTCAGCCTTTATCCTGTAACCTAGTGAACAGTCACTCAACAACACTGGAAAACCAAAGTAGAGTAACAGTTAACAGTAATGAGATAGTTAACATGTAGCTGGAAACATAACAGTAATGAGACTGTTAACATGTAGCTGGAACCATAACAGTAATGAGACTGTTAACATGTAGCTGGAACCATAACAGTAATGAGACTGTTAACATGTAGCTGGAAACATAACAGTAATGTGACAGTTAACATGTAGCTGGAAACATAACAGTAATGAGACTGTGGGTTGGTAACATGTAGCTGGAAACTTAACAGGGACTCGCTGGGAAATATGCAAAGCATTTCCTTCAGCCTGCAGGGTCAGCACTCTTCTCACACTCGTCTTGCGACGTGAACAGACACACACACACTACCCCTTCCCTCGTTGTGGGTGTAGCAGTTAATTCTATGGCTAACAGATTTGTCTGACTGCTCAGCTCACAGAAATGTAACATTGCAAAAATGTATTATGCAACAAAGTCTTAGGTTACAAGTAAGTTCATGTGTTCCATAGCCAGTTCAACAGCCCCTAGAAGCTTATCTCGCGCACTGAGACTGAAAATACAGACAGAGCAACATCAATGTAACCATCAGAGCCATTTTGGTGCTGCATTTGTGTCAGTTCATCACCATATCAACGAAATGTCTAACGTACTCGGAATAGATTGTTCTTTCTCTGAGAAGGTTATCTGGTAAATTCCCACCACTTTCGTCACTCCTGCGTTACTGTTTCATACAGTTAGAAAGCTGTGTTACTGTTTCATAAAGTTAGAAAGCTGTGAAGGCCTTTGTCCTAAGAATAGACTCACTTCTCTATCTTGGAGACTGATTTCGCAACTTCTCACGAGAAAAACACGGTGTCTTAAATTATAGTTATTTGTTTAACTCAAGGCCTAGTAAAAAGATACATAGAGCTCAGAATCTGTAGTAGTTCCTCCAGGTTAAAGACCTGTTCCCTTGTCCTGTCCCTAGGTGTGTGACCTGGTGAGGTATATGATAGAACACTGCCAGGAGGTCCTGGGAGAGGATGTCACCTCTCTGTTTGGAGGTCTACCCCGGAAACGCGCCGAATCGGGTATCTCACACACCCTAACATCTCTGTTTATGCAAAGATTCCCCTGCTCAAAAGCACACACCATCTAATGTTCTCCTCTTTCTCTCTCTGTCCCCCTCTATCTCTCTCTTTCGCCTTCTCTCACTCTCTCCACAGACATGTCTTCCTTCCACCTGACCGACTCGTCTTATGACAGCCTGGAGAACATGCTGAATGATGACAGCAGTGAGTCTCCAGGCCTCCACACCTCACGGCGGCGCTGGAGAGCCAAACCCCTGCAGGGCAGCCTGGACTCTGTCCTCACCCTGAGCGACTGCGACCTGGACCAACCCGACCTGGACACAGACCCCGACACCACAGACCCCCAATCTGGCAACCACCACCACCGCGATACGATCACACAATCTGGATCTGGCAACATCCTCCAGCCCTCAACCCCATCCCTAGGCAGGACCAGGAAACTCAGCCCAGCTGCGACCCCCTCCTCCTGTCCCAGCCCCCCAGCCCCTCGGAGGGGGGGGAGGAGGTGCTCAGAGCCGGCCATAGGGTACTCTGTGGCCAGCTTCGTGGAGCGACTGGCAGGGAACGCAGACAGGCTGGGCAGCATTGATGGGGAGATGTTTCACAGCTTACGGAAGGATGGACAGACACAGACACGTGAACCCACACACACAGGGGAGTGGAATAGCAGTAAGGCTGCATGTGAGGGTTCGGGGTCACAAGGTGCACAGACACGAAGCCGGGACGCGATCTACTCCAGTCTCTCTTCGCCACCCACCTCCCCCACCCCCACACGCTCTTCCATGGACTCCCTGGACAACCTCTTCTCCCACTCCAGCATCCAGTCCGCTCCATTCTGGCAACCCAGGGCGGGGACCAACGCCGCAAGATTGACTCCCTCCCCTGCTCCTTCTGGTCCTCCTGTCCCTCTAACCCCCATATCTTCCTCTACTTCCACCCATAGTCTACCCATCCCCACCCCCAGCCCAGCTCCAGGCCAAGGGCTCAGTCCCAATATCTCTCCGCCGAAGGAGATCCCTTCCTGGGGTACACTGAAGGCCAGCAGGGGGCTCCATCCCAACACCTGGTTGAAGAGAGGCCGCAGACTGTCCCTATCGCAGCAGGATGATGAGGGGGGTGTGGTGAGTTCAGTTACATGTGGTTGTTGTCGTTGTTTATTAGTACTGTTCATTCATGGAATATCTCTCTCTCTCACACAGACTCATACTTTCTCTTTCACTATCTCTGTAGGTGGCCTCCACTAACAAGACTCTCCCCTCTAGCAAGTCATGTCAGGATAAAGGAGGGCTGAAACAGTTGTCTGAGGACCCCCCCAATTCCAGCATGACCAGCTGCCCCCCAAAGGCAGGAGGGGTGCAGGATCGGGGCAGGGTGACCAAGGACCGAAGATCCAGTCAAGGCTCGGTGAGCCCACCATCGCACCAGAGGTCCCAGGGGCATTTCCACTACTGCTGCTCTCCCTGTTACCAACCCACAGACAGACCCCTCACTGTCAAAGAGCTGAGAGAGATACACAGCCGGGCCTGCGCAGCGAGCAACACAGGATATGATGTCACAAAACAAGGCAGCCGTAACCCTCCTCAACATGTGTTCTTCGGGCAGGGTGGACCCAGCTTGTCCCTAGCCAGGCAGAAGTCCTACTCCCTAGCCCCAGGCATGGAGGGTCTCTCCGGGGGCAGGTGTTCCCAGCGCCGGAGCTCCGAGCCTGGGACAGCACATCTAGGCGAAGCCCTGGTTCTGGATAAGACCTCACACCCGGAGAGGCTTCACAGAGAGGCCAAACTGGGTCAGAGGTCAAAGTCAGTGGACGGGTCCCAAGACCTGGGGTTGAAGGTGTCCGACACGGACCGAAGTGGGGATCCCAGGTTCTGCCTGTCTCCCTCCGCCACCAAGGCTGTGAGGGACTATTTCTCGTCTCACACGTGCAGCAATCCCAATAGTGGTCAACAGGTGGCGCTAGCCCTGATTCAGGGGCAGAGGGAGAGGCTCAGGAGGTGTAGTGATCCCATGCTGGAGCCTGACTTTGACCAACTGCTCTTTGCTGAAGAGTCCTACGTGTGAGACCATCACTGGTTGTGAACAGTCACTCTAATGCTTCTACATACGGCTGTGAATGTACAGATGCAGTCATTTAGGACCATAAGAACCAAAACATAGTGCTTATAAGAATTATATTATATTATTATAAGAATCACGGATATAACAACCTTCTGCTTATTGTGGACAAACATTCCTATACTTACAATGCACTTTGCTTTTTAGAATCAAGTGGTATATTCTTATAGATTCTCCTAAAAGCGCTCACTGAAATGAATGTATTATGCAAGGGAAGAGTAGTTTCAGATTATGTAATGTGTTGTTTTAGATCGCAGAAGTGAACAAATGTACTTTAGGAATCAGGCTATTTGGTTGGATTACATGTAAGATTATTCACAGGGACCCTTGCAGTGGACTGCCTATGATCAGTGTATGATTTCTAAATCGTTTACTGCTAAACAAAAATTCCTTACTAAACCTTGTCATATTTATGCAAGGCTGTGATTTTGCATTTACAGTATTTTGTAAATAACAAAAACAATCTTGAGCCATTTAATCAATGTTGATAATGATAAAGCAAGCGCTTTAAACTTACAGTTGTAGAGTTTTCTCAAAAGATTTCTAAAACTCTGTATTTCAATCTATACTGTGCATTCGGAAAGAATTCAGACCCCTTGACTTTTTCCACGTTTTGTAACGTTACAGCCTAATTATAAAATTGATAAATTGTATTTTTTCACTCATCTACACACAATACCCCATAATGACAAAATAAAAACAGGTTTTTGGATTTTTTTTGCAAATGTATCACATTTACATAAGTATTCAGACCCTTTACTCAGTACTTTGTTGATTACAGCCTCAAGTCTTCTTGGGTATGACGCTACAAGCTTGGCACACCTGTATTTGGGGAGTTTCTCCCATTCTTCTCTGCAGATCCTCTCAAGCTCTGTCAGGTTGGATGGGGAGCGCCGCTGCACAGCTATTTTCAGGTCTCTCCAGAGATGTTAGATCGGGTTCAAGTCCGGGCTCTGGCTAGGCCACTCAAGGACATTCAGACTTGTCCCGAAGCCACTCCTGCGTTGTTTTGGCTGTGTGCTTAGGATTGTTGTCCTGTTGGAAGGTGAACCTTCGCCCCAGTCTGAGGTCCTGAACACCACGGAGCAGGTTTTCATCAAGGATCTCTCAGTACTTGCTCCGTTCATCTTTCCCTCGATCCTGACTAGTCTCCCAGTCCCTGCCACTGAAAAACATTCCCACAGCATGATGCTGCCACCACCATGCTTCACCGTAGGGATGGTGCCAGGTTTCCTCCAGACGTGACGCATGGCATTCAGGCCAAAGAGTTAAATCTTGGTTTCATTAGACCAGAGAATCTTGTTTGTCATGTCTGAGAGTCCTTTAGGTGCCTTTTGGCAAACTCCAAGTGGGCTGTTATGTGCCTTTTACTGAAGAGTGGTTTCCGTCTGGCCACTCTACCATAAAGGCCTGATTGGTGGAGTGCTCCAGAGATGGTTGTCCTTCTGGAAGGTTCTTCCATCTCCACAGAGGAACTCTAGAGCTCTGTCAGAGTGACCATCGGGTTCTTGGTCACCTCCCTGACCAAGGACTTTCTCCCCTGATTGCTCAATTTGGCCGGGTGGCCAGCTCTAGGAAGAGTCTTGGTGGTTCCAAACTACTTCCATTTAAGAATGATGGAGGCCACTGTGTTCTTGGGGACCTTCAATGCTGCAGAAATGTTTTGGTACCCTTCCCCAGATCTGTGCCTTGACATAATCCTATCTCGGCACTCTACGGACAATTCTTTCGATCTCATGGCTTGGTTTTTGCTCTGACATGCACTGTTAACTGTGGGACTTTATACAGACACGTGTGTGCCTTTCCAAATCATGTCCAATCAATTGAATTGACCACAGGTGGACTCCAATCAAGTTGTAGAAACATCTCAAAGATGATCAATGGAAACAGGATAAACCTGAGCTCAATTTCGAGTCTCATTGCAAAGGGCCTGAATACTTATGTAAATAAGGTATTTCTGTTTTGTATTTTTCATACATTTGCAAACATTTCTAAGAACCTGTTTTCGCTTTGTCCTTATGGGGTATTGTGTGTAGATTGATGAGGGAAAAAATGAATGTAATCCATTTTTGAATAAGGCTGTAACTGTGACGCATACTGAGTATAGGAAGAGGCAGGACGCAGACGCAGGAATTAACAAGGTCAATGTTTACTTAACAATGAGCAAGAGAAATAACAAAGATAGAGTAAATGAGACGAAGCTAAACAATCACACACAACATCATCCAAAACAGTCCAGGGCTAAATAGGGGAGATGATGAGGTGCAGGTGTGCTGGAGGTGATTAGAGTGCGTTGGGTTTCCATTCCGGTGTAGCCAAGGTGGTGCGCTCAAGCAACGGGAGGAGACGTGACAGTAACGTAACAAAACGTGGAAAAATGGAGGGGTCTGAATACTTTCCAAATGCACTGTATATGACCGGATGTCTGTGTGTGAGAGATTTTGGGCTCTATTCAATCTGAAACGTTACAGATTCTGCGATAGAAATGTAAAGGTACATTCCGATTGAGCCGACATATGCAGCGTTTACCTTGAATTCAGTCTCCGCTAAAGCGGAAACATTGCCTTTCAATTTCAATCACGCTGTAAAGCTGAACTTCCACGATGCGGATTGAATAGAGCCCAATGTTTGTATCGATCCGTTTGTGTGTTTGAGAAGTATACATGAATTATATAATCTGTACAGTACATTTACAGCATATGCAGTATGACTGTTTGCTTATTTTCTACATTTGAAGGTATTAATTTCATACAAATTGCTGCCAATTGTGTTATGTGCATTTTCACACAGCTTTCTACACCATCAATTATGCTTTGTTCGCTTTGTATTTGTGCCCATAGGATGCTTTATAATGTTTCAATTGTACACGCTGTGCTGTATTGAGATTGTACAAGCTGGCTGATACCGCCGCTGCTTTATTAAACTGGCTACTACACTCGTTTTGATGTGTAATGCATAAGATAATCAGATCATAAAATAAAACAAACCACCTTGGCTAGTGATACTAATGGTGCTGTCGTTTCATTTTCTTTGAAGTGTACTCTCAGTCCAGTAGCACCTGGGAAAATGTATTTTGAAGTTTGTATTAAACTCAATTACACCCAAACCACACTGAACTCACACATGTCAATGGGCAAAGTTTAGCCAATCACCCACTGTCACCTCAACCAGCAGGGCTGAGGCACCCTGGGGACTCAAGAATGCCAGTTTGATGCCAAGCCGTTCTGAATGACTGATGTAAGAACTTACCTAATTTAATTCTGCCATGTTGCCAACCAATTAGCCTTGCCCAGTAACTTCGAACACAGATTCAGGTAATATCTACAAAATGTAGATCAGGGATGGGCAACATTGATGGGGCTGGGGGCCACAAAAAATGTGAACTCGTCATGGGGGCCACAGTCGCTCAGGGTCTGCATACCCACACATGCAGCCGGCCCTAGCCTTTTGGGGGCTCTAAGCAAAATGTTGTTCGGGGCCCCCCACCCACCTTGTGAGACATTTTAGTGGCCCCCCTCGTGACAGCGGAGACAAATGTCCTGCAATTCTATACATTTTGCCATGGGACGTAGAGAAAATGTTTCAGTTTTAAAGCGAGTTTCCCTCATCAATCTACACGCAATACCCCATAATTACAAAGCAAAACCAGGTTTTTAGATTTTTTTGCTAATAAAAAAATAAAAATAAAATACCTTATTTACATAAGTAATAAGACCCTTTGCTATGAGACTCGAAATTGAGCTCAGGTTCATCCTGTTTCCATTGATCATCCTTGAGATGTTTCTACAACTTGATTGGAGTCCACCTGTGGTAAATTCAATTGATTGGACATGATTTGGAAAAGCAAACACCTGTCTGTATAAGGTCACACAGTTGACAATACATGTCAGAGCAACAACCAAGTCAAGAGGTCGAAGGAATTGTCCGTAGAGCTCCGAGACACAGATCTGGGGAAGGGTACCAAAACATTTCTGCAGCATTGAAGGTCCCCAAGAACACAGTGGCCTCCATCATTCTTAAATGGAAAAAGTTTGGAACCACCAAGACTCTTAGAGCTGGCCGCCCAGCCAAACTGAGTAATCGGGGTAGAAAGGCCTTGGTCAGGGAGGTGACCAAGAACCCGATGGTAACTCTGAAAGAGCTCCAGAGTTCCTCTGTGGAGATGGGAGAACCTTCCAGAAGGACAACCATCTCTGCAGCACTGCCACCAATCAGGCCTTTATAGTAGAGTGGCCAGACGGAAGCCACTCCTCAGTAAAAGGCACATGACAGCCCGCTTGGAGTTTGCCAAAAGGCACCTAAAGGACGCTCAGACCATGAGAAACAAGATTCGCTGATCTGATGATACCAAGCTTGAACCCTATGGTGAAGCATGGTGGTGGCAGCATCATGCTGTGGGGATGTTTTTCAGCGACAGGGACTGGGAGACTAGTCAGGATCGAGGCAAAGATTAACGGAGCAAAGTACAGAGAGATCCTTGATGAAAACCTGCTCTAGAGGGCTCAGGACCTCAGACTGGGGCGAAGGTTCACCTTCCAACAGGACAACGACCCTAAGCACACAGCCAAGACAACGCAGGAGTGGCTTCGGGACAAGTCTGAATGTCCTTGAGTGGCCCAGCCAGAGCCCAGACTTGAACCCGATCAAACATCTCTGGAGAGACCTGAAAATAGCTGTGCAGCGACGCTCCCCATCCAACTCGACAGAGCTTGAGAGGATATGCAGAGAAGAATGGGAGAAACTCCCCAAATACATTTACATTTGAGTCATTTAGCAGACACTCTTGTCCAGAGCGACTTACAGGAGCAATTAGGGTTAAGTGCCTTGCTCAAGGGCACATCGACAGATTTTCCACCTAGTCGGCTCGGGGATTAGAACCAGCGACCTTTCGGTTACTGGCACAACGCTCTTAACCACTAAGCTACCTGCCGCTACAGGTGTGCCAAGCTTGTAGCATCATACCCAAGAAGACTCGAGACTGTAATTGCGGCCAAAGGTGTTTCAACAAAGTACAGAGTGAAGGGTCTGAATACTTATGTAAATGTCATATTTCCGTTTTTTTTATTTTATACATTTGCTAACATTTCTAAAAACCTGTTTAGGGGGTATTGTGTGTAGATTGATGAGGGGAAAAAACAATTTAATCAATTTTAGAATAAGGCTGTAATGTAACAAAATGTGGAAAAAGTCAAGGGGCCTGAATACTTTCCGAATGTTGTCTTTGGAAATGGATCCACGTGTCTACGAAAGGGGGGCCACGGGCCACCAGTTGCCCATCCCTGATGAGGATTGTATGTGGTTCCTGTTTAGAAAGAGCTTAGCAGGCATACCAAATCAACAGATACTGGTATGGTCTGGTTCTATTGTTTGAAAACTGACTCTTCCCAAAGTAAAGTAACAATACTTAACAAAAATATAAATGCAACATGTAAAGTGTTGGTCCCATGTTTCATGAGCTGAAATAAAAGATCCCAGACATTTTCCATACGCACAAAAAGCTTATTTCTCAAAAATGTTGTGCACAAATGTGTTTATACCCCTGTCAGTGAGCATTTCTCATTTGCCAAGATAATCCATCCACCTGACAGGTGTGGCATATCAATAATCTGATTAAACAGCATGATCATTACACAGGTGAACCTTGTGCTGGGGACAATAAAAGGCCACTCTAAAAAGTGTTTTTGTCACACAACACAATTTCACAGATGTTTCACAGAGGGACCGTGCAATTGGCATGCAGACTGCAGGAATGTTCACCAAAGCTGTTGCCAGAGAATGTAATGTTAATTTCTCTACCATAAACTGCCTTCAACGTTGTTTTAGAGAATTTGGCCTCGCAACTGCAGACCACGTGTATGGCGTTGTGAGGGCGAGCGGTTTGCTGACGTCAACGTTGTGAACAGAGTGCCCCATGGTGGCGGTGGGGTTATGGTATGGCAGGCATAAGCTACGGACAACAAACACGATTGCATTTTATCGAAGGCAATTTGAATGCACAGAAATACCATGATGAGATCCCAAAGCCCATTTCTTTTCAAGTATCTGTGACAAACATATTCATATCTGTATTCCCAGTCATGTGAAATCCATAGATTAGGGCGTCATTTATTTATTTCAATTGACGGATTTCATCATATGAACTGTAGCTCAGTAAAATCTTTGTAATTGTTGCGTTTATATTTTTGTTCAGTATACATTACCAAGATGAGTGAAGAGTATGAAAGACTGAAGTAATATCCCTTCCTGCTGTGTGTAACTTTCTCATTAAAAACATGTTGGATAACCCATTTTCCATGATTGTGCAATACATAATGTTAGTATAATAATTCAACAGTATATTCCCTTAAGGGTCGTTTCTCTTCAGAGCCAACAACAGGACATGGGACAGACAGAGAAGAGTCAGATTCATTAGAAATAGTCTATTTTAATACAGCATTTCTCTGACTATACACAGATGAGTGCTATTTACAATCGTGGAAAATGAAATTAATATTTAGTTACATGAGTGGTAGGTCAACACTAAAGACAGTAAGGGTACACGACTTCATAAAACAAAGGCTAGGGTGGCCATAGAAATTACAAGGTAAGGCATCCTAACCAGTCTTGCCTCTGGACAAATTAATGGGTGTCATTCTGAAGTCTGGACGGGTGACTTTACAATCCTGTTTCAGCTGGTATTTACTCAGAAACTACATGGTGACAAGCAGCACTTTTTGGTACTTATTTTAAAGAATTAAATACAATTGGTAACGCGTATTGGTAATAGCATAAAAAACAACTATTTGACTGTGTTATTTCTAAGTACTCACCAGGGAGGTAGTGGACTATGAAAGTGATCATAACCCCTTACATTCACTGGAAAACATCTACACTGAACAACATTTTTAATGCAACATGTAAAGTGTTGGTCCCATGTTTCATGAGCTGAAATAAAAGATCCCAGAAATGTTCCATATGCACAAAAAGCTTATTTCTCTCAAATGTTGTGCACACATTTGTTTACATCCCTGTTAGTGAGCATTTATCCTTTGCCAAGATAATCCATCCACCTGACAGGTGTGGCGTATCAAGAAGCTGATTAAACAGCATGATCTTTACACAGGTGCACCTTGTGCTGGGGACAATAAAAGGCCACTAAAATGTGCAGTTGTCACACAACACAATGCCACAGATGTTTCAAGTTTTGAGGGAGCGTGCAATTGGCATGCTGACTGCAGGAATGTCCACCAGAGCTGTTGCCAGAGAATTGAATGTTCATTTCTCTACAATAAGCCACCTCCAACATTGTTTTAGAGAATTTGGCAGTACGTCCAACCGGCCTAACAACCGCAGACCATGTGTATGGCATTGTGTGGTCCAGCGGTTTGCTGATGTCAATGTTGTGAACAGAGTGCCCCATGGTGGCGGTGGGGTTATGGTATGAGTAGGCATAAGCTACGGACAACAAACCCAATTGCATTTTATCGATGGCAATTTGAATGCACAGAAATACTGTGACGAGATCCTGAGGCCCATTTTCTATAAGGTATCTTTGACCAACAGATGCATATCTGTATTCCCAGTCATGTGAAATCCATAGATTTGGGCCTAATGAATTTATTTCAATTGACTTATTTCCTCATATCAACTGTAACTCAGTAAAATCTTTGAAATTGTTGCATGTTGCATTTATATTTATTGTTCAGTATATGGGGGAGGGGGTGATTAGAGACTTCCATCTAAACTTTCTTCTATTCTCCAGAACCTGCTTTACACAGAAACATTTGCTTAGTTAGGAATTATTTGCCAACTTTCCCATTGTTCCCTGTATAAAGTGAATGTAAAACTGTGATGATGGGGACTCAATAAAATGTTATAATTATAATTTCTATAAATACAGCGTCTTCCATTCCAATATTCATAACAGCATACCACTTAGAATTTAGCAATATTTGGTCATGCTAGTGTTGAAATAAAGCATTGATTTGGGACATGTGGTACCAACATGGGGCAAATTTCAGTATATCTATTCCTCTGGTCTGGGGATGCCATTATGAGGATCCGTCTCCACTCTGTCGGATGTCTGCCACACTCTCAGGCACCCTCGCCGTCATGCCGTCCAGGGACCTGGTCAGGCAGATCTGGCAACCCAGGCGGGACCTGTCAGAAAAAGAAAAAAAAAAAAAAAGAGGATTATGACAAACATATTTAATAAAAGCTTCACAATACTATGACCTAACCTAAATGGATCCACTTGAAATCAAGAGGAAGTGGATAATTGAAGTTGGAGAGTGAGGAGGTAATCTTATTCAAGACCTGTGTTTAGGGGGTAACGTTTTGGGTCAACATAAGTGAAGTGAGCCAGTGTCACAAGGGGTTCAGTCAACACTCCGCTAATATGATTAGTGAGATCATGACTGTCACCCTTCTCAACTTGCTCTGCCTAAACCTGCAACAGTAATACAGAACTCAAATCCCCTTCCGATTGGTTGGAAAGCAGGCTAGCGACAGTAGAAGGCATGTGCACGGTTGTTTATCCCTCTGTTCTTGTTCCTCACAATGAATATCTCCTCATCTCATAAATCAAGGCTGAACAGCATAACACTCTGGTTACACTGGTGGCAATGTGTGTGTGTGTGTAATTTCACTTGTGTGTCCAATCAATGGGCCACCAATTTGTGTGCGTCTCTCACGTGTCCGTGAGTCCGTATGCCAGGTCCAGCATGTCCATCTCCTCGTCAGTCACTGGGCCCAGCTTATTGTACACGTCTTCCTCAAAGATCAGGTGACAGGTAGAACAGGCCAGCGTCCCCTCACATGCGCCTGACAGACAGACACAGACACACAGACACAGAGAAACAGACAGACACAGAGAGACAGACAGACACAGAGAGACAGACAGACACAGAGAGACAGACAGACACAGAGAGACAGACACAGAGAGACAGACACAGAGAGACAGACACAGAGAGACAGACACAGAGAGACAGACACAGAGAGACAGACACAGAGAGACAGACACAGACAGAGACAGACAGACACAGAGAGACAGACACAGAGAAAGAGCGAGATCAAAAAATACCACTGAGTGTGTGAGAGAGCAGGCGAAACCTACAATAAACAACCATTTGAATTCGACATTAAATGTAACCCAACTCACCGAACCCATCAAAATCAAGGTCCTGGTCAATAATGACATCTAGGAGAGAGTCTCCAGGAGAGCCTTTGACAGAGATCTTCTCTCCATCTCGGTTGATGAAGTGGACCGTCACCTTATTGTCAGCTCTGCACAGGAACAGACACAAGAGGGCAATTACAGACAGAAGCTGTGGTTATGCTGGAATTGGAAATACATTAGATTAACATAACACTTTCCAGATTCTCAAGGACTTTGCTTTGTATGCAGGAAATGGGTAACTCCCATAGACTTGGTAACCACTTCTCAGGACTTCTGTTGCGAATGTACAGCTAGGCCATTTTTTAAGGCGTACTGCCTCCGAGCGGTCAAGTCTGGTTTCTGCACACAGATCCTATGGCTTGACCTTTGACAGCTATACCTAGATGTGTTGCACAATATTTCCACACAGTCGTTCCGTACTCCACAGTGAGTAACTAGTCCCACAAGCAATCCAGGAATGTTGTGGTCCAACAACTGTTTAGAGATCCTGAACAGAGCCCTGGTTTGATGGCACTTATCTGCCAGACTGATCAGTCAGTCGTACCTAGCTGTACAATGGTGACAGTTTGCAAATTAATTAATTTGCACATGATTTTCAAATGATGACATTTACATAAGGTTACAGGCAGTGTGTCATGGATAATAAACAAATTGAATAGAAAGGTGTGTTACTGAGGAAGTAGGTGGCTAGACAGATGGTAAACCTTTGCTCATCATTGTCAACCAGAAGGGGTTAGTGAGTGACCTACTCAGACTTTTGTCACAGACAGACACAGAGAGACATAAAGAGAGAGACAGACACACACACACACAGAGAGACACACACACACACAGAGAGAGACAGACACACACACACAGAGACAGACACACACACACAGAGACAGACACACACACACAGAGACAGACACACACACACAGAGACAGACACACACACACACAGAGACAGACACACACACACACAGAGACAGACACACACAGAGAGAGACAGACACACACAGAGAGAGACAGACACACACACAGAGAGACAGACACACACACAGAGAGACAGACACACACACACAGAGACAGACAGTTTGCAAGTTATGATTAAACACAGTTCTAAGAAATGATAGCTACCTAACGTTAGTTGTTGGGTCAAATAAATTGAGTACCAACACTGCCAGAATGATTACGCAACAAGCCTTTCTGCTGAAGTTAGCATAAAATAAACCAACAACTGAAGGCTATCTAGCTAACGTTAGCTAGCGAAGGTAGCCAATATGGCTAACTATCTAACTAGCTAGCAAGCAAGTCGCCTAACTAATCGTGGATACCTTTATAGCTAGCATGCTAAGTAAGTTTGGGGACATGATAGAGGACACCATTCCTTACCTGAGAGGTTGTGTGTTGGTGCTAAAATCCCTTACACGAATGCAGGCCCTTCTCTGACCGGCCAATGATAAGTTCCCCGACGTTGTGTTTGTTGCTGAAATTAGTGTTTCTGCTCGACGTAGAGAACTTTCTCGTAACGAAACATGAAATAGTCTTCTTGCCGATGTCACCAGAGCCATTGCTTGGAGATGACGTTCAAAATATAGCTTAAACGACGGAGAAGAGTCCGATACAGTACTGACAAGCTAACTTCATGCCAAATTCAGCTAACGTTAGCTAAAATGGCTATATCTATCCTTTTGCATAACCACAAGACACGGCTGCTCGGTCGGTGTCACGTTTATTACATAACACCTTAGCTACTGCTATATGGAGGCCATACAGCATACTGCTACACGATCAAACCTGAAATCCCCGATTTATCTCTAATTTGTTTCAATAAAATAAGCTTAACTTCTGGGCTATTTCAAAGGCAAAGCGCAAGGTTTTACATTTTTATTTAAGGGTCTCAGAATAACTTCCTGGAACAAATTCTGACACTGCACTCTCACGTGATCTTACGTGACCAATCACAATAGTTTTCTTGGGGTCACGTTCGGGGCAGTGTACAGTGAATAGTTTTCATGTATCCAAATGTATTATATCATGTATTCCTTAATGTATCCAAATGTCAGTGCATGATGATTTTTTTAAAGTTTAAAAGTTGTCTACTGTGGTCTTGAAAAGTACTCTTATCCTCAAAATCTGTATATGAGCTGAAAGGGAAATTATTACTCAAAACTCATTATGGGAAAACTTAACTACCACAAGTCTCCTTTTCCATTGATACATAAGATCCTATATGGTGTATCATATCAGATATGTGTTATAATCATTTTAGTGGTTTACACAGGGCAAAGTTGAAATGGAATAAAGTGATTTGATCAAATGTTACTGATATAAAAAAAACAGAATCAATCAATACTGTTCTTGTTAGTGTGGAGTGGGTAACAGGTGCGCTATCTTGCTTTATTAGCTGGGTGCTCTGCCATATGTGACAATGACTTCCAATAAAATCCCAAGTTCAAGAACATTGGGATACGGCGGCACTCCAAAATCTTTATAAAAAGGTGAAATGAGGTGACGTCTTTTTGTCCTTTTTATTATTTTTTGAATGGGAGTGCCACTGTTTCCCAACTTCTTGAACTGTTTGTGTTAATATCAGAGAGTATACGCCCCTTATAATCTTTATTGCTACAGATGAATACTTATTGACCAGTGAGTCTCAATCCTTCCTCAGATGACTTTCTGAGTCTCCATAGTGTTCAGACCTCCACCTGTTCAGACCATCACCATACAGGTAAGTGAAATACAACTACGCACACTCAATACACACAAACAAAGATACACAGACACACACATAAGGATACACAGACTGAGCGTCTGCTAAATGGCATTTATACAGTATATATATTATTTATAAAAGGAAGACGTATTTGACACAGTCTTTGACCCAGACACACATATACACAGTCAACGTAGGCTAGCTACTCAAGTACTTAGAACTCAATGTTAAATGGACACAAGTCAAAACATTATCTAAGTGAGGGAGAGGCTAAGGCACTGGTAAGCTCGACAGGAACTGAGCAGAGGTGCTTGGACTAAAAGGTAAGAGAAACAATGAGATTTTTAAATTGAGAACAGCCACAGAGCACTAGGACAGCTGGATTCACCCTACAACAAACAGGTGAGATTACCTGCCTGTGTTAGGTAGATACAGTATATACATTTAGACAGGTGTGTGTACACCATCAGTGTACCTATTCTCTCTCATCCATTTTTTCTCTTCTTTGCTACTTGTCTAGTTCACAGGATGTTGACGTTTACGTTGCTGCTCCTGGCTTTGTCAAGTAAGAATCTGAACGTTTTGAATCTTTCTTTTCTTTTGACAGACGAGATTCCTGACATTTTGAATAACTGAAATATTACAGTTTATTACTGCTTGTGCAAAATTACTACATTTCATCATATCAATGTACTGTAACTTTGGACTTATTCTTGACATTGATTTAGCTCTTTTGGACTTTGTTACAATAAATTCTTATCATGTTAGACAATTTGTCTGGCACAGTGGTTAATAATTGTACAAATAGGGCAGCGGTTCCTTCTCTATGTATGTTCTTATCTGATCAAAATAAGCTCATGCCTTGGATACCAAGGTCAAAGTTCAAGGACAGTGTGTTTGTGTGCTGGCATGCATGCATATAGGGTATGTGTGTGCCCGTGTGCATGTGTGTGCGTGCATGAGTATGTGCCTTTTTGCAAGTGTGTGTATGTATGAATCTGACCATGCCTTCCCCCACTTTTGCTCCAGATGATAATATTTACTGATTGTATGTTGTGTCCCCCCAGGTCTCCATGCTGCCCCACTGAGGGATGATGTAGTGGCACCCCCTAGAGGTAGGCTTCAGGATCACAAGGTCCTGGTTTTTCCCCGGAGTGTCCCAGTGAGGGATCATGTAGTTGCACCCCCTAGAGGTAGGCTTCAGGATCGCAAGGTCCTGGTTCTGCCCCGGAGTGTCCCAGTGGAGGAGCGCAGACAGGGAACAGAGCCCTCCAGACGCTTCATCATGGACCTGAACACTGGCCTCGTCAAGGAACACATCAGCGAGATGGACAGGAGAGTGGGACACAGTAAGCACAGCTTTTCTGGCAGTCCTACAGACATTCGCTATGGAAGCTAATGCTTGCTGAAAACAGTGTAACGGATATTGGTGAAAACAGTGTAACAGATATTGCTGAAAACAGTGTAACAGATATTGCTGAAAACAGTGTAACAGATATTGCTGAAAACAGTGTAACAGATTTAGCTGAAAACAGTGTAACAGATATTGCTGAAAACAGTGTAACGGATTTAGCTGAAAACAGTGTAACAGATATTGCTGAAAACAGTGTAACGGATTTTGCTGAAAACAGTGTAACAGATATTGCTGAAAACAGTATAACTGATATTGCTGAAAACAGTGTAACAGAAATTGCTGAAAACAGTGTAACAGATATTGTGTCTGTATATTTCTCTCTCTCCAGTGTACGTTCCTCCCTCTGTGGATGAGTTCAGACAGGGAACCGAGAACTCCCAGAAAACTCTGGTGGACATCAGGAGCGGACGCATAATCAAACCTGTTGGAGAGATGGCGAGAAGCATGAAACTGACACCTCAGGGTGAGAGAGTGTGTGTTTATGTGTGTGTGTGTGTGTTTATGTGTAAGAGAGAGAGAATATACTAAAACGTTCTTGAGCACTTAACCCATTTATTTCCTATCCAGAGCCTATGGAGGTCCCAGTCCCAGTCCAGAGGAGAGTGGGAGGATGGGTGAGGGCTGATGTTCTGCCCCGGAGTGTTCCAGTGGAGGAGCGCAGACAGGGAACAGAGCCCTCCAGACGCTTCATCATGGACCTGAACACCGGCCTCGTCAAGGAACACATCAGCGAGATGGACAGGAGAGTGGGACACAGTAAGCACAGCTTTTCTGGCAGTCCTACAGACATTCGCTATGGAAGCCAATGCTTGCTGAAAACAGTGTAACAGATATTGCTGAAAACAGTGTAACAGATATGGCTGAAAACAGTGTAACTAATATTGCTGAAAACAGTGTAACAGATATTGCTGAAAACAGTGTAACTGATATTGCTGAAAACAGTGTAACAGAAATAGCTGAGAACAGTGTAACTGATATTGCTGAAAACAGTGTAACAGATATTGTGTCTGTATATTTCTCTCTCTCCAGTGTACGTTCCTCCCTCTGTGGATGAGTTCAGACAGGGAACCGAGAACTCCCAGAAAACTCTGGTGGACATCAGGAGCGGACGCATAATCAAACCTGTTGGAGAGATGGCGAGAAGCATGAAACTGACACCTCAGGGTGAGAGAGTGTGTGTTTATGTGTAAGAGAGAGAGAATATACTAAAACTTTCTTGAGCACTTAACCCATTTATTTCCTATCCAGAGCCTATGGAGGTCCCAGTCCCAGTCCAGAGGAGAGTGGGAGGATGGGTGAGGGCTGATGTTCTGCCCCGGAGTGTTCCAGTGGAGGAGCGCAGACAGGGAACAGAGCCCTCCAGACGCTTCATCATGGACCTGAACACCGGCCTCGTCAAGGAACACATCAGCGAGATGGACAGGAGAGTGGCACCAGGTACAGGGCTTTGAAATGTTGCATTATCCTGAAAAGTGAATCTCCTAGGAAAATGACATTTATTAAAAAAAAATACATTTAGGGTTTGATATATTGTCTCTCTCCAGTGTACACTCCTCCCTCTGTGGATGAGTACAGACAGGGAACCGAAAACTCCCAGAAAACTCTGGTAGACATCAGGAGCGGACGCATCATCAGGCCTGTTGGACAGATGGAAAGAAGCAATAGACTGATACCTCAGGGTGAGAGAGAGAGATCCCAAAGTACAACAGAAGTTTTTCTTTTTGATATACAGCACCAGTCAAAAGTTTGGACACACCTACTCATTCAAGGGTTTTTCTTTATGTTTTTACTATTTTCTACATTGTAGAATAATAGTGAAGACATCAAAACGATGAAATAACACATATGGAATCATGTAGTAACCCAAAAAGTGTTAAACAAATCAAAATATATTTTATGTGTGAGGTTCTTCAAATAGCCACCCTTTGCCTTGATGACAGCTTTGCACACTCTTGGCATTCTCTCAACCAGCTTCACCTGGAATGCTTTTCCAACAGTCTTGAAAGAGTTCCCACATATGCTGAGCACTTGTTGGCTGCTTTTCCTTCACTCTTCACCTTCACTGCCATCCGACTCATCCCATCCGACTCATCCCAAACCATCTCAATTGGGTTGAGGTCGGGGGATTGTGGAGGCCAGGTCATCTGATGCAGCACTCCATCACTCTGCTTCTTGGGAAAATAGCCCTTACACAGCCTGGAGGTGTGTTGGGTCATTGTCCTGTTGAAAAACAAATGATGGTCCCACTAAGCCCAAACCAGATGGGATGGCGTATCGCTGCAGAATGCTGTGGTAGCCATGCTGGTTAAGTGTGCCTTGAATTCTAAATAAATCACAGACAGTGACACCAGCAAAGCACCCCCACACCATAACACCTCCTCCTCCATGCTTTACGGTGGGAACTACACGTGCGGAGATAATCCGTTCACCCACACCGTGTCTCACAAAGACACGGCGGTTGGAACCAAAAATCTCCAATTTGGACTACAGACCAAAGGACAAATGTCCACCAGTCTAATGTCCATTGCTCGTGTTTCTTGGCCCAAGCAGGTCTCTTCTTATTATTCAAATCAAATCAAATTGTATTTGTCACATGCGCCGAATGCAACAGGTGTAAACCTTACAGTGAAATGCTTACTTACAAGCCTTTAACCAACAACGCAGTTTTAAGAAAGAATACCAAAAAAATCACACAAATAAATACAATATAAAATAATATGAAATAAAAGTTACAAATGATTAAAGAACAGCAGTAAAAATAACAATAGCGAGGCTATATACAGGGGGTACCGGTACCGAGTCAATGTGCAGTGGCACCGGTTAGTCGAGGTAATTTAGGTAATATGTACATGTAGGTTATTAAAGTGACTATGCATAGATAATAAACAGAGTGTAGCAGCAGCATAAAAGGGGGGGGCAATGCAAATACTCTGGGTAGCCATTTGATTAGATGTTCAGGAGTCTTATGGCTTGGGGGTAGAAGCTGTTTAGAAGCCTCTTGGACCTAGACTTGGCGCTCCGGTACCGCTTGCCGTGCGGTAGCAGAGAGAACAGTCTATGACTAGGGTGGCTGGAGTCTTTGACAATTTTTAGGGCCTTCCTCTGACACCGCCTGGTATAGAGGTCCTGGATGGCAGGAAGCTTGGCCCCAGTGATGTACTGGGCCGTACACACTACCATCTGTAGTGCTTTGCGGTTGGAGGCCGAGCAGTTGCCATACCAGGCAGTGATGCAACCAGTCAGGATGCTCTCGATGGTACAGCTGTAGTACCTTTTGAGGATCTGAGGACCCATGCCAAATCTTTTCAGACTCCTAGGTTTTGTCGTGCCCTCTTCACGACTGTCTTGGTGTGCTTGGACCATGTTAGTTTGTTGGTGATGTGGACACCAAGGAAATTGAGGCTCTCAACCTGCTCCACTACAGCCCTGTCAATGAGAATGGGGGCGTGCTCAGTCCTCTTCTTTGTCTTGATCACGTTGAGGGAGAGGTTGTTGTCCTGGCACCACACGGCCAGGTCTCTGACCTCCTCCCTATAGGCTGTCTTGTCGTTGTCGGTGATCAGGCCTACCACTGTTGTGTCATCTGCAAACTTAATGATGGTGTTGGAGTCGTGCCTGGCCATGCAGTCATGAGTGAACAGGGAGTACAGGAGGGGACTAAGCACGCACTCCTGAGGGGCCCACATGTTGAGGATCAGCGTGGTGGATGTGTTGTTACCTACCCTTACCACCTGGGGGCGGCCCGTCAGGAAGTCCAGGATCCAGTTGCAGAGGGAGGTGTTTAGTCCCAGGGTCCTTAGCTTAGTGATGAGCTTTGAGGGCACTATGGTGTTGAACGCTGCGCTGTAGTCAATGAATAGCATTCTCACATAGGTGTTCCTTTTGTCCAGGTGTGAAAGGGCAGTGTGGAGCGCAATAGAGATTGCATCATCTGTGGATCTGTTGGGTCGGTATGCAAATTGTAGTGGGTCTAGGTTTTCTGGGATAATGGTGTTGATGTGAACCATGACCAGCCTTTCAAAGCACTTCATGGCTACAGACGTGAAGTGCAGGTTACCTTAGTGTTCTTGGGCACAAGGACTATGGTGGTCTGCTTGAAACATGTTGTTATTACAGACTCAGACAGGGAGAGGTTGAAAATGTCAGTGAAGACACTTGGTCACTTGGTCAGCGCATGCTCGGAGTACACGTCCTGGTAATCCGTCTGGCCCTGCGGCCTTGTGAATGTTGACCTTCATGAGGTAGTCATCATGAGGTAGTCACCTGGAATGCATTTCAATTAACAGGTGTGCCTTCTTAAAAGTTAATTTGTGGAATTTCTTTCCTTCTTAATGCGTTTGAGCCAATCAGTTGTGTTGTGACAAGGTAGGGGTGTATACAGAAGATAGCCCTATTTGGTAAAAGACCAAGTCCATATTATGTCAAGAACAGCTCAAATAAGCAAAGAGAAACGAAAGTCCATCACTACTTTAAGACATGAAGTTCAGTCAATCCGGAAAATATCAAGAACTTTTAAAGTTTCTTCAAGTGCAGTCGCAAAAACCATCAAGCGCTATGATGAAACTGGCTCTCATGAGGACTGCCACAGGAAAAGAAGACCCAGAGTTACCTCTGCTGCAGAGGATAAGTTCATTAGAGTTAACTGCACCTCAGATTGCAGCCCAAATAAATGCTTCACAGAGTTCAAGTAACAGACACATCTCAACATCAACTGTTCAGATGCGTGGATCAGGCCTTCATGGTTGAATTGCTGCAAAGAAAACACTACTAAAGGACACCAATAAGAAGAAGAGACTTGCTTGGGCCAAGAAACATGAGCAATGGACATTAGACCGGTGGAAATCTGTCCTTTGGTCTGATGAGTCCAAATTTGAGATTTTTGGTTCCAACCGCCATGTCTTTGTGAGACGCAGAGCAGGTGAATGGATGATCTCCGCATGTGTGGTTCCCACCATGAAGAATGGAGGAGGAGGTGTGATGGTGTAGGGGTGCTTTGCTGGTGACACAGTCTGTAATTTATTTAAAATTCAAGGCACACTTAACCAGCATGGCTAACACAACATTCAGCAGCGATACGCCATCCCATCTGGTTTGCGCTTAGTGGAACTATCATTTGTTTTTCAACAGGACAATGACCCAAAACACACCTCCAGGCTGTGTAAGGGCTATTTGACCAAGAAGGAGAGTGATGGAGTGCTGCATCAGATGACCTGGCCTCCACAATCACCCAACCTCAACCCAATTGAGATGGTTTGGGATGAGTTCGACCACAGAGTGAAGGAAAAGCAGCCAACAAGTGCTCAGCATATGTGGGAACTCCTTCAAGACTGTTGGAAAAGCATTCCTCATGAAGCTGGTTGAGAGAATGCCAAGAGTGTGCAAAGCTGTCATCAAGGCAAAGGGTGGCTACTTTGAAGAATCTAAAATCTATTTTGATTTGTTTAACACTTTTTTGGTTACTACATGATTCCATATGTGTTATTTCATCGTTTTGATGTCTTCACTATTATTCTACAATGTAAATTTTTTAAAAATAAAGACAAACCCTTGAATGAGTAGGTGTGTCCAAACTTTTGACTGGTAGTGTATATATTATATACCTATATATATATATATATATATATATATTCATATCCATTTCTAAAAGCCTGTCCGCTTGAATTGCTTATTCAGTGGCCCTATCTTTCTCCCTGTAGATGTGAGGCTGGTCGAGGCTGAGGTTGAGGTCAGGAGTGTTCCAGTGGAGGAGCGCAGACAGGGATCAGAGCCCCCCAGACGCTTCATCATGGACCTGAACACTGGCCTCGTCAAGAAACACGTCAGTGAAATGGACAGGAGAGTGGCACCAGGTACAGGGCTTTGAAATGTTAAATTTTTCGGAAAGGTAATCTCTAAAAAATGAAATAACTATTGGTATTTAGGGTTATATACACTGTGTGTACAAAACATTAAGAACACCTTCCTAATATTGAGTTGGGGCATGGACTCTACAAGGTGTCGAAAGTGTCCCACAGGGATGCTGGCCCATGTTTACTCCAATGCTTCCCACAGTTGTGTCAAGTTGGCTTGATTTCCTTTGGGTGGTGGACCATTGTTGATACAAACAGGAAACTGTTGAGCATGAAAAACCCAGCAGCGTTGAAGTTCTTGACACAAACCGGTGCACCTGGCACCTACTACCATATCCTGTTCAAAGGCACTTAAATATTTTGTCTTGCCCATTCACCTTCTGAATGGCACCGATACAGAATCCATGTTTCAATTGTTTCAAGGCTTAAAAATAATTATTTAACCTGTCTCCTCCCCTTCATCTACACTGATTGAAGTGGATTTAACAAGTGACATCAATTAGGGATCATAGCTTTCACCTGGATTCATCTGGTCAGTCTATGTCATGGAAAGGAGTTCATAATGTTTTGTACACTATGTACATTCTCTTTCTCTCTCTCCAGTGTACATTCCTTTCTCTGTGGACGAGTTCAGACAGTGTGTGTACAGTTTGTGTGTGTTATGTTTGCGTACTGACGGAGTATGCTTGCTCTCCTTCTCCCTGTAGATGACAGGCTGGTGAGAGCTAAGGCTGAGACTCACTCAGAGACAGAGTGTGTTGGTGAGGTCATCGATGGCCACTGCTATCAGTTCAACCCCACACTAATGACCTTCAGTGAGGCAGAGGTGAAATATACACCCAGTCAGTCACATTCGCTTTTCTCTCAAACAAACAGCTGTCCTAATATTTGTGTGTGTGTGCGTCCAGTCCTCCTGCAGCGTTCTCTCCCCTCACGGACACCTGGCCTCCGTAACCAACGGCGACCTGCACTCCCGCCTGGTCTCCATGGTGACCAAGGCCACCAAGAGCCCCGTCCTCACCTGGCTAGGTGGAGTCGTGAAGGTCAGTATTCCATCACCCCCTCACTCTTGTCCAATCAGAATGTCTAATAGTAAACAAGCCATTTTCCAAGAGTTTTAATAGTGTGTGTGTGTGTGTTGTGACCCCTGCAGGATGAGCAGTCAGAGTGGACCGACGGGTCCGCCTGGGGCTACAGTGACTGGATGCCCGGTCACCCAGACACACAGACAGACAAGCAGGCTTGTCTGGAGATGTTCAGAATTGGTGAGACTCATACCTTTAAACAGTATTTCATATCTATATTGACAACCTTTTAAGTATTAGCAATATAATATTTTCTAAGTGACAGTGATATCAATAACAGGTTATATTGTGAAATGCTACCTTTGAGACTGTTGATAAATAAGGCTATAAATCATAAAAAGTCTGGGAAGGACCCAGATCAACTTGGTTTTGGTTATGTGAGCATGTTATATGATAAGATTGAGTTCTGTTCTTTCACGACCATAAAATTCTGATACCGTTTTAATCAACAGGTCTATTAGACACAATCAAAGTTAGATCCTTAAAATGTGATGATATGGTATACGAGTGGTCCATTTAACAACAATGTCCTTTGTTCCCTCTCCCAGATGAGAGCTGGTGGACAGCAGTGGACTGTGAACTGAAGAGAGCTTCCATCTGCTCCTTCCCCATGGCAGCATAAGAGGCCTGCACTAACTGTAGAATTAGAACAAGTAGAATGGACATTACAATGTATTATGAAAGGGACTGGTCACTCGATGGCAAGTTGCAACATACATAGCAAGCAACAAAACCTGTTGGAGACAAACACAACAGAAAAGTGAAATTAACTATTTCCCCCCCCTGATTGGTAGCGATATCAGGTCTCACTAGTAACCAACACATGGAGTGTTCTATTGATGTGTTCTATTCTGCCACCATCTTGAGTGACATTAAAAAACACATGGATTTGTATAACTATATCCATTCTACACATTCTGTTTCCATGCAGTAATCATGTGAACAACCATAAAACATCTGCATCCTGTTTGTATTAAGTTGTATGTCCTCCCTTAAAATAAAAACGGAGTATTTTACATGGTGTGTCTCGTGTTCATTGTGAAATGAAAACAGCTGGAGATGTGCTCTGCCTGAAGCTGTTTCAATGATGCTTCAGCAACAGGTCCAAAGTCTTCCCCTACTCGAAATGTCCGAATACTGTTTGAATAGTATAATGAAATCAAAAACAAATTAACTGGAACCAACTGATCCAAGCCGTATAATCTTTATCCACGCTTATGAATGAGACACTCCTGTACGGCAGGTAGGCGTAAATAATAAAATAGGCTAGACTACTATCTACTGCCTGCCTATATCAACAAAAAGACTTCGGGAAAACAATTCGCTTGAGGAAAACTAGAAAAGTGAGATCAATGGATAAACGAAGTGCTTCACTACACCGACAGTTGATGACAGACAGAGGCAAAGACAGTACGCACCCAAACATGAACAACTTTTTCAGTCTGTAGATGTGCGGTGGGTTGCAACCAACGTCCGGTGTTGGTCTGTGCTACTACACATGCGCTGTACGGATGCTGTGGAGAACACATTGGTGGATGTGTCGGTAAATTGAGGGATTACGAAAGACATGGCGGCCAACATCGAGCAAATCTTTCGCGATTTCGTAGTAAATAAGATAAAAGAAATTGAAGATGAGAGTCAAGATATCATGTAAATATGTTTTTATACAGTTTACATTACTGGCATGAATGGTTTGTTCGGGCAATTTGAGAAATGTATATTCTTCTGTGCTGGCCTACTAGCTAGCTAACTTGCGTGTCCAGTACAAAGTGTGCTAGGCAGGCAGTTTCTATGGCTACAATGTATTTAGCTAGCTAGCTAAGTAGCTGATTAATAACACAGTAGTCTCATGGGTTGGTTCTTGCAAATATTATGATACTGTGGTTATTGGGTTCAAGCAAACCAGGTAGCTAACGTTAGTTTGTTCGCACTACGCACCTTCCTAGCTAGCTAATCATGCTAAATGCGGATTGCTAACAAGCCAACGTTAGCAGTTTACCAGGACGCGATCTCTTTGCTAGAACTGCCCCAAAACGTTGGTTTGGCAGACTCACAGTGTGCGAAGGCAATACATATAAATTACATATACAAACTTTGGATTATCCGGACTTTCAATTTAGCTAGCTATGTCAAAAACAATGCCGGGGACTTGTAGTTATGCCTTTGAGTTTTCATGTTACACAATCACATTCTAATTTGAGGTTAAATAACTAAAGGTAGCTAGCTAGCTCGCCTGTCAGTTGTTATTATGTAGACTACGTTATACATGTATCAATCAAGCTCATGCATACTTAGATATTGGCCTTTAACGTTGTGTCCAGTGTCATGTTGTTAAAAACCAAGACCCCTGCTGATAAGAAAGTTGAAGGACCCTACTGTAAGTTCAAGTACAGGTGTCATCTCATACCTGCATTCTCTCTATTAAGTCTGACAGATGAAGGCCATCCCAATGGTAAAACTGCAGAAAGAGCAGATGGGATCAACAACACACAAGGTCAGTAACACACGGGCTGTATCTCAATAGTCCAAAGTGATATTCTCTCATCTCCTTTCCTTTATTTGCACTGATACTACAGTTGTGATCAGGTGAAAACATCTATTTCAAATGAAATTCTAATGTTAAGTAATGTACTGTATTATTTATGCAGATAAAGATGGCGTAACCAATAAGGAAGAGGGTGATGTCCCACAAAAGAAACACAAGAAACACAAGAAGCACAAGAAACACAAAAGCAAAAAGAAGAAACGTAAGGAAGAGAAAGAGAGTGACTCAGAATCGGCAGCAGACTCAGATGGAGACCAGGCAAAGACTGGTAAGTAGTCTCACGCTACTACTAAGTATAATACTAAGCATATGCATAACAGCAGTGGTGGACCTTTTCAGTTTGATGTTAATAATCAGCCGACTACTTAAAGGTCCATTATGTAGCTTTGTGCACAACGAAATTCACATTGAAATGTGAGTTCTAGATCTGTCATTCTCATTGAAAGCAAGTCTGATAAGCGGTAGATCCGTTTGTGTCTTTTTACAACGTTTTTGGTTATTGAAAGTATATTTCATAGCAGTTTAGCTAGATGGTACAATGATTCTCCTACACTAAATATTGCTTGTTTTGTCACAAACTGAAATTTGGCAAACACATAATTTTAGCAACCAGGTAATGTCGATTTCTACATATTGTGCCTTTAACACTATTGAATCAAATGTCATGATGATTAATTTCTCAAATATTGTCATTAATTCCACAGGGGAAGAGGATGATGGGAGATCCAAGCGGCATAAACGACATTCTGGGAAGAAGAAGAAGAAAAAGCGGAAGAAAGATGGCGGTAAGTCCAACAGCTCATCTGAATCGGAGTCCCGAGTCGAAGCCTAAGCCAGGGAACAAGGAGAGCAAACCTCAGGATCTGCCTGATATCATCCCTAAACTAGAGGAGAAGTGTTCTGAAAAGTCCTCCTCCAGACGCTCACGGTCTCGTTCAGGCAAGCGCAGGTCCAGATCCCGGGACAGGAGAGGGAGATCCAGATCGAGGTCCGGTAGAAGAGGTGTCGGACACACACGTTCCAGATCAAGGCACCGGAGGTCCGGGTCGCGTTCTAGAAGGTCCGGGTCCAGGAGAGGCAGGAGAACCCGGTCAAGGTCCCTCGTGATCTTGAAGAAAGACAGACGGTCCAGATCGAGATCCAGAAGGCGATCGAAATCTAAGACGAGATCTCAGTCGAGACGCAGAGAGATGAGTTCAAGATCTCCCTCTCCGTCCAGAAACGACAAATCCAAATCCGGGTCTGCCTCAAGAGACAGCCCATCGGCCGAGAAGGATCCCTCTGCGGCCCTGGCCAAAGATGAGTCTGCTGTGAAAGACGAAAACGTAATGGTTCCAATCGATCCGCCAGCCCTAGCTTCCGAAAGCAGCATTGATGGTGTCGTCAATATGGCCGTCGCCTCTGGAGGAGGGTGGAAGCCGATACCCTTATTAGGGGACAGCAATAAGGGAGAGCCAGCCGTTTCCTCCCAGCACTCAGAATGTCTGACGTCTCCACAGAAGTGCCCTATTCCTCCCGAGGTGCCTTCAGGTGAGCAGCATGAGGCCTCCCCTGACCACCATTCAACGTCAGTCTCTGATCCTAACCACAGCTGCCAGCCAACTGGTGAGCCAGGGGAATCGGATGGACCTGTTACTTCAGAAACCCTGTATGGCTCTGTAGATTCCCTACCCCCCAAAACGGATGCTGATGGAGGGGACAAGGTGACACCTCAGGGTGAAGATGGAGAGCTGCCTGCCTCACCTCAACCTAAATCACAGCCAACATCTGGAGAGGCAGAGACGACAGAGAAGGAAGGAGCATCTTCAAAGTCCAGGTCTCCTTCAAAGAGGAAAAAGTCCAGGTCAAAGTCTCCTGCTCAGAAGAAACGCTCTGATGCAAAGTCCTCCAAGAAGAGGAGGTCCAGATCCAAGTCTCCAGGGAGGAAGAAGAAATCAAGGTCCTCGTCGCGAAGCCGCAAGAGGAAGTCCAAATCTAGGACGCCGTCTCGGAGGAAGAAGTCTCGTTCAAAGTCTGGGACGAGAAAGAAGAAATCACGATCCAAATCCAGAACGCGGAACAAGCGCTCAAAGTCTAGGTCACCGAAAAGGAAACGGTCCAAGTCACGGTCTCCTGCTCGGAGGTCAAAGCGATCGAGGTCGCGCTCCGGTTCGCGGCGGAGGGGGAGGGGTGCATTCGGCAGCCACCAGCTGAGCCAGAGGGACCGCTGGAAGCGTGAGCCAAGCCACTCCCCAGTCCTCATCCTCCGCAAGAAGAGGTCCCCGGCACGCACCAACCGCGACACCAGCAAAAGCCCGCCACGACTCACAGAGCTGGGTAAGCATGTCACAACATTTTTTGCATGATCAATGTATTTGAGTTGAATAACTTTATTTTCCCTAAGGGTAACTTGAAAAAAACACAGGTGTACAGTAAGTGCAGTCTCAATGCAAGTTTGTGATGTGTTCCTCATCCCTCCTCACAGATAAAGACCAGTTACTGGAGATTGCTAAGGCTAATGCAGCCGCCATGTGTGCCAAGGCCGGGATACCCATCCCAGAGAGCCTGCGACCCAAAGCAGTCCTCCAGCTGCCTTTACCCAACCCCATGTCCTTCTCCATGCCCATGAATATGAACATGCCCATGAACATGACTATGAACATGCCTATGAGCATGACCATGAATGCAGCTATGGCTAGCATGACGGCTGCCACAATGACGGCTGCCCTGGCCAGTATGGGATCTATGGCCTCCATGCACCAGATGGCCCCGCTCCCCAGCATCACCAACAAGCCCCCGCCAGGTCCCCCCCAGCCCAACATGGCCACCATCGAGGATGTGAAGAGGAAGGTGGCCAAGCAGGCCAACAGCATCAGCATCAAGGAGTTCACTGACGTAAGTGCTCTTCAATGTCATGACGATGACAATCGTATAATAATATGCTTTGGAGAAGATTTACTAAGCATTTGTCCTGGTGCAAAATGTAGACCTGCACCTTTTTTATAAAAAACACAAATCTTAGACATGAAATGGAAACACTGACCCTCTAGCTGTGGCCTGTGTGTCTTTGTAGAAGTGTAAGAAGATAGTGGAGAGGGGAGGGGAGCTGGCCATCGCTGAGCCCCGTATATCTGACGACGAGGAAGACGGCAAACCGTTTGGACGAGCCGCCCTGAGGGAGGTCAAGGGCATCTCCTTCAGCCTCAATGTAAGAACATGGAACACACACACACACAGCATCAACATGTCTTTCATGAATATACAGTACATTCTGAGCTTAACCATTTGCAAATGTATCGAGGTAGTTTGAACTGATATTTAGTTTTCAGAACATAGTTACTGTTCGAACATAGTTAAAGAGTAGTTACTGTTTAGATACTGTGTGGGACTGAAGAGATGTGCCTAACTGGGTGAATGGTTGAAGTGAACTGCAGTATGCCGTCTGCTGTCTGTTTTGCCCCGGGCTGATGTTAAAAGAGCTGTTCCTATTGCTGCCACATTATATTTTACAACATAACATACTGTTTTTCCCATTGGGCCAACATAGGCAATGGGCAGATGGGCAAAGCAGACAGCAAGCCTCCTTGGGCCCAGAACTAAACCAGGTAGATTTATACTCTTGCGCACTTTCCCACAAACTTCCACCCCAAGGAGACCTCAGTCATGTGAGTGAAGTTTGCCGGTTGAAGTGCACTGGAGATAAATCTACCTGATTGAGACTGGGCCCAATAACTGCTATGATAACAAGCCATTCCTCTTCAACCATTCCCCTTGTTGAAACACACCTTTTTGTCTTTTTATATTTTTTCCTCCCCATTTTTTTAACAGTAACCCCCCCCCCACCCCTCCTACTCCTGTGCTGCCCCTCCTCCCTCCTCCTCTCTCAGAACGCGTCCGTGCGTCCATCGCCGGCGTTGGCGGTTCGGAGCGAGGCGGCGTTCGCCAAGGAGTTCCCCGTGTCATCGGGCTCCCAGCACAGGAAGAAGGAGGGCGACGGGGGAGGGGCTTACGGAGAGTGGGTGACCGTCGACAAGAAGGCGGAAAAGGCCAAAGCGGCGGCGGCGACCAAGGCCTTGGCAACGGCTGCCAAGGAAACTTCGCCTGGGGATGCGCCTTTGTCTGCGGTGTCCGTGGCAACGGAGGAGCCGGCGATCGTCAAGGAGAGTGATAGTGTGTTCCCGGAGCCTCCGCTACAGGTGGGACACGGCGGGGAAGGAGAGGACGGGGGAGGAGGAGGAGAGGGGGAGGATGGGATAAGGTGACACTAAGAGAGATGAGGGGGTTTTAGGAGAGTCGTCGTGAAAGAGGGAGAGAGAAACGGAGTTGAGTAAAGATATTCTGCATTTCAAAATCATACGCTTTGAAAATATATATGATTATTTTTGTATTTTAGTTTTAACCCAGTGTTTTACCACATTTAGTGGTTTGGATCAGTGGTTTCCGAAGTGGTGGGTCACTGCTGATTCCTATTGGGACGTAGTTTGAGACCAGGTTCTCTGGTTCCACACCGTAGCTAGAAACATTGGTATGGTTGATTTGAAAGTAGAAAAGTCCAGAAGCCTTAGGTGCGGTGACATACCCAGTAGGAGAAAAAGATGTGGGAACCACTGGTTTAGATGGGATGGTGAGTTTAGTTGTAATGCCATACCAGTGCTCCTCATCTGACCCTATAGCAGCATTGACTGTGTTTAGCTGGAATAGCTGTTTCGGAGGTCGGCATGTAAAACACTGACCCTCCTCCCCCACCAATTCCAAATTGAATGTACAATCAAGGGCATTATTTGACCTCTCAAATCTCAGAGCAATGCCAATGAATAACCTGACCCCCAGGGGATGACAAGTGGTTTATAATTGAGTTATCGATCAGTCATCAATCATCAGATGGGCGGATCAATGAGAAATCGGCTGACGTCATCCGTGACCTCGCTGTTAATTTGTGCTTATTTTGTATTTGATGCAACTGTTATTAAACAAATCTGGCTGAAAATCCGCAGGTTGCGTTTTATTTTTTGGGGGGGGGTACAACTGTACTAATACTGACAACTCAAAAAAATACAAATACTGACAACTACGTAGATGTATGTAGTTATATATAACAACTGATCTAGGTCTCATGGGATAAGTCTAGATTAGTTTTATTGTATTAGTTTTATCTGCTGTTCACTGGTGTATGTGTGTGCAGTATTGTGTTTTTGCATGTATGTGTGTGAATGACTGGTGTGTGTGTGTGGTGCTGACTTTTGTGTCTCCCCCTCTAGCCTGTAGACATCACCCAGGCAGTTGGTGAGAGGATGAAGGCCCAGAAGCGTCTGGCGGAGAACCCGTACGACGTCAGCGCCATCTGCATGCTCAGCCGTGCTCAGGAACAGGTAAACAACAACAACAAGCATTCGTATAAGCATAATGTACACACACACACTCCTATCTTTTCACCTCCTGTCTCTCACACACACACACACTAACCCTTCCTCTCTGTTGGAAGGTGGATGCGTGGGCCCAGTCCAACACCATCCCTGGTCTGTTTACAGGTTCTACTGGAGCCACGGTGCTCAGCTCAGAGGAGCTGTCCAACAGCGGACCACAGGCCTGGATCAAAAAGGTACCATCCACTGTCTTACCTGCTCCACACACACTCCCCTCACCCCAAACATACCACCCCACTACCCTACAGGTGTCTGCATCGCCCCATGCCCACTGGTGTACCCACTTCACAAGCCTTACACTCCTCAGCCTGCTCCCAAATCAAATAACTGGATGACTGTGCGCATAGAGCCAGAGCTATATACTGTATTTAGTTAGACAAATGTTCTGTTGACGTAGAACAGACTGGGTTAGAATGGAATAGTTCCACTGTTACTCAGTGGAATCCAGGTCCGATGTAACAGCCCCGAAACGTGGGGTCCACTGTTACTATGGCAACCCGTGTCAGCGCTAACGCACGTAGCTTTCTTCCTGTTTACCGATGTCTGGATGTGTGTGTGTGTGTGGGTGAGCATCTGTTGTCTGTATTGTTTGTTTGTGTGTGTGTGTGTTTCTGTCTGCGTCAGAAAAAGATCCCCTGACGTTAAAGGAAGCCTGTTGTTTATGTTGACTCACCCTAATATTTGCACTGCAGTCTGTTACAGTGGTAACATGATGCACCCAGTCTTTAATCTTGATCTTTAATCTGACATACAGAGATATCACCAAATACCCTGAAACTAAAATCACCCCCCACCCCTCCCCTCGCAACACACACACACACCCTCACTAATAAAATTTCCTGTGAAGTGGGTACACCATGTTAAGGGTAGCGATGCAGATTCCTTACATGTGACATTCTTACCAAAGCAGGTGCAAATGCAGTACTGACACCCGGCTACTAGTGGTGCGCTGGTCTGACACCCGGCCACTAGTGGCGCTCTGGTCTGTCCGCTAAATAGTCCCCCTCGGAGTCGGAATAGGGACTCGGAGAATGAGGGAGGGAGGGGAGGAAGGAAGAGGAGAGCTGGAAGTAAGTCTGCAGACCCCAGACCCCCCCTTGTCCTCTAGCACCCCAGGGCAGGGCAGAGATTATGGGTCCATCTCAATAGTCTAAAGAAGTTTCCTCGTCTCTTTCCTTGGATTCACACTGATCTCAGAACACTGGAAAGGGGAAAGCACTATTCTTTCACCTATCCTGCCCTTTAAGATCAGTGCAGATGTTAGTGGGGACATTAGGTGAGGACGTCACTTTAGACTATTCAGATGCACCCTAAGATAGCATGACTGTAGAGACTATAGGAACCCGTCTCCCTAAAGCTGTGTCTCCCTATCACTCCCCACACCCAGAATGTCATCAGGCCCAGAGATAACCATAGTCATTTGTCCTCTGTCTGTGGACCCCCCTGAACCCTTCTACGTGCCCTATGGTTTTTCTATAGTGGGCTGTTTGAAGCCAGTGTGTGTAACTGTACCCCAAGCCTCCCTGAGCTCTGTAAACACACACAGAGGCAGGGGGCTACTGTACTGTTTTAATACACACCCTGGGAGCTAAATTAAACATCCTGAGGAATCTCTCTCTCAGGTTAGGTTACACATTGTCACATCATTTTGCTGTAGAGAGAGTGATGGATCTGCTGAGTTCAGTCTTCATTTAACACGACACGTCCTTCACATGCTTGTCACAGGTCACAGATGCTATGGGCATATGCTATGGACATGTTCAGAGACATGATATAGGGATGAGAGGGCATTGATCATACTAATGTTACAGTAACATGCATTTGCTAGCATTACAGCACGCTAGCATTACAGCAGCTAGCATTGACTTACAGCAAGCTAGCATTACAGCAGCTAACATTGATTTACAGCACGCTAGCATTACAGCAGCTAACATTGATTTACAGCACGCTAGCATTACAGCAGCTAACATTGATTTACAGCACACTAGCATAAGCACCATGATGTTTGTGTGGATGTTGGGTGCCCCTAGCAACCAGTCCTGGTGCATTCCATTACCCAGTAGATGAGTGGGGTCTAGTTTTAGACCAGTCAGTGGTCTCCAACCCTAGTCCAGGCTATGCAGGATTTTGTTCCATCCCAGCACAGTCATATAGGTTAGTGCTGGGCTGTAACAAAAACCTGCACACTTTAGCTCCAGGACCACAATTGGAGACCACTGCCTGAGGGAGATCTCTGCTCTGAGGGACCTAGGCTAGTTACAGGTGTCCATGGACATGCCTGTGCTCTTTCCCTTGCCCTGGGGGAGGCTGCGATCAGAAGTTGCTCATAGGCACAGATCTAGGATCAGCTTCCCTTCTGCAAATCCTAACTCCAAACTGACCTGAGATCAGTGTCTAGGGGCAACTTCCTCCCAGTCCTTGGGGAAGACCGAGGAAGGGGGTCGAAAAGAGGGGTCTGGATTGGAGCAGAGGGAGAGAGAGGTGTGGGTTCACAGGGGTGACCTGTGAACTTTCACCTCTCTGTGTATTGGACACTCGTTTCAGGGTCAGTCCTTGTAGCTGTCCTTGTTGCCATGGCCACAGTCAGGCCCCCTCTCATTTCCTGTCTGACGCTGGGCCGGTGATGGGGGGCTAGGTACGTACACCACACAGCGCCTTACTGTACATCTTGTGTAACCAGTGTGTGTGTGTGTGTCAGAGAGAGTGAGAAAGTGAGAGAAAAAGTATGTGTGTGTGAGAGAGCGACAGAAAGAAATGGTGTCAAGGTACAGCCCCCTCTTATTTACCTACATGTGGTATAATGTGTGAAGAAATTAGCTTCTCGGCTGTGTCTTGAGTTTCACCAGAGTATTTATTTGATTTATACTTTTAGTTGATTTCATCTGTACTCTTTTAATGTGTTTAGATGTTTCTCTAGAAATGTTCTCTCAGAAACGTAGGATTTTCACAGTGCTCAAAGCTGCCACCACAGATAGTTAATTCTAGTGTTTTACGTAGGTGTAGTTAATTCTAGTGTTTTATGTAGGTGTAGAGGTTACTACAGACAGTAACACAATCACCCTTAACTGTTATTCAGAGGCATGTGAGAGTTGTTCTGAAGGTAGTCTCTAACTCATGTCTGACTGTGACAGTGGTGTGAGTGAGTGGATTAGGTGGTTGAGAGATGTTTTCAGGGTGGAAACTAATTATCTGCTTTCGCCTCTCTGCCTTTTTCTTCTCTTCCTCCTCACTCCATGGTTCTCTCTTCTGTTGTTCTCCCTCTCTTCTCTCCTCTCTCCCTCTCGCTCTCTCTCTCTCTGTAGGACCAGTTCTTGCGAGCAGCCCCGGTGTCGGGAGGAGTAGGGGAGTTCCTCATGAGGAAGATGGGATGGCGGACGGGGGAGGGGCTAGGGCGACACCGCGAGGGCACTGTCGAGCCAATCATCATCGACTTCAAGACTGACCGCAAAGGTGAAATTCAGTACAAACCATTACGGAGACCCATCCTTTACGCCAAAGCATTATGCATCATAATATTATGCCACAAGGCTATTAATGATGATTAATAATGTGTGTATAATCTGACCGTAGGTCTGGTGGCTGAAGGAGAGAAGACTCAGAAGTCGGGCGGTATGGTTGTGATGAAGGATCTACTGGGTGAGTACACCACACACACAGGATTTTAACTCATTCTCACTCAATTGACCAATATTGCATTTTATTTGCTATAGAATCAATCAATTAGAATTGTATTGATTTAATGAATGTATTAACCATCTGCTCCCCCAGGTAAGCACCCAGTGTCTGCTCTGATGGAGATGTGTAACAAGAAGAAGTGGATTCCTCCAGAGTTTGTTATGGTGACCCACAGTGGCCCAGACCACCGCAAGAACTTCCTTTTCAAGGTGTGGATACTTGCTGTCAGCCTATGGGTTTGTTTATTAGTTTATGAATGACTTTGTCAGATGGTTTGCGTTATATAACCTCTTCCTCTCTCCTCTCTCTCTCTCTCTGTATCCCAGGTGGTGGTGAATGGTCAAGACTTCCAGCCCGCGTCAGCCAGTCCCAATAAGAAGCATGCCAAAGCCATGGCTGCTACGGTGGCTCTGCAGGCCATGGGAGAAGTGGCAGGGGACACAGGGCTTTATACAGGGCCTGTGTTCACCACTGCTACCACTGGACCACTGTTCTCCTCCGCCTCCAATGTGTAACACACACACTGGAGAAGAAACGACTTGAGCCGCAGACCCTTCTGGTTGACATGGACATATAGAATTTGAATTCACCCACCAGGGAACGATGATTTGAATCCGTTCTATCAAGTCTTATACAATGTTTTGAGCCCACACACAACAAGCATTCAGACCGTATCTGCTGCCTAATGGTCAACACTAGGAGATAGTGCTAATCTGGAAGCGAAAGAAACTTACTGATATTTTAAAACGGTTCCGTAACAGTTTTTTATCCTACTTTGAATGTTTATCTTATGTGTTGAAGCTCAAATGACGTTTTCAAGAAGCTGTTCATAGTGTTAATGCATTTGGGAGAATTTTTTAAAACTCCACCATTCTCATGACCAAATCGTCAATATCATCAAATGTTACCCATTGGAACATTCATTTTAAAGCTGTCAAGAAAGTGATTCACTTGATAGTTGTCTAATTTTGGACAGATTAATTTACTACTGTCTAGGTTGAGCTTTCTCAGTCCGCTTTTGTTGGTAGTGTTATTTACAAGGCCTGTATAAAAACAAATTTAAAGTGTTAGCTGAAAGCGAAGAGATGTGGGTAACAGTAGGAGTTATGGTCTGGAATACCAAAATAAAGATTTTAGTTTGTTTTATCTGATTCATTAAATGATACAATCCTTTGACTATGTGCGTGAAGTACATTTTCTCTCATTTTGTTGTTTATACAGACAAGAAAGTGTCTTCCATTTTTATTTGCCACGCACTCACAACACACATTTATCGTACATCCAATACTGTGTTTTCAAACGGTGCAGTTCAGTATTTGAAGACTGTCTCCCCACCCGTGTCATCATTCCAGCACTTGTAGCAATAAACATATTTCCTGGTGCAGGGAGCGATATTAATAGGAATACTATATATGGATACAGCATAGAAGGGTTCATCTGAAGCCTTGAGTCCAATCCCACATTCCAATACACAACCTTCAATGCGTTCAACAGACGTAGCAGTTCAGACATCATCAAACGATCTCAGACCTCTCACTGGCAGCTCAAATGAGGAGTGATTGATCCAGCATTGCAGAGGACATTAATGCATAGTGGCTGTAGCTGTAACGTGGCTAAGATCATTTAGCATATTCACATATATACACTTTAAAAAGTTACTAGTTCTGAATTCATTATCAATTGATGTAATTGATTGGCCACGAGTCACCTGATAGACCCAGGTCTGAATCAGTCTGATTAAAAAATAAACTGTTTTTCAGCCCTCCAGAACCATAATTGAATGACCTTGCCCCTAACCCTTGGGTCTACCCCTCTTCCTGATGTGGGTCTAGGACGGGATCTTGTTGAGAGCCAGCAGAGGGATGAAGATCAGAGCTGTAACCAGCAGAACCCCGGCGATCATCCCGATACGCACCAGTGGAAGAGTCTTCACCCAAACTGCTAACACATCTTCTTGATCCTCTGGGTAAGGAGGAGGGGAGGAGGAGAGGACTGAGGAGAGAGAGAGAGAGTGAATAGGAGGGCACAGTATTCAACATTGACTACTTCAAACATTCATCTACAGTACTTCCAAAACGTTTAGAACATGCCACTCACTGAAGGTTGGGTCAGGTGATGATGGCGTCATCTCTGTCTGCACTAATATTGGCTCAGATGATGTCACTGTAATGATGTAATGAAATGTTACCAGTATGTCCCAGCATTAACGAAAACAGTAAGTAATAATAAGCATTGGGGAAAAAATAGCTTTCAAACTTTGCAACACCTAGACAGTACCTTGCATATCCTCCTTATCTTGGGTCACCAAAGTGAAGAACGTTATTGGGTTCTCGCTGGCACCACTAGTCTCAGTAAAGTCTGAGCTACTGGTGACATTCTCTGTTCCTGTGTTACAAAAGGGAAAACACTGAGCACAAATTAAAGCACAAACTCAATGTGTCAGATGATCAGTCAGTGTGTGTAGGCCTACCTGTTAAGTTATATAGGTCAGCCTGTGTAGGCCTACCTGTTAAGTTATATAGGTCAGCCTGTGTAGGCCTACCGGTTAAGTTATATAGGTCAGCTGTATGGCCTAGGTAAGTCTATAGGCAGCCTGTGTAGGCCTCCGGTTAGTTTAGGAGCCTGTAGCCTACCTGGTTAGTAGAAGGTCAGCGTAGCTCACCGGTGAGTTATAGGTCCGCTGTGTAGGCCTACGTAAGTAAAGGTCAGCCTGTGTCCTACGGTTTAAGTTATATAGGCAGACTGGTAGGCCTACCTTTAGTCATATAGGTCGCCTGTGTCAGGCCTACGGGTTAAGTTATAGGTCAGCCTGGAGGCCTCCGTTAGTGCATTAGGTCAGCCGGTAGGCTCCTGGTTAAGTTATATAGGTAGCCTGTGAGGCCTGACCCGTAAGTATAGGTCAGCTGTGACGGCTCCCTTAGTTAATAGGTCAGTGTAGGACCTGGATGGTCGGGGCTCTGGAGTTATGAAGGGTCACTGGAGAGTATGTAGAAAGGAGAGTCTGAGTGTGATAGAGGCATGTGATAAGCATAAATGAAGCTAATCAAACATTCCAAATAGTACACCCAAAATGGCCGCTGGTCGACTCCATCATCCACAGAATGCGGCTCTGAATGGGTATCCTGATAACAGACAGACTTACCGTGAACCTTGAGCCAGACCGTAGAGATGGTCTTGCGGCCCTGCCAGATACACTCGTACATTTCCTCATCGCTCAGCACTGTCTCCTGGATGGTCATTGAGAAGTCTCCATCTCTCATCCTCTCTGCTGGGGGGAATTCCACCCGGGAGGAGAACCCCAGCGTCGTTTTGACCTCCGCCCCCTTGGCCCCGTCGTCCCAGCTGGCCTCGCCAAGGATGTTCCCAACCTCCATAAAGGCCACCTCCTGCCCCATGGCCTCCCAGCGGACCTCCCCCTCATCATCCTGGCCCAGGTAGGAGGAAAAGTTACAGGGGAGGGTGACATTGTCCCCGTACCCCACCTTCAGCTCATACACTGGGGTGAAGGTAGGCACAGACACTGGGGGAATGGATGGATGGACAGATGGAGAATGAAGGGGGAGAACAGTATGTGTGAGAGGGATGATGGATGGAAAAAAGTGATGGAGAGAGAGAAGGAGAAAGGGATGAATAGAAGATTAGTCAGAAAGAAAGGCAGACATGAGACAGGCAGAAGACCTAAATGTACATGCTACAGATCAATTTCTGTGTCCAAGACCTTTGGATGATGATGATAGATCGAGCAGAGGTATAGCAGAGATCTCTAGTTTTAAACAAAGAACGACCCACGCCTTTGGAAAGTTTAGAATAATTATTGATGAGTTTTAAATTATTGAGAAAGTAGTAGCCTAGTGATCTCAAGAAACTCACCAGCTTGGACTGAAGTCAAAATCGCCAAGAAGCCTAAAAAAATCATCTTGCAAGATGTCTAGCCCTTGGTCACCTGCTGTAAAAAATAAATACAAAAATAAAATAATAAAATATAGTCTAAACAAACAATTTTATTGAATAAATCTGGAAAGAAACAATTAAGTTATTAGAAGGGCATTATGTCTGGTAAAAAGTGTTACAAATATTTTCGAAATGTAGCCTAAATCCCACTCATAGCCAATCAATAAATCGATACGATAATCCGTTCAGGGTCTGGTGGATGTCGTTGATCTCACGAGCCTAAAAAGAAAAAGTCCACTTGACCGTCTCCATTATCAACTTTGGCAACAGAACAAATCACCGTGAAGGGTGCTCGGTGTTCTTACCGAATAACTGGTTATCAAGGCGAGATAAACAACGAACCGTCAGAAACGGATCTGCGCACGGGTTGGACTTCTGCCATTGGCAAGGGGATGTCCTCTTTTTTAACCGTGAGAAGCAGATGTCTATGTCAGGACTCACATTAGCGCTGCTTTAAATGACTATTAATCCATCCACCCTATAGAGCCCTAGAGTGGGGGTGTCATAATACCCATAAAACCTAGCGGTCAAACAGGGAAATGATTCCAATCGTTTTTCCACCATTCATTTTTCTCATAGGGGAGTTTAGAAACACTTAAAATAAGGGCTGTGTTTCGTGTAGGCTTACCCTGGCCTGACGTAAAATATGCGCAAACTGTTAAGACTGGGAAGCATATGGTAAGCTTAACACTAAAACTGAAAGAGAATAATATAAAAATAGAAATGTTTTTGTAAAACAAACTAAATAAAAACTAGTAAAGTGGATCTGAAAACTGAGACTAAAAACGAATATAAAAACACAAAATTATAATAACCTTGACAGGCTCACACATCGAGATCTGATTGTAGATTTGGATCACTAGATAGTCAAGACTGAATGTAGGATTATAATAACATAAATTGCTAGTATCCAGTCCAGTGTTTGGTTATAAACCCCCTCTATCAATCCTGTTAATTTGGCCATCCGGCGCATAAAGGTAGCCAATTTGCATCCGTTTGTCTATATTGATGCTCCTCTTTACTCATCAACATGCAGCTATGCAGATCAGTGGGCTCAAACGTTTGCAGAACATTCTTATAGAAACATACTATGTACACTGAACAAAAATATAAACGCAACATGTAAAGCCCACTGTAATGTCCCATGTTAAACTGAAATTAAATATCCCAGAAATGATCCATAAGCACGAAAAGCTTCTTTTTTTTTCTCTCTCATTTTGTGCACAAATTTGTTTACATCTCTGTTAGTGAGCATTTCTCCTTTGCCAAGATAATCCATCCACCTGACAGGTGTGTCATATCAAGAAGCTGATTAAACAGCATGACCATTACACAGGTGCACCTTGTGCTGGGGACAATAAAAGGCCACTCTAAAATGTGCAGTTTTGTAACAACACAATGCCACAGATGTCTCAAGTTGAAGGAGCGTGCAATTGGCATGCTGACTGCAGGAATGTCCACCAGAGCGGTTTGCTGATGTCAAAGTTCTGAACAGAGTGCCCCATGGTGGCGGTGGGGTTATGGTATGGGCAGGCATAAACTACGGACAACGAACACAATTCCACACAGATACCGTGACAAGATCCTGAGGCCCATTGTCGTGCCATTCATCAGCCGCCATCACCTCATGTTTCAGCACGATAATGCACGTCCCCATGTCGATCTGCACACAATTCCTGGAAGCTGAAAATGTCCCAGTTCTTCCATGGTCTGCATACTCACCAGTCATGTCACTCTTTGAGCATATTTGGGATGCTCTGATCGACGTGTACGACAGCGTGTTCCAGTTCCCACCAATATCCAGCAACTTCGCACAGCATCTGAAGAGGAGTGGGACAACATTCCACAGGCCACAATCAACGGCCTGATCAACTCTACGCGAAGGAGATGTGTCACGCTGCATGAGGCAAATGGTGGTCACAGATAGATTGGTTTTCTGATCCACGCCCCTACCTTTAAGGTATCTGTGACCAACAGATGCATATCTGTATTCCCAGTCATGTGAAATCCATAGATTAGGGCCTAATGAATGTATTTAAATTGACTGATTTCCTTATATGAACTGTAACTCAGTAAAATGGTAGACATTGTTGCGTTCATATTTTTGCTCAGTATAGAATAGACATGCTCCTGCCTCTGTCATGTAGAAGGGACCATGTCAGCTCTATACAATCCATTTCTATCTGCAGCTTTCAGAACGTTGTGCTCTCCTGGATGCAGCCCAGTTCGGCTTCCCGTTAACGGAACATGAAACTAACTGGGGGCAAGTCAGTACAGAGTGTCTCTGCTGCCAAGACACCACACTGTGACTGACTATTCTCCTCAAGAGCAAATCAACTCAGAGGGGAAAAAATAAGGAAATCAAAACCTTAAGGTTCAGACTTTGACATCAAGTATATAACAGTCAGGGGGGGGAAAATAAGTCAAGCAGAAAAATCATGTGACAAACATGAATTTAATCCAATAAAATGTCACCATTAATGTAAAACAATTATGTTGAAATAAAAGCACTTAAAAACAGACGAAAAAATAAAATAAGAAAGGGCAGGGCCTAAAACCACCAACAAGTCTGCTTTAGCCAAATCCATCTCATTATGGCAAATCATCAAGAACTCAATTTCCCATTAGTCATTGGGTTGTAGTCCAGGGACCAGGGGGTTAGTAAAACTACAATTGCCAGCATACCCAGAGGTTCTGGACAGTCTATTCAGACAAATATGGACAGTAAATATATGGCAGTGTAGGAATGGTACGGTCCACTACAGGCATGTTGGCCCTTGGTTGTGTCCCAAATGGTACCCTATTTCTAATATAGTGCACTACTTTATAGGGCTCTGGTCAAAAGTATTTAACTATAAAGGGAAAAGGGTAGAATTTGGGATGCAGCCTAGCAGTTCTCTCTGGGCAGTCTGATAGAGGCAGGGTGAGTTGCTCTCAGGACTTCCATGTGTAGGAGTAGTTGTTCAAGTGGAGCTGTCTGAGGGAAGACTTTCCCAAGGTAGAGGGCTCCTGGAGCTGCTGGATGGTGCTGGGATGAAGACCACATCCATCCAGCTTTACAGCCTGCTCAGCCTGGGAGAGGCAGGGAGGAAGGAGGGGGAAGGAAGAGAGAGAGCGAAGAGAGGAGAGAAGGAGAGAGAGAGGGAGAGAGAGAGAGATACAAACAAGTACAAAGGATATTCAGTTATTTTTTATTACAAATTTAACTTTGAATTGCGGAGATCAAATGATGAGGCTTTTATACCAGTCCGTTACATTAGTGTCGTGACTTGGATATCAGTTGAGCTTTGTGTGTGTCACCTGTGTTCTAGCGGTGTGTGTGTTCAGTATGGCGGTGGGTTTGTGTGTGTGACTGACCTTTTCCCTGGTGGTGGTGTGTGTGTTCAGTATGGCGGTGGGTTCGTGTGTGTGACTGACCTTTTCCCTGGTGGTGGTGTGTGTGTTGAGGACAGCGGTGGGTTCGTGGGTGTAGAGTGCGGTGCTGAAGCCTCCTCTTTGAGCGGGCCGGAGCAGGCGGGTCAGGGCGTGGAGAGAGTGAGGCATTATGGGTCCCGTCACCTCTAGACTGCACACGTCCTGGTACCCAGCACGCACCTGGGTCTTCACGTTCACACTACGTGCCTGACAAACACAAGAGAGAGGGGGAGAGAGACCATCACAATTAGACAAGGCAACATGCTGTTAAATTCTTGTTTTTGTTATTTCTATTCATAATAATTGAACATTGAAATGTGGGAGGTAAGGCTCCTAATATGGCTGCAGTGTGTGTGTCTCACCTTGAGTGAGTGTAGCGTAGCTCCTCTGAAGGCTGTAGGGGCCAGTAGGGTGGGGGGCAGGCCTGCCTGTGATCCAGACCCCGCCACCAGACTCTTACAGTTGATGAGGAAGTTGATGAGAGTGAAGGTGTGCGTTCCCGACACACACACTACCGACTCTGGCTTGTGGTCTAAACACACCGAGGTGCGCTCTTTGTGCAGTTTGATGGAGATGTTGTCTGGTTTCTTGATCTTATCCTGCACTCCCATCTCCGTCAGCCAGGAAAATCCACCATCATCATCTTCATCATCATAGTCTTCCTTGTCACTGGCTTCACACTGTGTCTCCTTCTCCTCTCTGTCTGTCTCCTGGCTGTGTCCGGTTGATCCCTGCTCCTTGCTCTTCCTCTTTTCTTCCAGTAGGGGGAGTGTGAACTCAATACCTACAAGCACAGGTATTTCACCGAAAAGGTTTCACTATCAAGATTAGAATAACCATATATTAATGTTTAATCAACTTTTACATTATATATTGTTGAGTGACTTCTTGTATTTATACTAAAATGTTTATTCTATTAGATTTATTGTTTACTTTGTAATTTTCTTATTGTTGTCACATTATCGAGAGGGAACCTAAAGGTCAGCGTTTCATTGGACTGTTTACACAATGTGTATCCTGTGCATATGACATAATAAACTTGAAGGATATACTGTATCTATTATCTCACCGTCAGCCTTCATGGCCTCTCTGAGCCCCCTGGTGGTTGGGGTGAGTAGTGCAGTGATGCTGCTGTTCCCTGCCAGTCCTGAGGCTCTGAACAGAGCAGTGAACTGGTAGGAACACACATAGAAATACGAACACAGTCTGGCCTTCAATAGACTGTACAGGGAGGACAGACTCAGTGACCTGGGAGGGAGAGGGAGGGAGGGAGGGATGGAGAGGGGAGCGAGAGGGGGGTGAGAAAGAGGGGGGTGAGAATGGAGAGCGAGAAGGGGGGGAGGGGGGGGGGGGGGGTTTGTTTAAGACTAGTGTTTGAGTGTTTCGAGATCTTGTGTGGGTGGGTGCGTGTGTGTTATTGATATGTTTGGTGTCCTTGTTGATTCGAGGACAGAGTTGAATTTAAGATCTTTTAACTTTGATAATACCTGCACACACAGTCACACACACACTCCCCCCTCTGATGCCCACTCACCATTCGCTCATGAGGCTCTGTTGAAGTGCCATGTCCTGGGCCCAGGGGACGTTCTTGCAGTGATCTCTCTCTCTCTCCTTTCTCTCGGGGAACAGAGAGAGCCGATGACGGGACTGGGCTGCTGCCAGAACTGCAGACACTGCTGGAACCCACATCGTAGCTCAGCAGATGACCGAGGGTCCTGGAGGAACACAGAGAAGAGTGTGTGTGTGTGAGTGAGTGAGTGAGTGAGTGTGAGTGAGTGAGTGAGTGAGTGAGTGAGTGAGTGAGTGAGTGAGGAGTGAGTGAGTGAGAGTGAGAGAGAGAGGAGAGAGAGAGAGTATGTGTTGCTAGTAAAGCTCCTCGGGTACTAGTACTCCTGTGCCTTGGTTGCCATTGGTGTGTGTTTGTGTGTAACATGTATAAACAGTACCTGTATACTCTGTGGTATAGTAGTGTATTGTCCTCTACAGTGCTGGGTGAGACCCTGGGCCTCCTCTGTAGCTCTGGGCTGTTCAGCCCAGGAGAAGGGGAGCGGGGAGGTGAAGAGGAGACGCGTCTTCAGGCTCCAGTCTGCAGGGTACTCCACACACACAGGGGGCGCTATGGAGGTTACTGCACCAGCCTGGGGACTCTGACACACGCACAAGATAAAATGTTGACTCACAAAAGCCCAAATCAACCCCTAGTCTGTAGCCATGAATAGTTGAATGCGATGGAATAAAAGCCTCCACAGCCGTTCTATAATGTAGATAGCTATAATTTTAATAGGCTTTTGGTAGCTCTCCAAGAATGGAGTTGGAGATTCCTGAAAGGGGGGGGGGGGCATGTCTATAAGGATTAAGAGAATAGAGAACTGAATAGAACTCACCTTCAGTATGGATGTTCTCTCCTCCTGGAACAAGTCCTCATCTTCTTCAAACAGTGAGTCGTCTTCAGACAGAGAAGTTGGTTTCTATTGTTAGAGAGAAAGGGGGGAAAGATCAGAACAAAACAGCGGTGTGAAATCACCATAAGGTGTGATGCTTTGACAGATAAAGCAATTTGACAACTGTGTACAGTAGCTGGCTAACACTGCATTTAGCTAACTAACGTTACCTCTTTCATGTGTCAGTTGGCTAGCTACTGTAGTTTGCTGGAAAATAGTACAGTAGCAAGCTGCTAGCGTTAGGTACAGTAGCAAGCTAGATTTTACAACAACAATAATAACGTTGTTATAAACAATCTATAATACCTTGCTGGGCACGCCTTTGCTTAGTTCTTCTGCCTGGAGAAGTCGTTCGCTGAATGGCAGCGTTCTTGTTGTTGACTTCTCTCCCTCCGCTCCTGCAGAGCAGTCCGGCTTCACAGAATCCGAAGAGTCGGCGTCGTCATCAGTGTAAATAAAGACTTTCTTCTTCGCTGGGCTGCTGAAGGTGTTCTCGATGCTAGCAAATGGGTTTCTCCGCTTCACTCCCCGTCCAGAGCGACCCTGGCCGAACAGGGGTCCTGGAGAGAATGGTCGAACGGCGGATATAGAGGCACCTTCACTCGGGCTTGATATGGAGCCTCGGCCACCAGAACTGACACCCTCGCTGCGGGCTCTCTTCCTCCGCATTCGCAGGATTTCAGCTGGTCTTTTGAAACTGGGTGAGTAACCAGCTTGTTGTGACATTTTGTAAGGATAATGGGAAAAAAGTTTGGTCCGAAAAAAACAAGAAAGCCGTTTTAAAATAGATGAGTGAGGCCGATACGCCTCCGTGTTGTTGTTCCTTGAATTTACTTCGACACAAAACAAATTTAGCGCGGGACGTGCGTGGAACGTCAGAGTCCCGCTAAAATGTCAGGGGAGGAGTTTTGAGTTACGCCAGAGCGTCAAACAAAAAGCCAGATTCTTTGGCGCCATCTTCTGGCTTGAATTACAACTGCAAGACCAATTTTGCAATCGCATAAAGCCACTGATTCTCTAAATCTGCCGGGATAACAAATCAATATAATTTATGTTTCTTCAGACATTAAAGTTATATCCTATATACTTTTATGCTTCATGAATTATTACAAAATATATATCCATATAATGTGTATGTAATTTTCAATACATGTATTCATTTCTTGATTTTATAATCTGCATTATGTCCGAGCAACAATCAGCGGTCCCCCGAGCCCCTCTCTCCCTCTTGTCAAAGTGATTAATAGTATTATGTTAATTGTTGTTAGCGATCGTTTCTCAGCGTTTATCATTTATCACTGTTGGTGATCAATCACATTCATAGCTGAACCGAACCCAATGAAACTGTCCGCCAGTGATTCTAACGGTTTTCAGGGATTAGCGAATTTGTCAATCGATTATTTGGGCTGTCATTTGGGTGGAAAGAGTCCTTTTGCCGTCTCAAATGTGTCCCAAGGTTAGTAGGAGTAATTGATTGTTTTGGGCCTTGAACATCAACACACAGACATCAACATATGTTAGTTTCGGTGTTCTGTCCTGTCCTGCCATGACTAACAGCAAAGCTAAAATGTTCAGGTTATTCCTTGTGATTGAGTCTGTCATGCTCATAGGATAGTTGAATACGTTTCCCACGTTCCCGATGGCGGTGGGTGTTCCCCTGTTCCCCTCAACGGTTCCTCTGGCATGTAGGCTACGCCTATTGGATAATTAGCCCTCTATCAACATGGACTATAATAAGGCGGGTGTAAGGGTTTAGGGCACCTGTAATTGTATATTCACTGACCTGGACATGTGCGAGCATCAACAAACAAACCAGGGGTGTAATCATTAGTCTAAACCAGGGGTGTCAAACTCATTTTAGCTCAGGGGCCACATGGAGGAAAATCTATTCCCAAGTGGGCCGGACCGGAAAAATCATGGTATATATAACTTAAAAACAACAACTTCAGATTGTTTTCTTTGTTTTAATACGATCAACATACAACATAAAGCTGGAGCCTGAGGACAGTGTGTCCAAAATAGTACAAGCACAACATCACTATTAATCATAAAACACGTCAAGTTTATTTGAAAATTCTAAAGAAAAAGAACACACAAACACACAATGCCTCAGTGATTAACATAACTATTTCACAGATCACAGAACTATATCAGGGTGTCATTTCTCAGGCAGAAATGTAGATAAAAATAATGAAATCCTGTTCCCCAAACAAGTGCAAGAACCACAGAGTCAAGAATAGGTTAAATATACAAATAAAATAAAATCAATTAAAAACAATAGCACATCAACATAAAAACATATAAACATAAAGCTGGAGCCTGAGGACAGTGTCCAAAAGCACAACATCACTATTAATCATAAAACACCTCAAGTTATTTGAAAGTTCTGAGGACAAAGAACACACAAACACACAATGCCTCAGTGATTAACAGAACTGTTTCACAGATCACAGAACTATATCAGGGTGTCATTTCTCAGGCAGAAATGTAGATAAAAATAATGAAATCCTGTTCCCCAAACAAGTGCAAGAACCACAGAGTCAAGAATAGGTTAAATATACAAATAAAATAAAATCAATTAAAAACAATCGCACATCAACATAAAAACATATAAACATAAAGCTGGAGCCTGAGGACAGTGTCCAAAAGCACAACATCACTATTAATCATAAAACACCTGAAGTTATTTGAAAGTTCTGAGGACAAAGAACACACAAACACACAATGCCTCAGTGATTCACAGAAGTATATCACAGATCACAGAACTATATCAGGGTGTCATTTCTCAGGCAGAAATGTAGATAAAAATAATGAAATCCTGTTCCCCAAACAAGTGCAAGAACCACAGAGTCAAGAATAGGTTAAATATACAAATAAAATAAAATAAATTAAAAACAATAGCACATCAACATAAAAACATCTAAACATAAATCTGAAAGCGTTGCTCAAACTCCCGTAACAGTCCCGTTATTTTATCTTTGAACCGCTTCATGTCTGCCACATGTTGGGTCGCGCACACATTTTTCAGACAGGGGAAGTGAGCTGCATCACCACCGGCAAGTTGCGTCTCCCACAATGACAGCTTCAACTTGAAAGAATGTATGCTGTCATAATACTGCGTGACAACTTTGTTGCGCCCTTGCAGCTGTTTGTTCAAGTTATTCAGGTGCTCTGTAACATCCACCATAAATGCAAGGTCCTGCATCCATTCTGTGGAATGAAATTATAACACTGGTTTGCCCTTTTCTTCCATGAACTGTTCAATTTCTTCTCGTAAATCAAAGAAACGCCTCAGCACAGCACCTCGGCTTAACCATCTTACCTCAGTGTGGTATGGCAGGCCATAGATGTGGTCTTTCTCTCTGAGAAGGCTGTCAAACTGACGGTGATTCAGGCTTCTGGATCGGATGAAATTAACAGTTTGGATGACCACCTTCATGACGTTATCCATCTTTAATGACTTGCAACACAAAGCCTCCTGGTGCAAAATACAGTGAAAAATCAAAAAATCACGTCCTCCATTTGCAGATTGCACTTTCTCTCTGAACTTTGTCACAACGCCTGCTTTTTTTCCCGATCATTGAGGGCGCACCATCTGTAGCCAGGCTGACAGCGCGGGACCAGTCCACTCCGACCCTGTCCAGCGCGCCGACGAGTGCGGTAAAAATATCAGCTGCTGTCGTTGTATCTGTCATCGGCACCAACTCCACGAACTCCTCAGTGACGGTCAATGTGTCATCAACTCCGCGGATGAAAATGGCCAGTTGTGCAACATCTGTAATGTCCGTGCTTTCATCAATTGCAACCGAAAACGCAATAAATGACTTTACTTTTTGCTTCAACTGGCTGTCCAAATCCACTGAAAGATCGGAAATCCTGTCTGCAACTGTGTTTCTTGTCAGGCTGATATTTGCAAAAGCCTGCCGCTTTTCAGGGCACACAATCTCCGCTGCCTTCATCATGCATGTTTTTACAAATTCACCCTCACTAAATGGTTTTGAAGCCACTGCGATTTCATTAGCAATGAGGTAGCTAGCTTTCACTGCAGCGTCACTGATGTCTCGGCTGTGAGTAAACACAGACTGCTGTTTCTTCAGACCCGCCAACAGTTCATTCACCTTCTCTCATCTCCGCTGTCCTTGAAAGTTGTCATATTTGTCGGCATGAAGACTCACATAGTGGCGACGAAGATTATATTCTTTCAGCACTGCAACATGCTCTGAACACACCAAACATACAGCTTTCCCATTAAATTCCGTGAATAAATAGGATGACCATTTTTCTTGGAACACTCTGCACTCTGCGTCCACTTTTCTCTTTTTTGACAGAGACATATTGGGGCAATGAGGGTGCCAAAGCACATAATGTTAAAAGTAGAAGCCGTAATAAATATCGCGGGCAAAACAAAGTAGCTCATTGGCTGCACGTGCTTGACCTACTTGCTCTGCCCCGGTATAAACAGTTTGCTTGCTTAACACAATTGCTATTGCGCCATCCAGTGGACGCAATTGGAACAGCAGTTTATTTTATTGAAAAATTGCAGCGCATTTTTATACTTTACACATTTTTTTTTTTTTTTTTTTTAATCATCTCGCGGGCCGGATTAAACCCGTTTGCGGGCCTGATCCGGCCCGCGGGCCGGACGTTTGACACCCCTGGTCTAAACAGTTGCAAAACATTAGCAAATTTCGTTCCGTTGCTTCTGTTTAATAAACGGTTTGCAACAAAATCGGCGGATTGAATACACCCCTGGTGAAACTTCAAACAAAGCAACGGAAAGTATGTGTCCCTGATGACAAAGTTGCTACTACAATTTAATCATCGATCTACACTTCCTGTTTCTCATACGACCACCACAAAGTCTGTGGGCCTTGTAACACGGACAGAAACCGTTAGGAGACGCTATTCACAACGGTTTCTCTTTGAATGTTGATTTTTGATAAGATTCCCCTAACCAAGTTCTGAGGAATAGACCTATTTGTCTGTGGATTCTTTGTTACATGTCAAAGTTGATGATTCAGTTGGTTTATAGGTAGGCCTACTTGCAGTTGCAACACATGAGTTGTGGGTTTTAATCAGTTTGAACCCTGCTTGGTACACATAATGAATAGCTAGATCAACTCCTTGGTTTTGGATAAAAAAATATTTTAATTCACCTAATCACATTATATTATGTCATAGGCTATATTGTAGACTGACAGTGAATAGTGGTGTATTATAGTTTTGTCATAGACTGTGTTTCTGTGTCTCTCCCACCTCACTGCCCTTTTCTCCTGGAGACTGTGTGGTTTTATGGGCCTTGGCCTGAGGCCTGGAGGACTAACAGCCACGCTCTGTGTACCCACTGTCTAGTCAGGTTCGCCTTTATTTAGCTGTCTGTGGGTCAGTTTGTGTGTGTCTGTGTGTTATCTAGCCCTGAGAGAGAGAGAGAGAGAGAGAGAGAGAGAAGAGAGAGATACAGAGAGAGAGGAGAGATAGAGTGAAGAGAGGAGATATATAGATAGAGCGCTCGCTAGACGCGCTCTCTCTCTCTCTATCTAGCTCGCGCTCTCTCTAGCTATCGATATTCTATACGCGCTCGCTCCGCTATCTCTCTCTCTACTCGCTCTCTCTCTCTCTCTCTCTCTCTCTCTCTCTCTCTCTCGCGCTCTCTAGCAAGAGAGTTGTCTGTGTACGCGCCCATATCAGTGTGCTTGTGTCTTTCTGGAAATGTAGAGTGGCAGAGAGGGCAGGCCAGGGCTCGTCTGGTTGCCTGTGTAAATTCTTCCTGTGTCAGGAATAGCATAAGGCTGTGTGTGTGTGCTTAGGAGGGGGGTGAATGTTGGCACAGATTCCAGTGCCAACAAGTCCCTGTCCCATCAGCCCAATATGAGAGAGAGAGAGAGAGAGAGGGGGGGGGGGGGGGGAGGGAGATAGACAGAGAGAGATGGAGAGAGGAAGAGAGAGAGAGAGGGAGAGAGAGACTGAATTTATAGAAAATACAAAAGACTGGTTTTATTTTCTTTACAACAATATTTATATTCATAAAGTAAAACAAAATTGAGAAAAGGTGTATTTGATGTTGCTGTGACATACCTGTGTGGGAGCCAACGATGTCATCAAACATGGACAACGTCGTCATTTACATTTAAAGACTATTTACAAATATGAGGTGAATCATGTGGCAATGTAGGCCTTATCTGTTAATTCAACCCCCCCATGCACGCACACACACACACACACACACACACACACACACACACACCGTACAGTCAACGTGCAACCAAAAAGGTATTGTAAGAGAATAAATTAAGGAATCATAAAGCAAACGACCTGTTACAGTTTTGTGTGACAGTACAATGTCCATAAGCACTGAACTGGGTACAGCAATCCCTGTAAATTCCTACCCTTAACCATTGTGAATCAACTAACAGTGCTGATTGTAGATCAGTGCAGACAATATCACGGCCGTAATCCAATACAAACATGACAGAACAGATACAGATCCTGGCTGGCCATAATTTACATGAACAGTATTCTCTCCGTTTTGAACGAGGGGAGAGGGGGATAAGGGAGGAGAGGGGGGCGGAGGGATGAGGGGAGGTGGGATAGGAGGGGAGTGCCTGTGGCACACACAAAAATCAGCCATTGTATTTTTGGGCATGTGTAATTGATAATAACAACAACAATCATAACCATGGCAAACAATCCTTTTATAAAACAAAGCTGAATTATTTTCAGTTCCGCGCTGCTGCATGCTCCTCTGTGTAAAACGGCACCCTGTTTCAGTTCCTTCCTCAATTCGTTCCTTGATCATTCTAATGATCCAATAGGAACGCTCCGTGAAAGCCCCTTCCCCACTCCAATTGGCCAGCAAGTCCGTCAATCATCTGTTAACCCCGCTGCCGTGCTCAATATGGCCGCCATACGGCCTCGGGTACCATATTGGTAGGGGAGCTACTGTGACTTCCCTCCGCTTCCACCCCCACTCCTTCGCTCTGATTGGGCAGAGACGGGTGCAGGAGGGAGGAGCCTGTGGATGCGTTGGTGCAGGGAGGGAATATCCTCGGAGGAGACCGCTCCCCGCCTCCCCCCGCCATCATGGAGAATTGGTAGGACCCAGCGGCCGTGCTGTAATACAGGTGATAGGGAGAGGAACCGGCCTGGAACGGTCCACCTTGGCCCTGGGGGGTGTTTGTGGGGTAGGGCGGGGGGAGGTAGGTGTGGTAGCGCCCGGCAGGGGTGGTTGCCATGGTGAGTCCGATGGCGCCATTGGATACGGGGGTAGGGGTGTATGTGAAGGCCCCAGCAGGGTAGTGCATGCGCGGGTCAGCGTAGCGGCTGTCAGGGAGCGAGGCCAGGGAGGAGAATGGGCGATCCAGGGACATACGGGGGTCGCTGAAGGCTGTGAGGTCAGGGCCTGTAGGGGGAGAGGCGAGAGGTCAGGGGTTAGAGGTTAGAGTGGAAGCAGGAAGTGAATGAGAGAGACTGATGACTGTCAGAGAACACCACGGGTCAGTCGACAGTGGGTGAATGAGTGTGTGTGTGTGTTACCTGAGAGGCGGTCACTGAGGGAGGAGCGGCTGGGTGAGATGGGCGTGGTTGAGTGGACGGGTGTGGTGTGGTGACCCAGGTAGGGGTAGGACTGCTCATAGGACCACGACGGAGATGTCTGCAGCTGCCTAGAGTCTGAGAGATTAGAATAGAAGAGATCCTTTATTAATTAATTTAATTAGAATGGAAATATGTCTTCTGCCTATCCCACCAGCCCCCCCCCCACACACACACACACACACACACACACACACCGGAGGTTGTTTCACTCCAGCATCTGCTGAACAGGTAGAAACTGAAACATTACAGATGTATATACTGGATGTGAGTGAAGTAGTTTTATGTGAGTGTGTAAAACTCTCAACACCTGCACTCACTTTACCATACCATCTTTTTTGTTGTACTTTTTCATGATATCCAATTGGTAGTTACAGTCTTGTCCCATCGCTGCAACTCCCGTACGGACTCGGGAGAGGCGAAGGTCGAGAGCCATGCATCCTCCGAAACACGACCCTGCCAAGCCGCACTGCTTCTTGACACACTTCTCGCTTAACCCGGAAGCCAGCAAAGACCGTACAACTGACGACTGTGTCAGCGTGCATGCGCCCGGCCCGTCACAGGAGTCGCTAGAGCACGATGGGACAAGGACATCCCGGCCGGCCAAACCCTCCCTTAACCCGGACGACGCTGGGCCAATTGCGCATCGCCTCATGGGTCTCCCAGTCGCGGCCGGCTGTGACACAGCCCGGGATCGAACCCGGATCTGTAGTGACGCCTCAAGCACTACAGTGCCTTAGACCACTGCGCCACTCAGGGGGCCCCACTAAACCATCACTCCACCTTCACTCACTACACCTTCACTCACTACACCATCACTCACTACACCATCACTACACCATCACTACACCTGGGCTGAGCTGGGAGGCAGAGAAGAGAGAAGGATGAAGAGGAAGAGGAATATCCAGGAAATGGTGATGGACAGAAAGATAAAGAGAGAGATGAAGTGAGTGGGAAGAGTGGAGGAGAGAGGGAGGGAGGGAGAGGAAGGAGGGAATAAAAAAGAGAAAGATGGAGAGAGAGATGGAGACAGAGAGGAGAGGAAGCGATTAGCCTAGTGAGGGGGCGTAGGAAGGGGGGGAGGGGCGCTGTGTGTGTGCTCTTAGGCAGCCGGTCCTTTTCCCTGTGGTCCAATAAATGCCAGTGATCGCCCGCAGACTCGCAGACAAGAGTGTGTATGTGTGTGTGTGTGTGTCCACATACTCTGCAGACAGAGAGGGGAAGCAAATTGCACACAGCAGCCAAGACGTCAATGGCCTTTTTAAGTGCAGCCAGCTCCCCCAAGAACAAAACACTGAGGCCTAGGCCCAGTGCCAAGACCCCTTCTTTTCTTGGCTCCCCTCCCCAGGCTTCGGAGCTCTGATCTGGGGCAGGAGTCACACATGGCTGGGTGGGTGGCTGGAGGCGGGTCTGTGTATCCGGGGCTGCTGCTGCTGCGGTTCATTCATTTTTACTGCATTCCCACACACATGCAGACATATGCACACTCACTCGCCTACACGCATACGGTAAGCTTTACATACACACACACACACACACACACCCACACTTACTTACTTACTCAAACAAAGACTGAAAAATGAATCATGATTTTACCACCATTATACATGCGATACAATTTCATGTATGAAAGTCTGTCTCTTTCTTCCGGTACGCTGATTCTTCATCACTGATCATTTGGACAAATCACGATTTCGCAGGTGCTCACATCTTTCGAATTTCCGAATGGGAGGGGACATTTGGCCCATAGACTTGCCCAAAGTTGACTTGGGGGCTTCCGTTTTTAACAGATATCCCCCCAGAACTAAATTCGAGCATCTGACGCAATTACACAAACTTTTAGTTCTGGGTGTCCAAGATTACATCTGGACAGATGGGGCAAATGGAATCCGTCAGGTGGCCTCGGCTGGCACACACTGGATGGAGAGAACACACTCCTACACACATATACATACTCAGACACACACACATACCCACCCACCCACCCACTCACTCACTGACACACAAAGCCCATAGCCTCAGGACAGACCCCACACTGACTGCATGCCAACCCACTCTGGCTGGCACGCTACATACTGACAACCAGACTGGGCACACACACACACACACACACACACAGCTGTCTCTGACACACACACACACACACACACACACACAGAGCCCATGGCCCCAGCTGCCTCTGATTTTCACAGATATGAAAAGAGAAGTAGGAGGGAAAGAGAGAGAGTGGGAGGGAAAGAGAGAGAAAGAGAGAGAGGGAGGGTTAAGAGAGAGAGGGATTGAAAGAGAGAGGTCTTGAATGACTTAATAACGGTTTCCGCTGGCAGTGCTCCTGTTGCTATTTCTGGCCTCAGGATCAGAGACACACCATACAGGAAGGACTGGGGCCTGCCCCTCTCTTTCTGACTCCCCTCCTTCTATCCATCCATCATTATCCGTCTGTTTCGCTCTCACGCCTCATGTATCTTTTTGTGTATTTAATCTCTCTCTTTGTCTTTCCATCTCTCTTTATCTCCCTCCTCTTTCTCCATCTCTCCATACACCCATCTCTGATTCCACCTCCATCTCTCCATTCACCCATCTCTGATTCCACCTCCATCTCTCCATACACCCATCTCTGATTCCACCTCCATCTCTCCATTCACCCATCTCTGATTCCACCTCCATCTCTCCATACACCCATCTCTGATTCCACCTCCATCTCTCCATTCACCCATCTCTGATTCCATCTCCATCTCTCCATACACCCATCTCTGATTCCACCTCCATCTCTCCATTCACCCATCTCTGATTCCATCTCTATCTCTCCATTCACCCATCTCTGATTCCACCTCCATCTCTCCATTCACCCATCTCTGATTCCACCTCCATCTCTCCATACACCCATCTCTGATTCCATCTCCATCTCTCCATTCACCCATCTCTGATTCCATCTCCATCTCTCCATTCACTCATCTCTGATTCCACCTCCAACTTTCCATATCATCACTTTTGGAGACATAGCTAATTCTGAGAAGCATAGGCCCAATTCCTGTCAATTTTAATGTTTTGCTGGTCTCTGACGTGTAATGTTGGTATGTATGTCCCTATGAATGACTCCCTTATATAGTGTATTGCACATGAGGCTGGTGGCACCTTAATTGGGGAGAACGGGCTCGTGGTAATGGCTGGAGCGGAATAGTATCAAATACATCAAACACATGGTTTCCATGGTTTCCAGGTGTTTGATACCATTCCATTTACTCCGTTCCAGCCATTATTATGAACTGTCCTCCCCTCAGCAGCCTCCACTGGTGTATTGCGTGTTTAGATTTTAAATGAGGGTTTTTTCACACACTTCTACTTCCTGTCAGCTGACTCTCACTTCCTCCTCTCCTCCCTGGCCTGCTTCCTCACTACAACTGTCTACATATACAGGCTAACACACACACACACACACACACACACACACACACACCACTTCGGGAGAAGAGGAACAGAAACTGCGGGCGTATGTGTCAGAGGCTCTACTGCCACACGTTAACCGCAATGGGATTGGCTAAAACCACAAAAGAGGAAGTACTGGTCTTTCCAAACCCAGAAAAATATGTGAAAAACAAAGTGATTGGGCCTCTTCTCTCCTGCTCTCTTGCACATTGTTTGAGTGCTGTTTTTTACGTATGTGGAGGCATAATGCATAATGTGATTTCACTGTGTGATGACTGTTAGCATGTACACTGTGGGTGTATGTGGTACCATGAGAGAAGACTCACCTGGTATCTGTGTGTGGTGTGTGGGGTTGCTGAACTGGGCCGGGTTCAGGGCGGGCCGGGGGTTGGGAGTGGGTGCGTGGTGGTGATGATGGTGAGGGGGCGTGACCCTTATGGAGCTCCGCCTTAGCTGCTCCAGCTCGCTCAGACGCTCGGAGAAGGCCAACGCTCCCGTCTTCACGTCCTCCAGCTTCTGTCTGTGGCCTACACACAGAACACGCAAGCAGAAACGCATACACTCTCCATCAATCAATCAATCAATCAATCAATCTCTCAGCCTGCCTGCCTGTCTGTCTGCCTGTCTGTCTGTTTGTTAACATATGTTTAGTTCTTCTTTGTCTTTAGTTTGAGGTCTCAATTCTAATTAAAATATAAGTTTGTTCCCTATTTGGTTTCATGTTATGTGATATATGAGGGGCCAAACTGAAACGATGTAATGATGAAGAGAGTCCTCATCAGACCACAACAAGACACAGCATGGTGGGGGGGAGAGAGGGGGAGGGGGGGAGAGGGAGAGAGAGAAAGAGGGGGGAGAGAGAGAGATTGACAGAGGAAGAAAACGGAGACAGAAGGTATCCAGCCAGCTAGCCAGCCTCAGCTGTGAAAAACCATCACTCGTCTTCACATTTCCACCCACCCACCCACACACACACACACACACACACACACACACACACACACACACACACACACACACACACACACACACACACACACACACACACACACACACACACACACACACACACACACGGCTGGCGCACTGGGAGGAAGTGGTGCTGTAACTGGAGCCTGTGTCTGAGCCCTTTGAAGCGTGGGCCAGAACCCAGAGCCAGCCAGATCCTCAACACACACACAGAGTGAGCCAGCCAGCCAGACCCTGGATCGTTGCACGGCGCCCAACACCAGATTCCCGACCAGAATAACGGACCATCGGGGAATTGTCCCGTTAACAACCATGAGACAGAGGTGTGATGAGCCTTCGAATCAGCACACTCCCAGAACTACAACCCAGAACTAATGCAACTACAAATCCCATTCCACTAAGATTTGAACTCTAATGGTAATTATGGTCATGATGATCATCATGATCATGATAATGTAATAACAACTTGGATGATAATGATAACTATGATTATGATGATGCATTGTCTTCCGACAGGTGGTGTCACTCCTACGGCGACGCTCATCCTTCAACCGACAGAGTCATGGCGCTATCTGACGTTGATAACTGCGATGATGATGAAGAGGATGAAGGTGGTACTCACGGCGTGGTTCTCTGGGCCCGTCCACGGTGATCTTGATGGCTCTCTGGTAGGTGGCCACCTGGGGAGGGTTGGTGAACACCGTGATGGTCAGAGTGAAACTCTTCCCTGGAAGAGAGAGTGAAAATATGTTTTAATGTGATCATCTACACAGAAAACCTCTTGTGTCTCGCTGGCATCTCTCTCTCTCTCTCTCTCTCTCTCTCTCTCTCTCTCTCTCTCTCTCTCCAAACTATCTCTCTCTCTCTCCAACCTCTCTCCAACTCTCTCCAAACTCTCTCCAAATATACACCAGGTCTGGATATGACATTAAGATCAGCCTGACACAGGAATAACCCAGAGAGACATCAGAGAGACAGACAGACCCTACGGCCCCACACCTATTTACTGCTCATAAACACACACAGACAAACAGAGTGTGTGTGTGTAGGGGAGCAGACCTGGCTGGTGTTGTCACTGTGGGACTAATCTAGTCAGAGGGTCTGGTGATGAGTTGACAAGGCTGCCTGGCTGACAGTCTCCACTGTGAGTGTGTTTCTGTATACATCTATGAATCTGCATGTGTGTGTATATCTGTGTATCTCCATGTGTTTCAGTGTAAGTATAGAGATTCCTAGGTGAGTGGAGGAGACAATCACATCTGTCTCCATCAATCACGTGTGTGTGTGTTTTTCCCTCAGGCTCTGTACCTCAATGCATGGTGATGAGTGACGGGCAGACGCTGAGAGGATGTGCACACACACACACACACACACACACACACACACACACACACACACACACACACACACACACACACCATGGAGGTATGGGCGCCCAGGGGAGGCGGTCAGAGGCTGTGCCAAGGCTGGAATAGAGTTACCACAAACAGACCAGCCTACGCCAGCTAAAGCCCTGGCTACACACACACACACAGGTACTCGGCTGTACTGTCCAGACCACACACAAGCAGGCAGCCAGGACTATTCTCAGAGTCTAGAGAAGCTATGACATCACATCCCTGTCCCATGTTTTCTATTCAAGTGTGTTTGACTGCCCAAAGAGAGGCACATCTACTAATACACTAATATTCACCATAATAGGACGACTGTCCATTATTCATCATGTAGAACTTACTATTTTTCTAAAGTAAGTTATTGTAGGATAATTGAATTGCAAAATATGGATGATATTTCACAATCACATTTCCGCTGAAAAGATTGCTCAGTCTTACATCAGACATAGTCACCAAAAAAAAACCTCTTCTCGTTTATCCATATGTATGCATATATCACACGCACACACACACACACACACACACACACACACACAGTTGTTTTCAATAGTAGCGTCTGTGAGGGAGACGTTCTGTCTGAGAGGCAGACGGGAAGAAGACAACACAGCTAGGGAACGTCCCCTGACACAACGCTGTGTGTGTGTGTGTGTGTACACTATACTGTCCATGTGTTAGGATGAACAAGTGTGCATGCACATCCAAACAACTTTGTTTGCAAGAGAGAGAAAAAGAGAGAGAGAGCGAGAGAAAGAGATAAATATGTCTGAGATTGTTTGTGCTGTTGGGCCGTCCAGTGACTCACTGCTCCTATATCCAGAAAGAGAGGAGAGTGGGAGGAGATAGAGAGAGAGAAGACAGAAAGGCAGAGGAGGACAGATGTGGTCTTTGTTGCTGGTGTGCTATCTGCAAGAAATAATCTGAGGAGAGGAGAGGTAGAGCGATAGAGGAGAGGTAGAGCGATAGAGAGATAGATAGGATGAGAGAACAGCTGTGGTCTTTGTTGCTGGTGTGTCATCAGTCTGTCTGATCGGACACCATCGGTGCACATCTAAAAGCTGTGTGTGTGTGTGTGTGTGTCTAAGTGCCAAGGCTTTTACCCAGTTTACATTTCTCTGGGGCTTACTGTACAGAGATGACTGTTTACTCCGGATCTCTCCCTCTATAATCGCCCCTATCAATGGGATGATTTTTTTCTGTGTGTGTGTGTGTGTGTGGGGGGGGGGGGGGGGGGGTTCAGGTCTAGGCTTGTTGACTACAGCAGTGTGTTTACCACAGTGGGTCCTATCAGCATTAGCCAATCACTTGTCTTATCTTCCCTCTGAATAAACCTCTGTCACGGTGTGTGTTTCCCAGAAGTAAAGGGGAGAAGGACGTGTGTCTGTGTGTGTGTTTAGAATGGTTTTATTTCATATTCAGAAGTGTGTGTGTGTGAGAGAGAGAGATCCCTTACATAACTCTAAACCACACCACACCACTGTTATCACACTAACACTGGACCACAGCCTACTGAGCTGCAGCCAGACCAACTCTATGACCACAACCCAACCAAACACCTAGTTTCATCAACGTTCACCACAAGTTCAGACAAGCTCACAAATACAGTCATACTGGAATTAACCCTGAGCTGCACTCTAGGTCCTGTGGGTGTGTGTGTGTGTGTGTGTGTTTTAAGTCAGACTAGATGGCTGTTTGCCTAGCAGGACAATGGGACAATTGAGAGGTGTGTGTGTGTGTGTGTGTGTGTGTGTGTGTGTGTGTGTGTGTGTGTACAGTAACAGCTAGCTTATGTACAGAGAGGCCTGTGTTTTAAATAGATAAGGCAGGACATTTGCCTGCACCTGATTTGGAGTAACTGCGGTTCACCGTCCGTTAGGCACAGCGAGAGAGAGAGCTATATCAGTGTATCTGTGTGTGTGTGTGTGTGTGTGTGTGTGTGTGTGTGTACCTCGTCCACTGCGGCCTACGAAGCGCAGGTCGTTGAAGCGAGCAACCTGGTTCTTGAGGGCGGCCGTGGCATTGCGGAGTTCTGCTGAGTAGTTCTCATCGTTCCCCGCCATCACCGTTACCAAGGTACCGTCAGGGATATCGCCAAGGGCAACCACCTACGGCAACAGAAGGAGAAAGAGAGACAGAGACACAGTCAGAGGGATGGAAACTTTATTGCTCGTCTTGCACATTACAAAAAAATACAATACCAAAAACATAATTACACACGTAATTTACATAGAACATAATTTACACAAAACATCAATTATGTATTTGGTAAAAAAGGAGCATCTTTAGTTATATTGCAACTCTCTATTCCGAGTGCATTCAACTACATTTATACAAAAAAAAGTACTTCTAGTACTTCAAAATGAATTCATTATTAATTCTGAATCAATTTAGTCTATTTCTCATCATTTGTCCACCCTGGGTCCACTAAATGGGAGGGCAGTCTGGGTGTTTTTGTGCTCCAGAAAGCCACCCAGACTACAGACTGAATAGCTCCACACCCAAAGCAAATAGACCCAGGGAGAGTCATTTTCATATTAACTGTAATCGTGGCCACAAATCAGCGTGCAAATTTACAGAGGAGATATCGGGCATGGGTACTACTCTGTTCTGTTTTTCAACTGAGAAACTACAGCTTTAGTCCACACACACGACCCCCCTTCACCCACACACACGGCCGAGATGGAAAATACGGGTGGGTGTTTGGCAGACCCAGTATAGTTTACATTCTCGAGGACTGTTGGGGAGCTACGGAAGTCAGACATGAGAGAGAGGTTCGGTGGAGCGTGAAAACTACCCTGCAGAACAAACAATAATGAGGAAATGATTATAGAGCTCTTCAAGCAGACGGTCAACAACACCCAGACACAAACACACACTTAATGGCAACAACTTCCGCCCATGACATTGTTCAGAATGTACATAATGTATACAACTCGATCAATCTGATTTTATAGCATTTTTCTATGGCTTTTTTTCACAAACACTTTTGTCCTAATGTGCTTAAAAGTACTTTTCTTGGATGATATAACCCTATTATGGATACCCAGAAAGACATCAGCCTAATGAAACAACTGTAAGTCATTGACGTGCATCATTCTAATTCTGAGAACTGCACTAAAAAGTGAAAAACTGTAAGGGAAGTAGGCTATAGCTATAATAATATTTTTCTCCAATTACATTTTTGATCTGTGACCAGGGCCGTCATACACCCCCAAAAATCTGTGGTCCGTCTGTTAGTTGGAGAATTTTGCATTTTTCAAACACCTGAAACAGATTTTTCATGCAATCTAGAGCCGTAATCATTAAGCTTAATTCTATGTCAAAAATATGTTTATTTTTCTGCATATCTAATCATACCTCTTGAGCAGTCTGTATTCTCCTGACTGGTGGTTATTTTTTTAAAGAAACTAAATATGCTTCTCTGCATCTTTGCTAAAATCTAGGTAAAAGATTGAAAGGAATGTGAGTCTTATTCAGTACATTTAGTAATTGCTTGCTTTTCTAAAGTCTACCAACCTTGCCAGCCGGCATTCCAGCTAAGATAGAGTAGCTATCTTGTCTAAAACTAACTTGATTGACAGCCTGAAATGGCTTCTTGGTAGCTAGTTATGAGGTTGGTAGATTGGGTACTGCTCATGGCCAGTTATCAAGCACCATCTCACACACACGCCAAGTGGTACCAGAGGGCCAAGTCTGGGACCAAAAGGCTCATTAACAGCTTCTACCCTCAAGACTGCTGAACAGTTAATCAAATGGCTACCCGGACTATTTGCATTGACCCCCTTATTTGATTATTTAAAAAAAAATTGCCACAGGCTCGATGTACACTCACTAGACTCTAACCACACACTCACACATACTACACTGACACTCCAACACACACACACACAAAACACACACATGTTCATTGACGCCACCTACACACACATACACACACACACACACACACACACACACATACACACACATACATTCACATTCCTTCACACTCTTCACATATGCTGCTGCTACTCTCTGTTTATTATCTATGTATAGTCACTTGACCCCTACCTACATGTACATAATACCTCAATTAATTTGACTAACCTGTACCCCCACACAGTGACTCGGTACCAGTACCCTTTGTATTTAGCCTCTTTATTGTTATTTTATTTGTGTTACTATTTTTCCTTTAGTTTATTTCAAAATGTTCTACTGACTTTTTTTTTAAAACTCAGCATTGTTGGTTAAGGGCTTGTTGTATTCAGTGCATGTGACAATATATATTTTTTTTTTGACTTGACACACACATAGACATTTATGAGAAACGTTGCCACCAGACAACATTTGCGCAGGAAAACATTCCTCTATAGCCTCCAGAAATGATTAGAAATAAAACGACAAATATAGCCCTACACACACACACACACACTCCTCTCCCACACACTCACTCACCTTGAATGCGATGGGCAGCGTCTTGTTGCACCTCCAGTGTGTGGGTAGGACAGAACAGAGGAAGTTGGGGCTGTCTGTCCTCACCAGTTCTCCAGGGTGATCTGACAGCACCTCCACCATGCCTCGGTCTGCCATACGCAGCTTTCCCACTAGGGCGGTGCTACTGCTCTCCTGGGCACCCAGGGGCAGACCCTCACTCATCTTACCCGACAACAGGGTGGTGGAAGGGGGGGTGAAGCGTCGACCAGGGGCTGGGTCTGGAGCAAGATAGAGATGTAGATAAATAAATGAGCGAGGACACACACAGACAGACATAACGCAGGCGTACACGCACACACACACACTCACTATATAGTCAACCTATGCCAATAAGGCATATAACTTCTTAGTAAGTAATTAAAAACTAATTTAGGCTATTCACATTTTGAGCTGTGCACATCATCAGTATTTTCTATTATGTTTATCAATGTGCGTGTAGTTTCAAGTTGGCCTTCAGAGCACAGAATTATAAAAGTTCTCAGAATAGAGCGCAGTGAAATTACAACAGCGGAACCAAACCCTGGAGAGCCGGAGGCACGTGAAACCAAACCGTTAAAAACCAGTCAGCGACGCTGAGTCTGACAGGGCCCGGCGCGCGCTGTCGGTCGGTCTGTCTGTCACTCAGCCAAGCCAACCACAATCGATGCCACATGTTGGCGGTTTGGAACGACCTGGGGGTTTAAAAACCGCTGCTCCCTCTCGTTCTTTCAACAGAACTTTGACTAGTGTACCACAGAACTGGACTGAACTCCAACTATGTCTTGCTCTCATCTAACCACCCAATACTAACAGCAACCCACGCGCTGTGGATGGATGGAAGGATTTATTTATAAACCGTTGATGAGAGGGGAAGTAATGTGCTTTGCATGTATTTAATGTGGTTTCCACTAGTTACCACAGTCATAAAGTAAAATTTGCTATAGGCGTATCGTAAAACTTCATGAAAACAAAATGAGCTGTTTGGTCTTAATTTAAGGTTAGGGTTAGGAATAAGTTAGCAGTGTGGTTAAGGTTAGGGTTAAGGTTAGGTTTAAAATCACATTTTAAGAAGATAAATTATAGAAATAGGCGGGGTTTATGACTTGTGGCTGTGGTAACTAGTGACAACCTCAAGTGTTCTGTCTAATTTATCTATACCATATTGTTGCAGAACTTGTGTAATATTATGTACCAAAATGTCAACTTTACTCTGAAGTGGTTCAGTGCTTTGTGCCTGTGAGGTTCCAAATGTAGTCTATAGCCTACTCCCTATGACAGAAAAAAACCGTTGGCGTCCTGCCAATTATTACATTTATTTCCTCTTAAAATTCTGGTTTCGGTGTGTTTCTTGGCTATGTTAATGCACGCGGGCATAAAAGCACACACAAATGTCAACACACACACACACACAGATACCAACACATATTCAACCCTGGGTAAAATGTGAAAATGAGTTCATGTACCGTATTTGGCGTCCCAAAGGAAGACCATTTGTACACCGCAGTAGGATCCAGTTAAACTGACTCTCTGTGGAATATATAGCTCTATATTTCTTCTGATATTTGCCTCTACAATTAAACCCGTTGTCGTTAGATGAACAGTGGAAATCAGGCGACCATCTGAAGGTATATGCGTGGGCACGGATTACAACTGGGTTTATGCGTTGGAGTGGAGTCAAAGACCTTCCGTTAACAAATTAAGCACATCCCGCTAAATCTCGGTGTGTGAAGTCCTCATTCCATGATCCGTGTTATGGACACCGAGACTGAAGAGGCATCCACCAATCAGATACTAAATAAAACCGGACGGTCATCCAAGGAGGTCTCGGGGCGCATTCAAATGAGCAGGCGAGCAGCGAAAAGAAAGTCCAGTTGGGTTATTTTTTAATCTTCTTTTTAATTCTGTTGTTCTTCAATAACTTGTGAGTTACTCGCCACAAAACGTCAACTTTGATGGATGTTCTATGGCTCCCCAATGCGCAATAGAAATCTTCTCGCCTCTATGCGTGCCAACATTGGAGACGGAAAAAACTTTAATACTTCAATTTCGCTTTTATAAATATTGTCTAGGATGTGTCACTGCCAATAGCCTTATATTTCGACACACCCTTGTTGAACGCTCCGGGTGCGTATAGGGTTCAGTTGCTGCGTATGAATGAACGTCCGGACAGTGAGAGGCAGGGTTTTACTGGCAGTCAGCAGTGCTGGAATGCGTCCCTCCAGGGTTAGATTTGCATAGAGACAGATGTCAGCCAATGGAATCGGGCAACTACGGAGAGTCCGGGAAGATGTAACCAATCAGAGCTGCGTCCGTCCAGGGAGGGAGGAACTGTGGGTTCTGAGGAAGGCTCGCGCCAGTCAATGGAATTCCACTTTGGGGCTGCGGTGCACGAGGCTCGGTGAGCGAGGGCGCAGCAGTCGCGCTCTAGTATTGTGGTTTTAACTTAAAAGTCAACAGCGTGCAATTGGATAGTGGATACCAATACAAAAACAAATAACAGAAGAAAATATTTTGAAAGGTTGATTAAAATGATTGTTCACAAAAAATCAGCCCAAATCACAAATAGGTCTATGCGTTTGGACACCAAACACACATATTTAGTTGGAAATTACAATTTAGCCTTCCTAATGCCTGATATTTCCCGGATGATTTCTCGTGTCGGTGTCAAAACATAGTCTGCACACACCTTAACAAAATAAGATGAGTAAATATCCATGCAATAAGTTAGCCAATAAGACATAGCCTATGTGCCTATATAGACGTGCACTAACAGGAAAAGTAAAGAGAGAAGCCCAAATGACTCATCTGTCGATGAGGAGGACACTTATACAAAGACAAACATTCTGCTGACTTCCAGGGCGCGTGTACTGTTCCACTAGACGTATTGGTCATGCGCTGATTTATTCGGGGAATATGATATCAGCAATAGTCACGGCGTCACCGCTCTAACTGTATAACCCATCTGCGAATAGATTATATTATGGAGGCCAAGGAGACGTATTTTGGGGACGATATCCCATTTCTAATAGGCCTATTCCCCCTCTAACGCACTATGGCTAGGGTCCAAAGTGATGGGGTTTCAGAGGTTGACGTTATAGTAGGTTCCACAAGCCATGCACAACACAGACACAATGACAAAAGTAACCATTGAATAGGGGATGTATTTCATGATGACAGTGTGAATCATACCTCAATTTCGTGCGCAAAGCTCGTGCGTAAAGCGCATGCTTAAAAAGCAGATTTCACTGTGTCAGAATGAAGGCTATCTTGTCCTCATCAAAAACAAGACTTAAAACAAACCGTTATCTACGAAAGCTACCTTTATTTTCCACCGCATTGACTCATTTGAACGTTGCCACATAGTGGTGTAAAGTAGTAAAAAATCTTTATTATTTATATTTTTGACAACTTTTACTTTTACTCCACTACATTCCTAAAGAAAATATGTAATTTTACTCCCATACGTTTTCCCTGACCCCCAAAAGTACAGCAATATGGTCAAATCCACGCACCTATCAATATAACTCGTTGTCACCCCGACTGCCTCTGATCTGGCTGACTCACTAAACACAAATACTGAGTTTGTGCCCCTATCTGTCCGTAAATTAAAAAAAACAAGACAATCCTGCCATCTGGTTTGCTTATTATAAAGAATTGTATGTATAACATTTACTTTTACTCAAGTAGGCCTATGACAATTGAGTACCTAAGTACATTTAAAACCAAATACTTTTAGACTTTTACTGGGTGACTTTCACTTTTACTTGAGTCATTTTCTTTAAGGTATCTTTACTTTTACTCAGGTATGACTATTGAACACTTTTTCCACGACTGCATAATGCACCTCTCAGGTCTTGTAGTGTCAGTGCGCAGTGTGGGCGTCGTGGCTGCACCAAATGTCAACAATAGGTGGCAGCATACGATCTAAATCACCTCCTGGCAAATGGCAAACTGAAACATACACGCAGGCCTGCCTCACTGTAGATCATTATTTGATATTGCGTGACGATATAAATGTGAGAATATCCACGCAAATTAAAACAAACGATCTCATGTCTATTTGTGAATGTTTTTGCATGGTGTAAATATTTTCCATTATGGAAATAATTTAACCCCAAATTGTAGGCTACTTTCAAATGCAGGTCAAAGCACAAATAAAATTATTCTGGAATCCAACATTATGATTTTGTTATCTCATTACCTCCTATGTTTAGTTAATTTCAATTAGCCAGTGCTATATTTATCGCGACTCAGGCTATTTGTCTTTGCCATAATGACAATGAAGTCTAGTTCACCTGTACTTGCAGATCTCAGCAGAAAGTGTTCGTCTGATGAGTTTGTCAGTTTGATTTGACAAAGAGAGGTCAGTCTGACAGCCTTGTCGGGGAGTTTTAGAGAACTGTCAGTTTCTCTCCTCTCTCTCGGTGTTTTAAGAACGTATAGCCACGGGGGTGATGATAAAAAATGTAACGGCTTACGCTTCCGCCTGTCCGGACCGACTACAGTGTCCGTGATAGAAAGTGACTGGCCCTTTTGCTCTATATACAGTAAACACGGTGCAAAGAATCCTAACTTGATTTTTCCTGACCTAACATTTTTTTGTTGTTGGATTGATTCATTTAGGCCCTATCGAAATAATGGTGTTCTGACGTAGGCCTACAGTGGAACTTTAATTCAGTTAGGCCTATTTCCCGTGCGCTCGTGCATATAGCCTATCTGGGGGGGGGCTCGAGCCGTCTTTTTATTTTCCGTCGCCAAAGACTGCGAGCAGAATGATGAGTGATTATTCATGTTTAAAAGCATCATTGGTCATCAACTTCACTGACTCACATCCAAACAGCTCACTGGAAATGTGATTCAATGGTTCCGGATAAAATAACCACTTGTGCCATGGCTGAACAATAATCAATAAAAAAAAAAACATTTAAACAATAAAACCACACGTATTAATCACTATAGGCTAAAGTCAATAATGTCCCATTGATTAAAGCATTATAATTCAGTCTATCAAATAAGTCCGTTACAACCACATCCAATGACTCATGTAAGCTAGTTATATCTCTGTGCAGGTGTGCGTCGTGACGGCAAGGCCCGGGCCAGCCGCCGTTTGCGCATTTGACTGGAAACGCATGGAAGGTGTTTTGTAGCAATTGTTTGTGTTGAAATATAGCCGTGCTGAGAAACCAGTGGACACAACTAATCTTTTACCATAATGTTATCTTTTACCATGCAGCACACCACAGAACATCACGTAGAGCCTACCAGCACATACCGGATTGCCCCTTAATCAACAACAATGGGCCACAAATTTAGGACACAAACATATTTCAAACTGATGAAGTGGTTCGCAATACTTCAGTTTAAAAGAGTATAAGAGATCAATTTAATTGTAAACTGATCCTACTAAATCTATAATTGGAGATTATTTAATTTATTATAGCCTATTCTAATATCGTCGTAAATACATTTAGGATTTGATTTAATAAAACACAAACCTCAGTTAAAATACCCCCTTGGAGATGTGCTAATAATTAGATAATTTAGTTAAAAACAATAAAACAAAGCAAATAGCCTATTTACTCCAATATAACACATCATATTAAATAGATTCGATTCTAATTAAAACAAATACAATGTAGTTTTTTTAGATGTTAAATAAATGTGATGCAGTCCGATTTTGGTAAGCCATAGGCGTGAAAACGTTGGTCTCAGATTATTGCCTATATTATTTAATAAAAAACCTATAGCCTACAGTCACGGCCTAAAATATGCAATAATTAAAACATTTCTCGATTTCAATATAATTTAAGGAAATATTTCCACACAAATAAACCGACTTTACTGCCTAAAGGAAGAACTGCTGCTTTGAGGGGACATACAGGGAGAGGTCTACGAGAGAGAGCGAGAGAGCGAGAGGCTTGGATTTCCTTTCGTCCCGTTCACCTCTGAGTAGCGGTAATCGGATAGGCGCAAACTGCTTGATCAATAATGTATGTAGTCGGCTATCAAATCTATCGATATGCGTCGCGAGGCTACACGCTGTAGCATGTTTGCGCGATTAACTGGAGGCCGCTTCCATTGAATTGGGAAATAATCAATTCTGGAGAGATGGTTGGTTTAAATTACAAATCATCAGCATAAACCATGAATCTAGCCTACCCATGAACCTACAGGCCTACAGATTAATATAGCCTACATTTTTTTTCTAGATAAAATAAGAAATATCTTGAGCACATCATTCAGTCTTTTGTTTTTGGCGCATCAGTTAGCATCAGGTAATGTGAACCACCCAAACCAAAATACAGCTGTAGCACACAGAAATAAAAACTGTTGTATCAATCAATTGTTTCACTCTTGGTTTCTTAACCCCACTCAGACAAGATTGGAAAACAGACTGGAGAAAAAATGAGAGGTGAGAGAAAGTAAACAAAAGAAGATTAAAAAGGCTGAGAGGAAGCAGATGATGATGATGGTGGTGGGGATGATGATGAAGATCATGATGAAATAGTAGCAGATAAAGATGAGTTATGAGGAAGATTCAGGTCAAATGTCTTTCAATTTGACAAACAAAGACAAAGACGACAGTGGTTGAGAGGCAGACAGTGATGATGATGATGATGATGTTGAAGAGGAAGGGGTAGATGAAGACACATGTGTAGTAATAAAAGCAGGTTAGATTACCAAAGAGCCCATTGCCAGTTCGGCCTTTCCTCATCAGGTACATGGCCCAGGACAGGGGACCGGAGTTGGAGAAGGGCCCAGGATTCATGCTTCGTCTCTAGGTACTGGCGGAGCGAACGGTGGGGTGGGTTTTTAAAGACCCAGCATGGGAATATGGAAAGCTAGATCCCCCTCACTCTCACCCGTATCCTTTTATACCCACCCGCCACCCTACCCACCTCCCCCCTCACCCAAGATATTAGTGAAAAACTGAAAAAGACAGAAAGGAGGAGAGAAAGGAGGGAAAAGGAGGGAAAAGGATGGCATCCACTCATGCTTAATATATTCCCTCACTAAGCGTAGCCCCGGGGGACTCGGCATCACTCTGCCCTCAGGCAACTCAGACCTGCTAATTTCATTTAGCGACTGAAATGATTTCTCTCGCTCTCTCCTTTCCTCTCTCTATCGCTCCCCCCTCCATGTCTTTCTCTCATCTCTCTCCCACTCTTCTTTTTCTAAAGTTCTGACAAACTGTGAAAATGGAGGAGAG